TTTGGTGGTTGGAATGTGTTGGGAATGGGCAGAAATGATGAGCTGTGCAGAAACAGCCACTCAAGGAAGGCTTTTTCAACATGACATGATTTTCAATGGACATTTGGCCCTATATTAGGATTAGGTGTGTGCTGCATGGTAAGGTTAGGGTTAGGAAAACAAGGTGTCCTGGCATGATTTTGGTGGTTGGAATGTGTTGGGAATGGGCAGAAATGATGAGCTGTGCAGAAAAATCTACCCAAGGAAGGCTTATTCAAAATTGCATTATTTTCAATGGAACTTTAGCCTTATATTAGGTTTAGGGGTGTGCTCCAGGGTAGGGTTAGGGTTAGGAAAACAAGGTGTCCTGGCATGATTTTGGTGGTTGGAATGTGTTTGGAATGGGCAGAAATGATGAGCTGTGCAGAAAAAGCCACTCAAGGAAGGCTTATTCAAAATTGCATTATTTTCAATGGAAATTTGGCCCAATGTTAGGGTTAGGTGTGTGCTGCAGGGTAGGGTTAGGGTTAGGAAAACAAGGTGTCCTGGCATGATTTTGGTGGTTGGAATGTGTTTGGAATGGGCAGAAATGATGAGCTGTGCAGAAAAATCTACCCAAGGAAGGCTTTTTCAAAATGACATGATTTTCTATGGACATTTGGCCCTATATTAGGGTTAGGTGTGTGCTGCAGGGTAGGGTTAGGGTTAGGAAAACGAGGTGTCCTGCCATGATTTTGGTGGTTGGAATGTGTTTGCAATGGGCAGAAATGATGAGCTGTGCAGAAACAGCCACTCAAGGAAGGATTATTCCAAATTGCATTATTTTCAATGGAACTTTAGCCTTATATTAGGGTTAGGGGTGTGCTCCTGTGTAGGGTTAGGGTTAGGAAAACGTGGTGTCCTGGTATGATTTTCGTGGTTGGAATGTTTTTAGAATGGGCAGAAATGATGAGCTTTTCAGAAAATTCTCTTAAGGTGCGCTTATTCAGAATTCCTCTCTTTTCAAAGGAACTTTAGCCCAATTTTAGGGTTAGGGGTGTGCCCCAGTTTATTGTTAGGGTTAGAAAAACGAGACGTCCTCGCATAATTTTGAAGCTTGGATTTTTCTGTAATGGGCGGAAATGTTGGGCTGTGCAGAAAAATCCACTCTAGGACGTCTTTTTCGAAATTGCCCCTTCTAGTGGTATTGTTCCCTTAAATTACGGTTTGGGGAGTGCACGAGCATTAGGGTTAAGGTAGTTGTGGAGAACTCGTGTGTTGGCTCGTGTGTTACAGCTGTCAGGCAAGAGCCCTATGAGTCGATACGCCAGTCAAGTCGCCCCAGCATCGCCTCACCAGCCGAGCATCGGATGACAGCAAATATAGGGCCACGCGCCTGCTTGGAATGGAGTAGTGGCGCCAGGTAATGATATCATGAGTCACGACTCATTAGCCACCACTCACCTGAGCTTTTGCATGGCTGGTCAGTGCACTGCCACTGACCAGCCATATTTGCTTGGACTGGCTGTGGGGGCTTTTTTTCTAAACTAAAATGTCAATTTTCTGGTTTTAGTTTAGTATTGGCACTTTGCAATAAATAAGTGGGTTTTGGGTTGCAGTTTTGGCATGTGGTCTCTAAAAGGTTCGCCATCACTGTTATAGAGGATGGCTCTGAGCAAGTAAAGCTCTGTTGCCATTTTGCAAGTATCTGAACTCTAGACATCTGGAAGTAGTACTCTGAGCTTTCAGTTTATAAGGTATGACAACTAGGGTAGCTTAAGCGCTGGGCCACTAACTGTAGACTTTGCAGAAAAGTTGACCTCGCTTAGAGCAGAGAACTGTCTTGGCAAAAAGTTTTGGAAGTGTGTATGTGTTTTAACTATACTATATTTTATGGAAACATAGAAAGAGAGCCAGTCATAAGGGGTCTCCCGGGCCATCTAGTCTGACCCCTGGCTCTAGCTGGCTCCGTTCACGACATGCCTACCATGTGTCTATCTTTGAACACCCTCACCAATGGGCCCTCAACCACCTCCCATGGAAGCCCATTCCATACCCTCAGGGTCCTAACTCTCAGGAAGTACTTTCTGGCATTCAAATTGAACCTTGGTTTCCTGAGCTTTGCTCTTTTGGAGCACATCCTGCCCTCCTCTGCAGGGGAGCACATGTGACACCCCATCACATACCTATAAGTCTCGAACAGATCCCCTCGGAGTCTCTTCTTCTCCAGGCTGAAAAAACCCAGTTCCCTCAGTCTCGCCTCATGCAGCTTTCCCTGCAATCCGGCCACCATCCTTGTGACCCTACATGGCACTGACTCTAACCTGACTATATCCTTCCTGTAATGAGAGACCCTGAACATAATACTCCAGTTGCGGGTGCATCAGAGTCATATAGAGTGGTAGTAATACCTCTCTCGATCTAGCACTAACTGAAACCGTTTCTGTTAGTGCTGAGCCTGCTTTAAAGGTCCCCTTACCCTCAGCCTAGGGACCTTTGAGAGAATCCATTCTGAATTAGCGTAGCTAACTGTGCTAACATTGGGTTGGATCCAGATTTAGGTGTGAATTAAAGACCTTGTGGAAAGAGTCCACACCGTGCTGCACAGTGGGCTGAGGCACCCTTTGAAGGGGTATCTCCAGAAATTACCTTCCATGGAAGAAGATTCACAGTTTGTTCCTTGGCCTGATTTTTTACTTCTCTTCTTCTGAGTACCCTGCACTGCAGTCTACCAGATTCAGCAAAAGGCCTTGATCTTCCATGTAACATTTGTTGAGGGGTAGGGCAAGTGTGTAGGAAGTAGACATGCAGAAGTCCACTTCTGCTAGCTCATTTGCACGTGCCAAAATCTGTATCTAACTCATAGCAGTTTCATTTGCCTTAATCAATTTTTGCTTAGTTAAATGCAGTATTACACCTGAGGTAATTATTTTTACCCATTTCTTTCTCACATTAAAGACCTCTCAAGATAGGGGTAGGCGGAAGGTAGATCAGGGTAATTTGCAGTAGATGGGCAAGGATTTCTTACTCCTTTTTTTTTTATCAGTAGCAACAGCTAATAAATTGCCCTAAATTAAGTTCCTGAAAAGATTGTTTGGTGAATAGGAACTTGGTATGCTTTTCTGTGTGAAAGGACTTGTAATCTTGGTTGTAGTAACGTGACCACAAATTATTGAGCTAAGCGTGCACTGATGGACACTGTGTCCCTTGCTCCTTACTTTCTCACGCACACCTGCTCTGCTCAAGGCTTCGGTTGCTGACCCATATTGGCTGGTGATCCCCATAGTTCTAGTCAAAAATAGACTAAAATAAACCTTGACTTTGCAAGGTTTATGTTTACCCACCTTCTCATAAGAGAGTGTGGGAGCAAGAGCACAGTTAAGTGATAAATATAGGATTCCATTTGGAACCAAGTTGTGGTTTCTGAACACTCTTCAAGGGCAGCTCCACACACTGTGCATTATTTCAGTAATGTATTGTAAGCTCATGCAAAGCCCCCATCTCCTTAGTAATAATATTTAATCATTGTCATGCCATGAAGTCATCATACAAAGCAAATAAAGCTATAGATAGGACAGTCTTCTGGCGGCAAGTGTGTATGAGCTGGAGTGATCCACAGGCTATTTTGGGTACCAAATATATCCCAAATCATTGGAAGGGGTCAGAGGGCCATTGGGTCCAACCCCCTGCTCAGTGCAGGACTCTGTTAAACCATCTCTCTCAGGTGGCTGTCCAGCTTGATATACAAGTTTCAGTGCCAGGGCTGAATAAGGAAGCGTGTGTAGGAAATAGTTCAGCAGAAGCAAACACAAGTGGAAGCCGTGGTTTGAAACCTGTCTTATCACTTGCTTGCAGTAACAAGAATGTGCCCAGGGAAGGGTGGGAACTGATGGCAGTACACCTACCTGGAACAACATGTTGTCCCTCCTCTCACCTGCGTTCAGCCTCTGTTGATGTCAAAAAGTACAGGGGAAAATGGAAAATAAGGTTCTAGAAAGGCAACAACTTAATCTGGTTGAACAACACCAGGCCACATACTTCTTTGCTTAATGGGCATGATCCTGCCTTCTTTCTCTCACTGCATCAAAGAAAGTATGCTTATGGGGAATTTAATACATTTCATTGGTCTCAATTAACATTTTCTCCACATCCCTTATTAGAAGAGAGGTGAGCTTGCTGTATTAAAGCCAAACTCCATTATGTAATTAATTGACTTCCATTCTTTTTGCAAAACACTTGTGTTTGTGTTATTTCTTTATGTAACTTACTATTTTGTTGTATACCTTCCTTCAAAGGCCTCCTCCCATTGTTATTTGGGGATTGATTCCAATATGTTGCCTTGTCATGGACTGAGAAAGAGTTTTGGGAGAAATGTAAAAGGTTGATGTGATACTCAGTTGTATACCCCAAGGAGCAGAAAATGTGAAATGAAGATGTATCTCTCTCCTGTCTACTGAAAGCCTCTGTGATTTTTTTTAATTGAACCATTAGTGAGAATTGTCTCCTCTTTTTTATCTTTATGCTTTAACCAGTAATGCCTAATAGAAACATAAAATATAAATGAGGGTTTTCAAAACTGTTCAAACAAGATTTTAGCCCAGTTTTGTGCTTTATAGCATAACTTTGCCCAGATTTATCCAAAACTCCCTGCTTATATGTTACACAGCATATGTCAGTCAATAAACACACTACCCAAATAACTTTGTTTTACAGCTTTACTCATCTTTTTCCCATTCAAAGCTTAACTCAGTATTTCTTTCCTTTCTTATCCGTCTGACACCAGACTTCTTCCTGTCTTTCCAAGTCAGAAATCCTGTAGTAAGTAACTATTTTTCTTCTCTTTCACTTGTGTTTCTGGATCATTTGTTGAGAAGGGGTGGATGACTGTCTAGATACTTTCGGAGGAGGGTGGGGTAATCAGTCATGACTCCAGTGACGCCATAGCTAAAGGCTTCCTCAAAATCCTTATCCTCATTCAAGACCCAAAGGAGAATCTATACAGTGGGGAAAAAAGATGACAAATCTGAGTGTGGAGTAGGCTCAGTTAACTGAAAGCTAGAGTTCCTTTGTGGCTTTCACTTATTCATACTGCCATTAGCTTAATATTTTCCCAGCAGTCAAATGGTGCAAAATGTACATGTTTGTGGAGGAATGTCACAGTAATTGCTTTGCAGTCAGCAAAGCAGGGTGGGGGAGTATAGAAATACTTCCTGATGCACAAAAGCCTTAATTATCATTTTACTGATTGGCTTGCTCCAGATGCTTGTGGGGGTACCACAGGTATCTGAGGACCAGAAAGTCCCCGGTCCAGCTTTTATCTCAGCTCTGAACCTGTTAAGGCTGAAGTCCTTTGCATGGTTACTCAAGAGTAAGTAGCACTGAACTTGGTGCGGCTGGTTTACAAGTAAGCATACTGTGGATCTGGCTGCATGTGGCCTTATGCGAATCATCATCATCATCGAAGTTCTGCATCTGCAGTGACAGGATATGCTATTTGACAGGGTTATAAAATAATTGCAATAATATAAGTAAGCACTCAGTGTGTGAAATAGGCTATGTTACACAGGAGGGTAGCTGGTAAGTTCATTACAGCAAAACAAACAAAACAAAAACAAACAAAAAAGCAAAAAACTCATTTCTCTTAAATTCCTATACTTCATACCAATAACATGCTGTTGCTGTACTATTGCATTTCAGCATTTTCTGGGTGGCTTTTTTTTTAAAGATATGGGCTGCAGCGATTAAAGCAAGCAAGAACTTGTAATGCAGTTGCACTGCCAGCTGGTCCAGTAATGGACAGACAAGCAAAGTACCTTAGACTCAACTGGCCAAGAGAGTGGCCTGCCCCACTGCTGGTGCATGTGTGCATTGTGTGCCCTACCACTTCCAGGTTGTCTGGTCTCTTGCCTACAATCACTTTGTTAGTCGAAGACCCCAGAAGACTGGAGCAGGGAGGTACGTTTTACTTTCTTCTGATGCAAAAAGCTCCAAACAAACAGATTTACATCTGGCCTTTGCATGGAGGCAGGAGGAAGCAAGTTGCAGAGAGACTCTGAAACCCTGAAATACGGTACACATGTGTGTGTGCATGCAAGGGGGTGGGGGGGCTTTAAAATCTGTGGCAGAATGATTTGTTCAGCCTGCTTCTTAGGGTTGTTGCGTTTATGAATGTGAACCATTCTCTTTTTAGTGTGCACTTAAATGCTGCTCTTTTTAGCATGCACTTAAGAATACTAAATTATTAATACAAGCCTCTTTGTTCCATGGGGAAAGGAAGGGAACTGGCATAGAAATGTAACTGATAACAGTTTAAGCACCCCTCTTGTGTCTCTCTCCTCTCCCCATTCCAAACTATTGAAAGGCAAGCCAGAACCTTCCCAACACAAACCTCATCCCTGCCACCAGAAGCCAGGGTAACAGGAAAATTTTTGCAGCACTTCCAGCTCAGACTTCGGCAATTCCTCCTGCAGCAGAGATTAAAATGACCCTCCAATCCTGAATTCATAACTTCTGCCAACTTACTTGTATCCCTCTGTCTTCCAGATGCTTGAAAAGCTTTTTCCTCATTGTCATCCTGGGTTTTTTTGGTAGAGAAATGGAGAGAAATTTTAAAAAGTACAATCATAGTTCCAGCTCTTCTGTCTGTCATGGAAAATAGCAAGAGAGAGACAATTGGGGAAATGGAGTACTGAGAGAGGGTGCTTTAGTTGCAGTTTTTAGGAAACTTCACGGGAGGTATAATTTGGCTGTAAATAGGATGAAGCAGTGGGTGACACTTGTGGATTTCAACAAGGGTCCTCAATCCAGGCATTTCCCTGGAGACAGAGGCAAGGAGAGGGGAAGAAGGAGGTGATGAAATGTGCCTTCTTCAGATATGGTCGTGGGCAGGATACTTCATAAGAACTAAGCAGACAAAGCATTGTTTGCCACTACTTACTTGTGGGCAAATTTTGCCAGCAGTGCTCCATAAAATCCCTTTTTCACTGGAAAATAGGTTCTGAGATTGAACAAAACAAAAAAGGGGCAAGGTTAGAGCATTCCCCACTTCCTGCAATTCCTCCTCTAAGCTACTAGATCCCATGAGTCAAACATCCTGTTTCATCACTACATAATGTGTTTCATTAATTTTACTCTCGTTTAATTCTTGCCATACCTCATTCTTTAAAGATACATTTTTGGAAAACATAAAATATGACATGGGATGAGACAGCATACAGGCATGACCAAATAACTGTCAAATCTAGCACATTTAGGCTTAGCTCTCACTATGGTGGTATATTCATTGGGGTGGGAGTTATATCACCTCCAGCTGAAAGTGGGGGACTTACATGAAAGTTCCTCTAGGCAAAACAACAACAACAATACTCTACACACAACCCTTTACTATTTTTCCATGATTTTAAAATTATGTTTGAAGTATTGAGATTTGTCCTAGCATATACAGTAATTTACAGCATATGAAAAAGAGGGAAATTGATACAAGCATGGCTTGCAGATTGTTATAAAAGTTATGCATTGTTATAAAAGTTATGCATTGTATCTAATTTTAGTTCATATATAACAATGTTAATATGGCCACAAGACAGTGGGATAGAAATTACTTAATAACATTTAGATGCCTTAATATGTTTCTTGTTCAAGTATATAATGTTCCTGCATAGGAAACAAATGGTTTCTCAGAAGCAGTTTTCTTTTTCATGCCTATGATTACCAAAAGTTGCACAGTTAAGTTGTAACATAACGGCAAATTCCCAAGACAGGGTGAAACAGATGGTGCTTTGGTGGATCTCAAAGTCAGAGAAGTGGTTTGTTTTGTAGAGGTAAGTAGATTCTGAATGAGTTGTTTTAAAGTTAGGAAGAGTTGTTCATTCTAGTGTTTGTTTTTCTGAGATTTGAAGAAGATGATGAACAATTGTTCCCTCAGGTGAATTTAGCTGCAGACTGAAGTGATACAGCCCCCCAGGAGGTTAGTGAGGCCCTAGTTTTAGTGCATAGAGTATCTTTCAGATCAGTGCTTAAGTTCCATTCTGGAGAACATCTTGAGAGTTACATTCAGGGTGGGAGGGGCCAAAACAAAAGCAACAAGGTCAAAATCACCCAAAATCCCAGTGTATCATAACCCTTTGTACCATCAATAATGAAGTTCCAGGAGAGACATTTCAGCCTTTTAGAATGGGCAAAAAACTACATAGATGCTAGGGAACCACCCAATAATAGGCAGTTGAGTGAAAGGAAACACGGCCTCCATGGAAGACCCCCAAGAGCTACATTGGGAAGCTCTGAAGGCTGCATTTGGCCTGCCTTCCTCAATCTGCTCTAGACTGTAAGTTTTCTGTACCCTCAGTGTGCCATCCCCTGTGCTAACTCACTGTGGCCCTACTTCCCCACAATCTGTCAGTAACTCTTCCCTTTCTTTTTTTCCTTCCTGCTTTCCAACAGGCATGTACCAGTTCTTTCCTTTTCCACCACTACTAGTCCAGTTACAGAGGCAAAAGACTAGCCATCTCTAAAGCCAGTATTCCAGTTCTCCAGTGGAATGTGCAGTTCAACTTATTACAACGCATAAAAAGAATCCTTCTGTGGCAGACCAGAGGTCCATCTCATGCTCCATCCTGCTTGTTGGATAGCTGTGGGCAGCCTATGAGCAGGGCATGAAGGCATTAGCCCTCGGCCCCCATTCTGCATCAGCAACTGATGTTTAGAGTTATACTGTCTTTGAAGCTAGAGGTTTTACTTAACTACCATTTCCTTTGTTTCTGTATTTGGGGGTAGGGGTGCTGCCAATAATTATGTCTGTACTGAACCGTCTGGTCCACAATTGATGGTTGAGTTTCAGTTGTTGCAGCCTGATGATGTGGACAAGGTGCTTGGACAGGTACGTCCTACCACCTGCTTACTGGACCCTTGCCCATCTTGGCTACTCAAGTCAGCCAAGGACGGGATTGGGACCTGGATCCTGGAGGTCGACAATGCCTCTCTGAGGGACGGCCGGGTACCTGCCCCTTTAAAGGAGGCGGTAGTTTGGCCAGTCCTGAAGAAGGCATCCCTGGATCCAGAGGCGGTCGCCAATTAAAGACCAGTGGCCAACATCCCGTTCTTGGGCAAGGTGTTAGAATGGGTGGTGGTGGGACAAATCCAAGCACTCTTGGATGAAACTGATTATCTGGACCCATTTCAGTCTGGCTTCAGACCCGGGTATGGTACTGAATCTGCGTTGGTCGCCCTGTATGAATACCTGTGCAGGGAGAGAGACGGGGAGTGTGCCCCTGTTGGTTCTCCTGGACCTCTCAGCAGCTTTCGATACCATCAACTATGGTATCCTTCTGGATAGGCTTGCGGGATTGGGAGTTGGAGGCACTGCTTTGCAGTGGTTCTGCTCCTATCTCAATGGCTGATTCCAGAAGGTGGTGCTGGGGGACTATGGCTCTGCGCCATGGCAGCTATGCCATGGAGTTCCGCAGGGGTCCATTTTGTCCCCCTTGCTATTCAACATCTACATGGAACCGCTGGGAGAGGTCATCAGGAGCTGTGGGCTGCAGAATCATCAGTACGCTGATGATACCCAGCTCTACCTCTCATTCTCAACTAATCCAGGTGAGGCGGTGGCTGTACTGAGCCGGTGCCTGGCCAAAGTAATGGGCTGGATGAGGGCCAATAAACTGAAGCTCAATCCAGACAAGACGGAGGTCCTGGTGGTAGGTGGGTCGGGCTTCTGGATGGGGGACCTGGACCTTGTCCTGAACGGGGTTGCACTCCCTCTTAGGGACAGGGTTCGCAGCTTGGGAGTGCTCCTCGACCCAGAGCTGACATTAGAAGCTCAAGTAACAGCGGTAGCGAGGAACGCCTTCCTTCAGCTTCGGCTGATCCATCAGCTGCGTCCCTTCCTGGAGAACGACTGCCTGGCGACAGTGACACACGCATTGGTAACTTCCCGATTAGATTTCTGCAATGCGCTCTGTGTGGGGCTACTCTTGAAGACGGTCCGGATACTTCAATTGGTGCAAAATAGAGCTTCCAGGCTGCTGACAGGGACTGGTAGAAGACTCCACCCAGCAACATTTTGTGCAACTTCCAGTTATGACTGATAACCATCAGTATGTTGATCCTCCATGAGTTCTTGGTCAACATCACTGGAGGAATGCTTTGGGGCAGAGGTGTTGTACCCCATTTTGCAAAATATGCAGTTAGTCTTGTTGATACAAACATCACACCCTCCAGATGGCTGTCTATGGGGGCAAATTTGGCTGTCTTGCCTCAAGATCCTGTACCTCTGAACCCATATATTTCCCTCCCTCCCCAGCCACTGTTACCTGTTCATGATGGAAGGCAGCACAAACTCAAGGAAGGATTCTTTCAGTGGCACGAAAGGCAGGAGTCCTACGTAGTAGAGCAGGAGGACTGTGATGCCACGGTTCAGGGAGAAGATATAAGGCATGTCCTTGTTCTAGGGGATGGGGTAAAGAAGAAGAAATAATGTTCCACCGTGTTGTGAAGCCTGTGTAATTGCTGGACTTAATAGCTGGGAAGGAGCTGGGAGCTGGTCCGGGTCATCCCACACCTACCTGCAGTTTATTAGTTCCTGGGCTATCTGGATGTCTGGCTTCCCACCGCAAGTATGGTAGTGACCCAGGAAATTAAGCCCCCTGCCTTTTAGCCTTGGGAAAGATTGGTGAGCTCCGTACTTTTCCACCCATTTAAAACTAATTGCAGAGCTGTGACAGTTCCTGTGGGAGCTCCCTCTCCAATTCACAATTGTACAATTCCCAGGACTCCTGAGTTGGGGACCATGACAGCCTTGACTAATTTAAAACTGTTAAGTATGCAGTTTAATCACAGAAGAGTTAAGAAGCCAACCAGGAGATAGCAGGAAAATGCCTCTTGGATATGCACAGATTTGTTTGCTATGGTATTCACCTGTTTTTTGTGCCTAGGGTTGTAAATACTTCTATGTAGCCCGTAAAGCCTGCCTGCTCTTGGTGCAATAAAATATGTTACTGTGTTTGGCAATGCATGTGAAGGTGATGAAAGATGATGAATACATACAGCAGTGCAGCATTTCTTCAGTACTTCCCCTTCAAAGGAGGCCCAGATGCTGATGTGGGAGCGATTATAGTATCGGACAAGATCGGCTACCTGTGTTCAAAGACAGAAGGCAGCACAGGGTGGATTCAGACAACTACTTTTCATAGTTGCCTAGTTGTAGAATCCACTCTGGACTGAATCCACGGCAGTGAGGGACAGGGGAGCTTCAGTCCCTGACTCTAGGCAGTGGGTTGTGACTGAACACTGAAAGGGCAGATGGGCCAAAATATCATTCCAGTTCATTACTAGAATGGGATAGAGATGCTGGAAGGGGAAGAAATTTGACTAGAAGCTTGCCTCACCTTTTGTATGAGTTCATCATTATCCTCCTTAATTTCAATGTTGATGGGTACTCCAGGGAACTCCTGGAAGACCTCCTCCAAGCTTGGAATCCGGTGGTCTCTGCCGTGGGAGAAGCAGCCTGTTGGGAAGGGCAGGTAAGGGTGGCAAAGGAGAGCTTAAAGCATCCTTTGCCGGCAGGCAACTTCACCAGATCCTCACAGCCTGGCTTTCCACCCCAGAGCAGCCCCTTAGTCCTACTCACCTGGGGAAAAGGTCACCTCCAGAGAATTCTTATAGTGTGGCAGATCCTGTGGGACATAAGTAGGGTAAGGCCTAAGGAGTCAGGAAACCCAGCTTCTCTTAGAGAGATGTATTACTGAGTGGCTTAGAATGGCTGTGTGTTTGCAGATAGATGGTTTGGTGGACAGTCCATGTTACAGGCACAGCCCCAGGCTATATCATGTTAGCACACAAGGCAGCCCACCTTGCTAAAGCAAAACAATTCTGGGCTTGGGCCATGCCTGAATGGGAAGCAGCCTAGAAATGTTTCCTTGAGTTCTGTCACAGCAAGAAAGCAGCATATGAATGTAACAAAGAACTTAATAATTTATAGAACCAGAGAAAGTTGGGATCCAGAAGCTGCAAGCCCTCACCTCATAGTTTGTCTCGCTGATCTCTATATTGTAGCCTGTCTGGCGTTCCAGGTTATTGTCATGGGAAACCACCACCACCCCATCTTTTGTCATGTGGCAGTCAATTTCCAGCAAGTTTGTGCCCTGGTTCAGTGCACTGAAAAAAGGGAGACAGAGGTCAGTGTGAGAAGCAGGATGACAGGAGCAGTGGTACAGAACAAGGTAAGGGAAAGCTGGGGTGGTGTGAGGGCAGCATCACTCACTGGCGAAAGGCTTCCATAGTGTTCTCAATCCGTTCTCCAGAGCCTGGGAAGGAGACAAGGATGTTAGGAAGGCAGGCACCAATGCTCCCAAGAATTTGCTTTGCTTACTTCCCTTCCCCAGGACACAATGTGCCTGTGCTCTGACTGTAGGAATGTAGCAATACAAGTCTTGAGAATCAGAGAAGAAAGAAATATGAACATCCCACCTGCCAGAAGGCAAAAAGAGGATAGGAGTCTGGAACCAGTTCCCCCCCCCCCCCCCGCCCCAGCTTCATCCTTTCTGATTGGCAGGTACCTCCCCCAAGCTCAGTAAAATGCCCCCCTCAGCTAAATTCCTGAATGGCCCAGCAGAAACTCACCACCCCTATGGGAGACGTGTCGGCATTGGACAGGAAACCTGTGTCGTTTGTGGAGCAGATGTGGCTTCTTTCGCAGGCAGTGAGATGCCAGTGCATAAATCCCAAAGGCTGGCAGCCCAAAGAAGAGTAAGTGGTAGCCCATGGGAGCGGTGGAAGCAGTCAGCCAGGATTCCTAGTCTTGATGTGTTAAAGCAGGAAAGCGTGGTAAGGAGCTAGGGCATCTGGGTTCTCTGGAAAGCAAATGATGCGTGTAGAGCAGGAGCAGAGGGGAGAGGTGGAAACAGGGTTAGGAAAATGCTATTTAGTCCTCTGGATGAGAATGCAGTCGGCAGGTGAAATCAGGTAGACTGGGTTCCTCAAGCGCGGTCCTTGGCCAGGTGCAATGGGTATAGTGAGCTGGGCTATCCTGGCTGCACTGGATGAGCAGGTTCATGTGACTTTTGAGGCACAGAAGCAGACCAAAAGGGGTGTGGAAGCAAGCAGAGGCGATAGAAACTTACTCCTCCCATTTGTTTGTCATGATTTTCCCCTACCTGACACCTGTTCGGTAGCATTAATAACTATATACATCTCATGCATGAAAGTCATATTGCTGCTCCTGCCTTCCCCTGCCAACCATACCCTTCTCTGTTCTGCCACTCCCTGGGTATAAAGAGCAATTTTCTTGGCAACCGCAAGCAGAGTGAGTGCCCTTGTGCTTCCTCCTTTGAGCCACTTAACCTCATTCCTTTTGGAGCTGGTTTTCTTAAACCCAAAGCAGGCCCAGAGCCCACTCGGCCTCACCTTTCCCATCAAGCCAGCAGATCTCCTTGCCTGACATTAAATAAGGGCCAAACTAGGGGCTGATGGGGATTTCCCCCCCCCCCCCCCATGCAAGTAGCAGCTTCAGGAAATAGCAGCAAAGGGAGAAAGGATTAAATTGCCCCTCCATCCTGCATGCTATTATTCCTCCCTAGCTGATTCAATTTACATTTTTAAAAAACTTGTCTGCAGTTCTTTGATCCTAAGGGAGGAAAATATGAAAATTGTTTCCAGTTTGTATTCTGTATTACCTTTCATAAATATTTGATAGCTGAGCTAAATTTCATTATTCACCATCTGACGGGAAGGGGAATCCTATTTCTGACTAATGGGCCAAGTTTTGTGAAGGCTTAATAAGAAATTGTTTTCTTTGTGTTTCTTCATGCAAGGCTTCTGAAAGTGGTATATGCCTGCTGGATTATAGGTGGTGGTGGTTAGGTCCCTCTTAAAGTAACCATTATTATAAATTTGATGGTGATAAATCAGTCCTGTCCCATGCACGTCTATGGTAACTATCAGCTAATCCTCCACTTCAGTTCTAGGGGGAGTGAGATGACTGAACTACTCCAGGGACTCATATACGAAGCTAACTTACTCATTCCAGTTCAGGCCTGTTTTGGGGACAGAAACTACTTTGGGTGTCCTGGTTTGTTTTGTTATTTACTTTATACTCGTATATTATATACTTTCCTTCAACAAATTGGTGCCAGGGGTGGTTCAAAATAAGATAAATAACAATAAAAACATACAAAAAAATTTAAAATAAATTTAAGATGATAATAAGCCAGGACAACCTGCAGTTAAAAATGATAAAGTGCCAAATGAAGAAGGCCTGATAGAACAAAAGTTTTTACTAGACATGGAAAGTTAATCTAATGTATGGCAGGCAAGCCACGGACTACTGGAGATGAATAAAGACAGAAATGATAGTAGAAGACCTCTTGGGTAGGATTATGTTTCCTAAAGGAGCAACTCCACAATTTAGGAATAATATTCAGCCCAGCTTTATTTCTGAAGTCTTGGAGTAAATTTTTTCAGCTTTAGCTGATTCTCAGCTGGGATGACTACTAAAACAAATATTTAACTTGCATCATACGTGATTCAATAGCTTCCGAGTTAGGGTGCTGCAACAGACTTCTCAGGGAGTTGCTCTTGAAGACTGGAAAAAAATGCTGCTTAGGTTGATACCATTTCTGAATGCAAGAGTAGCATTGATTTGGACGAGGGCTTCTTCAGTGACTTCATTTAAACTGTGGAATACACTCCCCTTGGTTTTTGGTCCTGACATTTATTTTGGAGACACACATGCCTTTTTTTTTTTTTTTTTTTTTGGCTTTGTCAGGACTGTGATACTGAAATTCCCTCCTTAATGGTATGCATTGATCCATGGTGGCTAAACATTTTTTAGATTTCCTTCTTTTAATTAAGAAGTTTACTTTGTTTACAACATTATGTAAGAACTTGTACTTTGTTTACAACATTATAAAATTTTGTAAACTAGACAGCTGACAAGCAGTACAAAAATATGGGCAAGAGAAAAGGCTTCAGTCCATGTTTTACCTAGCTAAGAAAAGACTGTTCCTTTTCCAGGACTCTCCATCACAATAAAAATCTTAGAACAGGTTCCACTCTTGCCTCTTCTCCGGCTCTTTTATTCCCCACATCCATTTTATCATTTTCCATCTTCCCCAAACCCTGTTCAAGCAGCATTGCTACCTCCTTCCCATGGCTTTTGTAGTCTAGATATGCCACCCAGTCCACCCCCCCCCCCGACCTGCTCACTTGTCCCACTATCTCTCCCTCGGTTCTTTCTGCTTCCGTTGCAATTGTCCTTGCTGAGTGATGCGCCTCCTCAACTCGATAGGCTATATTAGAGAGCCTGTAGGGATGGCAGGAAAGCCTTTTGTTGCCAGGGGAACTCAGCAAATGCAGTCCCCAGTTGCAGTTGCCTAGCAACTGTGGGACACATTTGTCCTCCTCTTAACCTGACAAAAACTCAAGTCAGGCTGAGGGTGGCAGCAGTTATAGGGGCTCCCAAAACCAGTGGTCCATCTGCCCAACAGACATGCTACTCTTGTTCCTTCAAACTTTGCAGGGATGCTGGTGTGTGTGCTGGCTTGCATGCCTGCATGCGCATGAGCTTGCATTGTCAGATAGCTGAGAATAGGCAAAGGGAATTAAGTGTGATGGATAACATAGGTATCTTTTGCTGGGGTGTTTGCATTTGTTGCTTGGTTACAGTTTCATTGACTAAGAGGCTGAGATTTGTAACCTTGGAGTGCCAGTGTGGAGAGCGCTGGGAAAGAACTGTGGCTTTACAGACTTTGTCATCCATTTCAGATTTGGAAGAAAAGGGTATTTTAGCTGATCATGGCAATCGCTTTGCTTAAACACACCAACGGTCTGTGTCATCCAACATCATCCAGCACTCTGTCTCTTAACAGCAGCCAGCCAGCTGCTCCCAGAAAATTCTGAAGCAGGGCATGATAGAGAGTCATCCCATTTTGGCTCCAACACCTATAGTCAGTGATAACTGCCTGCAAACATGGCAGCCCCATTATTATATATTGAAGCCACTCATTCCACAAACACTCCCTTCTCCCTTTTTAAGGGCTTCTAAACCAAGCCAGCAGCCATCCTGTAATGGCAAAATAATGGGACTTAAAGAGCACTTTAAAACATGCTCCCTGTATATTATGCTGTAATTCTTACGAACAGCCTTATGAGGCAGATAACCATTAGTATTCCCATATTGCTGATGTCACAATGTTGCCAACAGAATGACTTAAGGTCACCCAGTGTCTTCAGGTAAAGGGAAAATTTTAACTAAGGATCTCCTGATTCATAGCTCTATCCTTAAGCTTCTGCAGTATGCTAAATTAGTGGACTCCTGCTTTGGCACCAACCTGTTCTTCTGTGGCTCTTAGACAGCTTGTTCAGTAAAAACTTGTTCTGTGCGATTGAACACTGTGATTTCTCTTTAATAAGGATTTGTTAATTTGGCAACTTGCTGGCAGTGCGATACAACTGATGTTACTTTTAAACATATGTTTAGGCAATGTCCAGTTTTTGTGGGGAAGTTATTACACAGATAATTATGTACTGGAACATACATTAATATCCACTGATATACATCTCTTTTAAAATATTTACTTGCATCATGGAAATTAACAAATGGTAGGCACAAAGGGATTCTGTATGCTTTTTGACAGCTAAAAAGAATGATATTATAACACAAAGCTTTCAATATTTGGGCAGGTGGTATAGAGACACCACTTTCAAATGGGTACTTATTTGGTTCTGTGGTCCAGTTTTGTTGATGCCTACATATCATGGCTAGAAAATGGTATCCATTTCATACAAGTTCATGTACACATATTTTAAGTGTGTCCATGGGCCCCCTGTTGAGGACTCCTGATATAAAGGCAGATATGGCAGCAACCTTAGATAAATAAATAGCACTTGATAGCAGTTCATACATATCCCACTGTTGAATATTCTGGTTGTATCGGAAGATTCTTAAGGGAAAATCCACTCCCAGGTTCAGTACATTTCCAGTTAGAAGGATTGGAAACAGGTGATGTGAAGGATGCTTGATGTTGATCTTGGACAACCATTGTTATTCAGGATAGGTACCATTGGGCAAGATGGACACATAATCTGGTGTGGTATAAGATGGCTTGCTATGTTTCTACCACAGAACTGGTATGGATTAGTTTTAAATAGCCCAGGCTATGAAGTGGTACAAGTTGATTGTTACATTTACAATTATTTTATTCAATTTCATTGTACAATTATTACTTTTCAATTCTCTCCTTTCTTTAATAGCAGCAGTAGAGATAAAGGGCAAAATCCTTTAAAAAAATACTATCTGAATGTAATGGGTGAGGGAGCCATTGGCACCAGGCTTTCAAAAGCTTTGCATAAATGCAAGTCAATCAAGTATGATTTTTTTTTCCTGAAAGTGTTTTTTTTTCCTGTAACAACTAGCTTGCTTTTAAAAGCATTGTTATTGATCCAAGGTCTTTACATGAGGCTAGATAAGCATCTCAAAAAAATATCTTCTAGGTTTTAATTCTGTTGTGTTTTCACTTCGTTTTGACATTCGTTATCTTTACCCCACCTGATTTCATGTGATTCAATCCCTCTTCACTTTTCCTGTTCTTTTACTTACTTTTAACATTTGGATATGGTCAAAAACATATGCATATATCAAATACCAAATACAGGCAGATGCTGGGTTTGCATGATCAAAATCGCCAATGATGGCTTAAATAAACCACTATAGTTTGCTGGCACCCTTTCCATAATTTGCCCCCACCCCCACTTGTAGCTTGTTGTATTGCCTGAACCTGGTGAGGGTGTGTTGTCTGCATAGTTAACAAACCACTCAGAAATCGTGAGCTAGTTTCGAGTTATGCATGGGTTTGTTAACCATGCCAACAACCCACCCTCACTGTATTTGGACAACTCAAGTTATAGAACAGGCACCTGTAGGCACCTGCAAGCCATTTAAACGCCCTCCATGGATTTGGATTATATGAACCTGTTTTATGAGCAACTCAATCCACTATTCTTCTTTCCTAAAAGCAACATTTGAATATTCAGTGAGATGCAAATGCTTAATCATATTTTAAAACTGTCTCCAGCTTGTTCCCTACTGTGCTTGTGGAGATACCTTATGTAATCTTTGCAAGGATAACTGGGGTAACTCATACAAAATTTGTGACCATCTAATTTAGCACTGTCAGCACTGATAGGTAGTAGCTGTTCAGGTTTTCAGACAGTCCTGCCTTGGAGCTGCCACAGACTGAAGCTAGCCCATTCTTCAGGCACAATATATGCTTCACCATTGAACTATAGCCCTCCTTCCCGTACTGTCATTCTCATAATTCAGATGAAGAGGGGTGTGTCAGAGAGCAACATGATTCATTTTAAGATGTGGGCAGGCAATTTCTGGCTCTCCAGATATTTTGGCCTACAACTCTCACCATCCCTAGCCAGTATAGCAAATGGTGAGTTACAGGCTCAAACATCTGGAGGGCTACAGGTTGTACACATAAGATCTGAACCAGCAATATCCTGTTACCATGCATGTTAAGTCAGTATCAACCCCCTGCTGCTCTCAAGAGAAACCTGTGACTCTCGATATCACATACTAGCTGTAGCCATCCAAAAAGTATATACAGGTGAGGGAGAAGGCAGGTGGAGGAGGGATGGCACACTCAGGCCCTCTTGAGCACCCAAAACAGAATGGATAAGAAGAGGGAAGTCCCTCGTGTGTGTGCTTGGTGTAACACTGCAGTGAAATGCTGCAACAGGGGACTGAATTCTTTCTCCCTTGCCAGTCCCAGGCAGCTAATTAAAAACAAACAACAACTTACAACTCTCTGCAAGCTGAATTGAGCCCTGTAACCATTTCAGAAGCCCCAAAAGCACTTCTGTTCCCATTTCCTCTCATTGTTTTGAGACCTTCTTAGTGTAATAGGTTATCAGGCCATTTCCTGGCTTACATATTATCTATTTACATGTCTTGTTCATTCCAATCTGACAGCCTGGGGCAGGTGCTAGTACAAGAAAACTGTGCACAGGAGCTATGCAATGAAAGATGACAGTGGTAAGAAAAACAGCAGTTAATCTGAGCTGCTGAAAGACAGTCCCACATTTGGGCTGGAATTTCTGGAAAAAGATCTGTCCTTTTGGATTCAGGAGTGTTCTTTTGTCCTGTTCTCCTAAAGACTTATGTTCTAACCCCCACCAAGAGCTCATTTTTACAACTTAAATATGAGGGGAACAAGCAACTGGAAGTCTGTATAAACTGTAAAGGAGTCTGTATTACCCCAGATTGAAGGTGGGGGATGCTATTTTTAGTGTCTTTCATTTTTTTTTTTAACGCAGTATCTCCCTGCAGATGACAAGCACACAAGGAATGGTCTGGACTGGGCTTTTTCTCAGTAATATGCTAGGTTTTTCCTTTTAAGGATTTTTTAAAATTTAAAGAGCATTCAACCAGTTTATTCTGTAAATTGACGAAGCCTCAGGTGTGTTCTACCAATAAGAAAGTCGAAGCATTTCACTCACATAGCACTTCCCAGTTCAACCTTTCAAACATTCATTGTAGAATTGTGAACTCCACCCACCAATTCCACCATACAATCTCTTTTTCCTTAGCCTCAACAGAACAGGCTGAAAATAAGGCATATCAAAGGAACGCTTCCAAGGCCAGAAGGTCACTTTTGTTTGTATGGGGCAAGCTAAGCTGGAAGCCTGTGCACCACTGCTTGATTATTCCTGGTATCAGTGTATTAAGATAGCCTCCCCTAACCAGGTAGCCTCAGGTGTTTTTACATTAACACTCTTAACATCCCAGCCAATAGTCAGGGATGTTGGGAGTTGTACTCCAAAACATTTGGTGGGCACTAAGGGTTAGCTCGAGATAGGTGATTAGTTATGCAAGGACCAGCCTCTGGAGTGTACTAAGAAAGATGAGAGTATGACACCAAGGGGGGAGTGGCAGAAACCCTGACTCAGCCATTACTCCCCGTATTCTTGATCAGTGAGCAGCTCCAAGGCGAGAGAGATGAATGACTGATTTCTTTCACCCACATCATGATACACATGACCCCTGCTGCAGGAAAATCGTATGACTATAAGCCGAGAGGTCAAGAGCATTGGTGGGATGCATCAGAGACACTGCTGATTCAACAGCAGGCAGGGCCTTGCAAAGTGATAACCACCATGCAAGTCCACATGGTAAACCATCTTTGTTAAAATATGGACCTCTAACAGGTGGGCTTGAGAGGTGCCCTGCTGATGAAGGAAATAGAAGTGCTTGTGCATTTCTAGTTCAGACTAATCATGCAAGCTAACTACAAGAAAACGACCGCTTCCCGCTTCACAGACAAAATAGTTTGCATGGTTGCAGAGGATGGCCAAGTAGTCTTATCATAAATGTATTATTTGGGAGGCTTGAATATGTTCATTTCTTAGGCTGACTCCACCTACTTCAGTCCTCTGATGAGTCTTGTAATATATCCTGACTTCCAGTCTCTGGGAACAGACAATGCTTTTTTCCTGTGGTTTTACAATTTTCCCAGATAACAGAACCTAAATGGTCTTCAGATGTATCTTGTCCAGTTTCTTATACACAGTGTTCTCTTACATGGAAGAATCCACATTCCTGGTACTTGCTTAGCTTGGCTGTCCTTGACTTCTGCAATTTTAAATTATGCTGAAACTGCACCTTGATAGAGATAGTTGCTACTCATGGGGCAGGAAATTAGATTGAGATTTTGTTCTCAACATAAATTACGGCAACATGTAAGAACTTCTGAATGGCTTGATGTCATCAGCAACTTGATCCGCCTGCCCACCCCCTACTGACCCTCCTGGTCAGCCTGTTGCTACTTGTCAAGCATCCTTTGCACCTCTGCTGATGGGGCAAAGGAACAGCTTCCACTTGCCAGCTCCTGCCCGTGTAGGCTTGGTGTGTTGTAGCGTCCAGCTGGGGTAATAGCAGTCAACTGTCCGGAATGGATGAGGTGCATTAATTCCAATTATGCCCCTCATTTTCATGAGACTTGAAACCCTGCCATCTCCCAGCTTCACTTGATTGCAACTGTCAAATAAGAAGCTTCCGTCTCATGCCAGACTGCAAAGCAGAGAACTGTAGGAATGAAAGGTATGTGTAGAATTTATTTTAGCTTTGCAATCCAATTCTGACTATGGGATGTTGATTTGATGTTTTCATAAAGCTGAAACGATTATGCTTTTTTCCTGTTAAATTTGCTAGCTTAATTCCATATTTTGCAAGACCCAAGGGAAGGAAGATGCAGTGAAAACAATTTTTCTACACATATTCATCTATCTGTACTTCCATCAGCCATTCTTGTTCTGACACCGCTTACATTTATAAGCAGCTTTCTTTCTCTGGCCACTTTGACCAGTCTGTATTAAACTACTCAGCTTAAGGCTGCAATACTTTGTTTTCTAAGCATTTACACCAGACAACACATATACAGAGGTTCCCAATTAATTCTGATTTGGACTTGTATGAGTTACACCTTAATAGGCAAACCAGTTCTGAAGTATGCAAACCCTCCTTTCTGCGGCAAACTTCCTTCTACATGTTTAGTAAGAACAGATGCCTGAAGGAGGAAGTGGCATCACTGCCACCTTCAGTTGCTTGACAAAGGCTGTCATCTAGATGAAGCAACCATGTTCAATTGTTTCAAGGGATGGAACAGATTGGATTTACAAGAAACTTTAGACTGAACATTAACAAAAGCTTCCCAGTGGCATTAACAGTGCAAACAGTCAAGCAGACAGCCTTGGAAGTTGGTGGCGTCTCCTTCAGCAGGCGTTTTTAAACGGGAGTGGGATGGCCACCTATGGGGGTGACGTTCTGCTGAGTGACCTGCAGTGGCAAGGGGCTGGATGTCCTTTGAGATCCATTCTGCGGTTCTGAGTTTGTTTTTCCCCCTTGTCCTCTCCAAAATAAGACATATCACTGAAGGAATAAAGGAATGATTTATTTCAAGGTTTTTATACAATTCAAAGCAGGAGGGGATGGGGAGGCATTAATTCCCTTCAATCCAAATTTCCTCAACATTTTACATATCCTAGGAAGGAAGCCCATCACATGTCAGCACAGCCAAGTCCTAAACGGATAGACAATACTGTCTGAAAGAGAGGCTTCCTCCTCACTCAACTGGAAAGCTGAGGAAACCAAAAGACATCCCTCACTCCAATTATTCTGCTTATACAATCTCCATCTTTGAGAACCCGCAGGCTCCAGCAGTCTCAATCATCCAAATTGGTACCCCTAAATAGCACGCATGTAGATAAGGACTGAAGAGGTTAGTCCATCTAAAATGTGGCTCTCCCTCACTTTCAACTGAGATGGGTTCATTCCCACTCCTTACAGTGGACACTGGACTCTTCAGCTCTTTTTAGTGCTCACACGTCTGAAATATCTTGTCCACCCACACCACTTGGTAGCTATGGGGTAGCTGGGCTGTCCCCTCACAGCACACACAGATGTGATCGTCCATCATTTTCTCAGCCTCTCCCTTCCTTTTAAATTTACAGTTGCCCGATTGCTGCAGGTTCCACTCTTTTTGGATTTAGTTTTGCATGATGGGGTTAAAAAATTTGCACACAGTTTAAAAATATCATTGAGTGGGGGAAAATTAGAGGGCAGCTATATTAGTTCATAGTTGCAAGATGGCAAAGTGCCATGGCATCACATATGCCAACTAGTTTCTTGAAGTATGTTACATACCCAGCCGCACAGTTTCAGATGCAACAGGGTGGTGAGGAGCGAGAGGTGGGCAACTGCAAGCCCTACCTTCTCCAGCCAGAGGAAGTAGATGAGGCTGGAAGCCTTTTCCATCTGCACAGCTTTTTAAATGATGCAGTTAAAGCAGAAGAAGGGGAACACTTGCCCCTCTTCAAGCTAGGCACACTTTTCAGATTATAAAGGATCTTATCCTGCATTACGTACCAGATGTTTCCCACAGCGATGACCAAGATTAGATGTGCATTACAGATGTTTCAAAAATGGCACTAACCAGGGGACAAAACCCAGCACAGACATGCCCTCCATTTGTGCAGGGAGGAACCAGGACTCCTGGGTTCTTGAGGAATGCTGGGTGCCAGAACCTTTTGCTTCTTTTCCCAGTTTTCAAAAGGCAGTGGGGTTCAGTGGATTATAAGAGGGAGAGTCCAGAAGCCAGGATTTTATATTCAACTCCCCTTGCTAATAATGCCCAAGGGATCAGAAAATGGCCCTGCTAAAAATAGCATTAGTTTATTAACTCATTAACAAAGACAATAAAATGCCAAAAAAGGAGATGACATCCCCCCTTTCAATTTATTTGAAGGGAGAAATAAAGGATAAGGGGAACTGATTTCTTTTCCCTTCTGTAGGGGAGGGTAACAGACCCTCCCTTTCCCCAACCTGGGCACCAGGGTCTCACCCCAACACATCACATTAAGGGGGTCCAGAGATGGGTTACCAGGGTTCACAGCCACGTAGCAAAGCGCAGTTGTACAGCAAGTCGATAGGGGCACCTCCAAATTGGTGCCCCCTGAATCCTGTGCTCCCTTCAAAAATCCAGTAGGGGAGCTGGGTACAGTCCCAAATCATCTCCTGGTGAAGCAGAGACCTGTAAGGAGAGGGGATCTCGTGAGGATTATTACCACTGATGCTAGAAGCCCTGATGACTGATCAATTGACTATGATTTGGTTCATGTATAAGGCGGTAACATTTAATCACCTAGCAGAGCATGTTAAAGTTACTAGGACTGCTATGGATCATCCTGCTCACCTCCCATCCATATACAGTACATGCATCAGTTTCTGCAAAAATTTGTAATCATCAGTAAAGCCAGAAGAGCTCCAGGAAAGACTAGGGCATATGTTCTTCAGCTATGGGTGGTATAACAATGTAACGTAATGATAATGTGTTATGCATATGCAGGCAGTGTGGCAAGTGTTCCATGTGTATTTCACAACTTGTGTTAAGTGGCTTGCTACATGGATTAACCCCAGGGTGAGGGTGTCCCCAGGATGGTACTAATTATTGCTTCCTTCCACAGGTTTGTTTCACCTGCAAAGCGGAGACTTTAGCCACTTGTTCAAGAGGGCAATTCACAAAAGTATCATCCCAAAGTAACTGGTTCCTTTGCTCAGAAACGAAACTACTAGACAATTGCTATCAATGATCTTTGATTAAGTGGATGTAGCTCAGGTCAACATACTTCTGTATCACAGCTGGCTTCCTTGAGTGGAAAGGTGGTACTAAAACTAGCACTAGAGTAGTGTTCCATGAGGAGTAAGAGCTGTACTCACCAGTGGTCTAAACAGCCCCTCAGGGCCCTTGGTAGCCAGGCTGGAATCGTGCCGTCTCCTCAAATATCAGTTCTTTCAGCTTCTCTTTGGGCAGGTCATCCAGCTCCATGTCAAAAGTGAATGGTTCCTCAGCAACTGGCTGGGATAGGGCAAAATGGAGAAAGATAGAACCCAGGCACCCTGGATCCCCAACTCTTTCCCCCACCAAACCCACTAGAGGCCTACTATCTTTTGTTGTTCCACACCTGCCAATCCCTTTGAATACTGTTCATTCCCAAAGAACCAAACCATACAGCACCTCATCTGAGGGATCGTAGTACTGCTCTAGGTAAGGATGGGCCAAAGACTCCTCCACTGTGATGCGCTTATTGGGATTAAAGGTCAACATTTTGTCCAGTAGGTCCAGAGCTAAAAATGGGGAAAAGATGATGCAGGATCAGCAAACAGAAAGCAGATGGCAACAGGAAGAACACAACAGGTTGATAGATGTAGTTTCAGGGCTGGAATATTGCCAACAGAGTGCAGTAAAGGTTGACGAGCCACTAGTGTTTCAGCCTGGTAGTCTTAAATGGTCAGAATCCATGTTAGTTGAATGCCAACTCAAGTGACACCACCAGACAGCAGAAGCCCTCCTGTATCCGAAAAAAAGATACAGTCTACTCTACTGTTGGGGAACCTGTGGCCTTCCAGACATCATGCTAACTACAGGCCATGATGGCTTAGGCTGATGGGAGTCAGAAGCAAACCACATGGGGGAACAAGTGCCTTGTTACAATGTACAAGAGCTCTAATTTACATGCGTGCTAGAATACTAAACAAATTCTAAGAAGTTGGCCCAGCCTCTTGTAGAAGCCATGCTAATCCATCCTCAGCAAGGCTTGTTCTTCTGTGTACTTAACATTTGAGCTTTAATAAAGCTTTCTATCAATGTCCTTAGGGTGGAAGCTAGACTTACAGGTGTCATTTCTGAGACTTCCTCTAAAACTCTTTTTAAAAATTGTGTTTATACTGACTACCCTCCAGTATCCTGGTAAGGAGGTGGCCTTTAATGATAAGCTGCACCGACCTACTTGGTGTTAGTTCAGTTGTTTCACCTCTGAACTCCTTAAGAGCTTTTGGATAAATACCACCTAATTAATTTCCATGAATTAGCTCTAAAACATCATCCTTTATTTATTAAAAATGTTTATATACCTTTCTAAGATGCTTTCCCAAAATGTCCTATCCCAAAATAATGCTCTGAATGCTGGTCCTTCAGCAAATATGTTCTACAAGTAGGGACATTTTGGTTCTTTCCAATTTCCTGTCCTCCTTCAATACAACTTTCAAACCTGCTGTCATCTTAAGAAGGTTCTATTGCCTTTTTGGTTGCTTTCCTGATGTTTAAAAGAAACTGCTTTTGCCTGCTTTTATGCCACACATACTAAACGTTTCTGGAAGTTATGTTTAATCTCCCGAACTCAGTGGGACTTCCTTCCCAGTAGATGCCAGCCTTCAGCAAATTCCACTATCAACAAGCCATGGGCAGGAAAGGCTTTGATACTGGCAAGCGAAATGGCAACATCAGCACACATTCTGTCATGAATGGTGCTGGTAAGGGTTTCTTCCTTTAATACTATATTTATTTATTTTATTGATTACAGCATTTATATCCCGTCCTTCTGCAGAAGCGCTCAGGCTGGCTTACGTAATACTACGGACCTGCTTGGTAAGCTGGGGGTGCAGGAGGAAAGGGCTGGCCACACCATTTTCAGTCTCTTGTGTTGTTCAGTATTGCACTTGTTTTCCTATAAGCAAAGCTGGTTCTTCCATGCAATCTTTTGTTCTTCTATCTTTGCATCATTCTTTGCCTTTGCAGCTCTATACTCCACTCCTCACCCTAAGAATATTTTCCTTTTAAATACCTCCCCATCCACAAGCCATTTCATTCCAATGGCAGGTAGACTTGTTGACTGACTGACGGACTGAATGGGAGAGGTCAGGTGACAATTTCAAATCTCCTTTTACTTCTCTCAGCACCTCTTTCTCCACAGCCTCACTTGCAACTTGTTTCTTTGCCTTTCTCAAACCACAGTTTACCATCAAAAAGAAAAAAAAGGCTGACTAAGAAACCATTAGAAACAGAATGTACAGGGAAGCTGCTTCAGTGAAGGAAAAAAAATCTGGACTGCATTGCTATCGACTGCATTGTTATTTGTTTTCCGGCACCAGGCTAAGACCTTTTTATTTCAACAATATTTTAATAACCTCTAACATCAGGCTACAGGTTTTAATCTGCAGCCAGGGTGGATCTGGATTTTATTTGCATTATATTTTATTTTATGTAAGCCATCCCAAGGCTATGCGATGGGACAACATACATACATACAAACAAACAAAAAAACGTTTTGGGAGAGGAAAACCCAGTATCCCCATGCCTTTTAAAGCCTAGTTTTAAAGATGAGTTGCTTGGTAATACATGCAAGCCAGTGTGGAGTAGTGGTTGAGTGTGCTGGGCTGGACTCATGAGTTCGAGTCCCTACTCAGCCATCAAACCCACACACTGCTTTTCTCAGCCTAATCTACTTCACAGGGTTATTGTGAGGACAAAATGGAGAGGAAGAGAACCTTGTAAGCTGTCTTGAGTTCGTTGCTGGGATATAAATGCAATGTAATAATTATTGTAATGTCAGTGGAGGTAATGTCTGATTTTCAGAAAGGGACCTGCAGAAGGACTCTGGCTTATCGAGAAATGTGCTATTGACCCTTCCCTTTAATTCTGTGGGAGGGACAAGCAGCCACTTTCTGGCTAGAAAAGAAAAGATACATTGCATTGTTTCAGAAATGCTTTTTACTATATTCTTCTCTGGTACTAGGCATATTTTGGGGTCACAAAGCCTGAACATAAGTTGTGGACCCGATAAATTCACTATAGGCTATAGCAAAATGGGCCGACTGAGAAGGGTTATTTCTATGGCTCTTTTTTTCTTCTCCAGCTCCTTCTGCACCCTCCCTCTAGCTGGATGACATCACTTCCTAGGGACCAGAAGAAACTGCTATAAACACCTCTATGTATCACTAAAACCCTGCACCTTTTAAAAGCTTAATTATAAGTTGCTTTGTGAGCCACTTGGCCAAAAAGTAGGGCATAAACATAACCATCTTCAGACATTTTTGCTTTGAGGCTTCTACCATTAATATACAAATACCTGTATGCTTTGTGCTCCTTTACAAGGCTTTTTGATTAACACCCCCCACCACGATATTGTTGCCCGTCTAATGTCTCTGCATAATTATGAACCCTTTTCAAGGACACAGAACATTTTGATCGTTCCCCTCCCCACCACTCCCCTTTCTCAGGGTGGAGTTATCTCAAATAAGAGGCTTCTTTGCTTCTGTCAACTTTCTTCTGGATGTCAGTTTTAAAAGCTGCTCTACAACCTTTTTTGATTGAAAATGCCAGAAATCCCATTCTCTCTGAATTCAAGTGGAGCCTCTTTTGTAAAGGTTCAACTTCGCCCAAGAAATTCCCAAATATCTAATAAACTGTTTTCTTACTCATAGTTAGTATTTTTTATTTTGTATTTAATAATAGTTTGCATTTTTATTAGAAAAAAAGAACAGACAGTTCAGCTACAAATGAGTTTAGGATTCTTGTCTCATTCACAGCTACACAGAAAGGGAATTTCAGCGAGGGTTGCCTCTGCTACCCACTAAATGATAAGAAAATTATTTTTAATACTTGGGTAGAAAACGGAAGGAGGCAGCCTCGTCATGCTAGTGAGAGAGGAGAGAGGAAGATAGAGATAATGGTGTGGTGTTGCCCAGGGAAATGCAGAACCGAAGGGTGCCGACCCTTGCCTCATCCATTGGCTAGGGAAACAAACGCCACTGGGAGGCTGAGTCCCCAGCCTTCAAAAACATCAGAGCAAGGAGGAGGGACAAAACCAACCTGTCCTTTCTGTCAGTATCTGAAGCATGGAGCCTCCTTTGCCCTTGCCAGAAAGCACACCTATTCAGACCGAGGTCAACCAGAAACAGATTGGTTGCTCCAGTGTTTCCCCTGCCCCTTCCCATTTTGTAATGACCAGGTTTCTACAATGTGGCCAGTTCACTGAGGCTCACTTAATTCATGAGTAGCTCAGATGTGTGCTGTGGCTGTTTTGATTGCACAACCTGCAATCAGGGGTTGCACCATGTCATCTGAACCTGGTCATCATAGTTTAAATGACCCCCACTTAACCCACAATGTGCAGGAGAGGTTAAGGCTGGGTTGTTTGACTCTCACATAACTGATGCCTAGGTTCAGATGACATGGCATAACCTCCAACTGGGGGCTGCAGAATCAGAATGGCCATGGCACACGCTGCAGTTTGTGGTGGATGAAATGCTTGATGAACTGGCTGTGTCTTCAAACCAGATGTCACTATTGGACTGAGAGACTCTCGATCAGGGCTGTCTCATCTTTCAGGATGTGCATAGTGCGTAGAAAACTGTAGGTGCTCTATTTGAGATAACTCCACCCTGAGGGAGGGGAGGGGAGGGGTGGGGAGTGGAACGGCAGTATTTTATAAATAATAAAAAGTGTTCAGTCATCATAATATACCCCATGTTGCACTTCACACTAGTGTCAAGCAACTGTCCACATTTCCATTCAGCTCATGTGGTCCTATTGGTTCTCAGGGTCTAACGAGGAGAACAGCCGTTCTGGGAAACCCACAAGGAAAGCACAGAAAGTGTCTTCACCTAGGAAGAAAACTAGACCCTGCATGCTGCAAATCAGATAACTTGGGTCTGCAACACAGTTTGGAAAGTCATTGAAAATGTGTGTGCTTGGCCCAATTTACTTTTAAATTTTGGTGGGAGGACAGCAAGCTTCATGCACAGGTAGGGGCCTCTCCTTGCAGCAACTACTGACAGGCATGGAATGCAGATGACCAAGAACAGATGTTGGGAAAAAGTGGGTCTCATGGTATATGTTAATATTGCAGGTAGAAAAGATAGAAGAATTCTGGCCTCAGCCATACTGATGCCAAAGCAGATGAACATTTTGGAACATTGGTTATCAGCATCTCATGCAGCAAACTTCATTCTCTCTTACCTTTGGGATCAGCCTTTGGGAAGAGCTTGGCCCAGGGAACCTTGGGTTTTTGGGGCAGTGACTGGAGATAGTTGCGAGCTTTCATGTTGATGATGCAATTCAGGTCATCCTGAGAGGGAGAACCCAGTATACCTGCAAAGATGGGCAGACAGAGTTAAGTATCTAGGGCGGAGCAATTCCTAAGGAAAAAACAAGCATTAACACTAATAAGAAAGGCTGGGGCACTGGAAAGGGTGCAATCAAAGACCAGGAAGGAAGCAGCACCAGCCATTGAAAAGGAAGCTGAGAAAATCTCTTTCTTCTGCCGTCTTGCCGAAAGCTTTGCTCTTTCTTCTTCCCCCTTACCCAGGATGTGGTTGAGCTGGTCCAGGTAGTGCTTGCCAGGGAAGATGGGCCGGTTTGACAGCATCTCGGCCAGGATGCAGCCCACAGACCATATATCAATGGACTTGGTGTAGCCCTGGGAAAGGGGAAAAAGACATGGAAAGAGAACCCAGGCTTTGGGACCTTTTGGTGCATCCCCACTCTCATCTTCTATTAGGGCCATGCATAACAACCCCTCAACCAATGTGACTAACATTTCCTCCCTGCACAGCAGCTTTCTAGAGGGATAAAAGCTCAAGCTTCCAATTCACCATCAAAATGGTGATTTCAAGCAGTACTCAGAAGACTTCTGTTTCCAAATCTTGCCTGTAAAGTCATGAAGTCCAATAGCAAGAGAGACCTCCACTGTCTTAGTTAATAGAAGTGGGATAGCAGCCCAGGAACACAGGGGAAGGTGATGAATACTGGGGAAGGAATTAGCATAGTATTCGGAATTTAAAAGGGAGACTTGCACAATACTGCTATCCATTGTGGATATGTAGCCACTGCGGATTGTTGTGTGAACTCAAGATTGTTTTCCACAGGGTGGCTTGGCTTCCCCCCTCAACAAGCCAGCCTGATAACCCATGGTTTTTTTAAGGAACTACCGAACCCTCAAAGAATTGTTGTGTCATTCAGTCCAAGGCAGCCAACCCTGCTGAAGGGAGTGGCAGGCAAGACACCTGGCACCGGTTGCAACTACTCCTTGCCAGGCTCACCCGGGCCATTGTCAGTGACATCTGGGCGCATACATCTCTGTCAAATAACCCCGTTTAACCTTGTCAAAATCCATTTTAAGTGAAATGCTTATGGCAGATGTCAAAAGTACCTGTTCCCTGTAAACGGGGTGGGTTGCATTTTCTATTTTCCAGAACACCTAGAGGGTTGGGAAAGGCTGTAAAAGCTGGAGTACACTAAGAATTCTTGGGCCCCAGTATAAAATTTTGAGGATCTCACTGTGGAGGCGGTAGTGTGGCCACTACCTCTTTTCATAAGCAAAGATCATGTGGCTTTGCTCTGTGGTTGACAGCTTGCCATTTGACATCTGTTGAGCCTGGCTTTGTCAATGAACATGAATTGCTATGCTAAGATGAGGAAAGTCTTTGCATTTCAGGCAGTCACAGTTACATACTTGTGCTACTACAAAATACTGACAAAATTACAATTAATGAAAAAATTTGCGAACATTTCTGGTGCAAAAATAAAAAGGCGGCAGACCAGTGATGGCTGCTCCAATGTACCACTTGGGCACTTTGGAGGAGCTGTCACTTTGCAGATTGCCGAAAGCCACAGTGACCACATGGACCACATGGACCACATGAACATGAAGAAAGCAGGCAAGACTGGTTCTGCCAGACATGCTCTTGGAATACCTGTGGGAAGACAGAGGGTAAAATGAGGGGTGACACAACCCAAGGTGAGTCCAACCACCTATTGGGCACACTGTGGGTCATTCCATAACGTACACTGTGATGCTTATTCATAAGGTGGGTTTCTGTGTTGTGCAAGCTCACCCAAATAATAAGTGCAAGTTGGTTATAGGAATCTGAACAAATAAGGGATTGAACAGAAAGACATTTGAAGATTATAATGTAATGATCCTTTTGCTGAGAGTGAACTTTTACTGTTTTAGAGTTTTCAGTCTTCTTCATGCTGTTTTTATGGCCATAAGAGACCTGACTTTTCTTCCCAGAGAAGTTGGGAAGCCTCACTCCAAGCTAACCAAACAGTTTTGGTATCATGTGACTTGGGAATCCTGGCTCCCAATTCCCTCTACTCTGATCAACCTACCTTAGAATTGAGCATGATTTCAGGGGCTCGGTACCAGCGGGTGGCAACATACTCTGTCAAGAAACCTGTATGGTCATGATCTGGGTCAGCAATCCGGGCCAGGCCAAAGTCACAGATCTGTAAGAAGACAAAAGAATGGGATGTGCAAGAGTGACAAACCCAAAATAAGTACAGGTTTAATTGGGTTGCATCATGCAGCAGGGGAGAGACTGGTGTCAGATGGAGAAGGAAGCAGAGCAAAAGCTGCTGAATGCCACCTTCAGGTCACATGTGGTGTTGATTAGAAGATTGCTGGGCTTCAGATCCCGATGAAGCACATTGGCAGAGTGAATGTATTTCAGCCCTCGGAGAATCTGATAGAGAAAGTAGCAGATGTGATCGTTGCTGAGCTGCTGCGTCTTCAGCAGCTTATACAGATCTGTCTCCATCAAATCCTGAACAATATATCTACAAGGAGAGAAATGGCGCCCTCTCCAGGGCAGGAGAGGCAGAGACAGCAGTTAAGAAAATAACTGTTAGAGTGCAGAACGAAGCAAGCATGTCTGGAGCCAAGTATTATGCATGTACAGAGTCAAATGAGCTGTGACACCACCTACAAGCTCTCCTCCTGGGCTGTTTTGGCTGGAGTTAGGCCAGCTGAAAGGCACTTATAGCACTTTCGATGAGTCTCCAGTGGCATCCACCTCCATTGTTATGAGGCATCCAAGACCAGCCCCTCCTTATACACCTGTGATGTACTGAAAAAGCTTTATTTGCTGAAAAGGACATAAAAGACAAAATTTCTCAGGCTCAAGCTATTAACAGTGTAACACCTGGACCCATGCCCAGAAGGCAACAGGAAACTGATGCTAGTGTAATCTATTCCTAGCAATCCTGATATACATCAGTATTTTTTGAGTCAGCTGAAGCTTCTTAAATGCACATGTGGTTCAAAGATGGGTTGGGGGTGGTGAGTGAATATAGATCGCCCACATCCTTTTGTGCATAAACATCCATTCATGTGGCATCCTTCTATATTTGGAAGGGGCAGCAACAGTTTACAAGGATACACATCACGCATCTGATCAATGGTGGGTGCTCGGAGAATGTCATTGATGCCAATGACATTCTCATGCTTGAAGCGCAAGAGGATCTTGATTTCTCGCAGTGTGCGTTGGCAGTATGTCTGGTGCTCAAAGGGACTGATCTTTTTGATGGCAGCCCGGATCTTGTTGACATGGTCATATGCAGAGCTGTGAATTGAGGAAGACAGACAGATGTAAACCAGGACTCTAAGTCTGTGCACACACTCAGTCTTTCACCTCAATAAATTAATTTTGCATATCTTTTATCTCCAAATTGCTATATGCTTTTTTTTCTCTTCTCCTCCATTGGATGAAATGAGTCTATTAGTTCACAAGAACAACTTGATGGGAGAACGCTACTCAGGAGAGCCTTAAATTTACACCCAGATTTTAGATTTCAAACAATGAAGTTAACAGATTAATATAGAGAAGGAGAAAAAAAGAAAGCAGCCAGCACAGATGTACAGATAATGTGGTACAATTTTAATTATTCCTAAGGCTCAAGTGTTCAGCACACTTTATCAAAATTTGGCCAAAGTACTGACTTTTGGCAAGCCTACTAAAGCTGACATAACATGGGTATAATTATGACAATAGATGAAATGAGCAAAAGCTGTTGTGATACTGAGTGTAAATACAAAACCTGGAGAAAGTTAGGTAGTCATAAATACTTCAGTATTTTAAGGGGGGGGGGGTCGAGTTTGAAAGCTACAGGTATTGCAGTTCATGTGGAAGCTCAGATACCAGACCCAAGTGCTGGCCCACTTACTAAGTCTATCATGCAGAGATACTGCAATATCCATCTTGGTTTAAGGAGCCATTGAGGCTAAAACTGATGCACACATCTGCACTCCAGAAGATCCAATACAGTGTGAACATTACTGTAAGAGCTGTAGGCCTGCTGCTGATTTGAGTATTGAGAAAGCATGCCTTATCAGTGACTAGGATCAATAGTCTCAATATGGCACTTGGCAAATAAAAACTATCAGGCTTACAGGGATGGTGCAGAGTAGATATGATATGGTACCTTGGTGAGTGGTTCCTGTGCTACTTAGTAACTACAGGGCAAGAAAATATTTATAGGTAACCATGCTAGCCAACTCCTGACTCATCAAAGGTTTCTGTGGTGCTAATGACTGGCACAGGGCAACATTTATCAGCTGCAGCTTTTCTGCTGGCAATGCTGCAGTGCTAAAGGATAATAAAGTTGCAGCCACCAGATTTCTTACGCTCCTAATAGTAAAACACACAGATGTACCCTTCAAGACTGCTGACAACTGGCATCGTGGGTGTTCACAAGCAGTCTGGCAAATATTGGCACAAGCAGAGAGGTGCCTGTAAGGGCCAGTCCCTGGGAGGGGCTTCGAATACAATGACTTGGCTGGCTGGGGTGTGCTTCTAGGAGGTTTGGGTTTCCACTGAGCTAGACAGTACTTGCAACCGGAGTCTGTGAGAGAGGGGTTCATACGGGTTCAATGGGCAGGAGAAATCTTTAAGGGGAAGCACTGCATCTAGGAACCAATAGGGAAGAGATCTGGATGGAGGGAAGTATAACATTGAGGGAACGATACTCGCCTACATAGGAGTTCACGAAGGAACAATATGGCGGAAACCTGTTTGCGAGGATACGGAATCCGCGCGGGGCCAATTTCTGGGAGTATAGGCCTGGATTTTTCGCCCGGGTACGGCAACCGGACAGGGCCATTCTGCACGGTTCGCGCTCACACTCACCAGACCATGCCGTACGCTCCTTCGCCAATATACTGCAGGTCCGTATAGCGCGGCCCCACGTCAAACACCTGCCCTTTCACCATCTCCACTCCCAGCCTTGGCGCTCCAGGTACCGGGACAGCCCCTGCCCCGCCTGGGGCCGCTGTCGCCGCCGCTGCCGCCATGGCCGATCTAATCAAGAGGCTCCTGCAGCCGCTCCTATCGCAGCTTTACCCGGAACCGACACCGCCCGAGAACAGTGCGCATGCGCTCGCTGAAAGAACGGAGTGACTGCTGTTGCCCATGCGCCACACAGCAGCTGCGGCTTGAGGCTCTTCTACAGCGCATGCGCCCAGCCAGCCCGCTAGCGTTTCGCAGGCCGCAGCGCGCTTAGATCGTGTTGGAACGTCATGAATTCAACCCGGAAGCGCCGCACCCAAAACATTCCACCAAAGCGAAGCCACGCCTTTTTCTCCGCGCGCGCTTCTGTCCCGCTGGGCCCCGCCTCTTGGCTCAGCGCGCCGCCAATCCTCTCTTCAACCGGGCCCGTTCGCTGCTGCTTCAGGGCCGCCCCCTGCCCGCCCCCTTCCCGCGCTGGCGAGTGCGAGGCCGCGCTGCGGGTTTTTTCCCCGCTTTAGATTCCTGCGACCCGTGGCGTTCCGGACGGAGCTGCGTAAACCTCCACCTCGTTGGATTGCTGTGTGTGGCGAAAAGACCGCCTGCTTTGATTTGCTCTGTTTGTAGATTCGCTCTTAGCTGTAAACGAGTTGAAGGCGCTTTAAAATACAAAATCATTCACGCCTAAAAATCTAGAAAGCAAGTGCCAGCAGTAGCATGGAAGCAGGGTGCAGCAACAGCGTGCTTAGCCCATTGCTGAAGGCAGGCTTTCAGCCTCTGCAAAGAGAGGAAAAGGCAGATTAGTTCAGTTCTTGTGTGAGAAAATTCCAAAGAATGGGGCCACCCGAGAAAAAGCTCTGCTCCTTTCAAGGGGCAGCTTAACATCCACGATTGCTGATAGTCAGGAAGAGATCATTGGCATATCTTAAATATTTTAAACTATTATGTAATACTAATATTTGTACTAGACAAATAGAGTTTGTCTAGCATAATTGTCTAGTATAATTTGCCTAATATAATTGTATTATTCTAGTTTATGCACTTGAAATGGAGACTGCAGGCAAGAAATTGAGGACAGCAATAAAAGAAGACATTTCACTGGAGACGGTGGACAAGTTCATCCACAGTATAATATTCCTTATCACCATGTATGGGTGTTAAAGCTGAACAGTGAAGAAACTGACGGGAAAACCAAAGGGATTGAAGCATGATGCTGGATGAGGCCTTGGCAAATGTTGTGGACTGACAAGTGGGTCCTAGCTCAAATCAAGCCAAAACTTGCCTTGAAAATGAAGAAATTGAAGCTTTTGTACATCATGAGAAAGCAAGACCCACTGGAGAAGATGGCCATGCTAGGGAAAGGCAAAGGCAAAAGACAAAGTAAGAGACGGATCATAATTCCGTAAAGGAAGCCACAGCCTTAAGTTTACAAGAGCTGAGCAGGGCTGTCAAGAACCACACTTTGGAGGGCACTCATTCATAGAGTTGCCATAAGCCCAGGAAAACTTAGAATTTATTTATTTATTTTATCTATTTAGAAAATTTCTTTGCCGCCCCATTCGCCGAAGCCTTGGGGCGGCTCACAAATAAATCAATTAAAATACTAGAACGTAGAATCATAGAAGAGTAGAGTTGGAAGGGGCTGTGATGGCCATCGGGTCCAACCCCCTGCTGTGGCAGGATACCACGTTACACCTTGACAACACATCATAATGTGTATACTTTCTCTGTTATTTTCAGTTCTTGATTTATTCTTAGTTTAATTTCATGTTTATTAATTTCATTAGCATCTGATGAAGTCCATAAAAAGATTCAGCCATCATATTTATTATACATATATGTGTATATTTTATTTGCCTTTTTTCCTGCAAGGAAGCTAAGGTGACATAACCCTTTCTCCATTTTATCTTCATAACACCCCTTTGAGGTTGGCTAGGATAAAAGAAACTGGCTCAAAGTCACCTACTCAGCTTTATGGCCAAGTGGGAACCAGAACCCAGGTCTCAAATAGCACTCCAAACCTAGCTGTAAAACCTTTTCCAATCTAAAACATGCCTAGATTGCACCTTTAGTTAGTGTTTACCAAAAGCCTCTTTTTAAAAAATATTATCAAGAGTTTGCTCAATATCAAATAGATTTAAGAACATACTGGCATAGCATTTTATCTTAAGAGCCACCAAAAACAATGACATAAATCTTTAAATCTGATAAAAATGGAAAGGTTTCATATCTCATAAAAAAAGAAAGCACTTTGGACAGCCATTTGAGAGGGATTTAACCAGGGGTCCTGCACCAAGCAGGTGGTTGGGACCCAGTGGCCCTCTGGCCCCTTCCAACTCTACTATTCTGTGATTCTGTTCTAATTGCTAGGAAAATTCCTGCTCTAGATTGATCCTTAAAGAAAAGGTGTGTTGCTTTGGTAGCATAACCTGAAAGTAGTAACATGAGGGATAAGTAGAGTCCTTGATTAAATTTAAATGGGTTCAAAGCTGACCCCACAATAAATAGCTGCATTCCCATTCTGATGTAAGTCTCACTGATTTAAGTGTAGCTTACTGCCAGGTAGACTGGTATGGGTTTGGAGACAATCCCATGCATGTTTAGACAGAAAAACAGCCTAGACCAGGAATTGCTGGGGTTGTAGTGCTTTCTGTATAAATATGCATAGCGCTTTACAAGCTGCCACACGGTTCACTGTTGTTTTGGCTATGACAGAATTGTTGGGGTGGCTTTCAGCTGGAGCAATTCTCTTGACTACAAGGGTGCTTCCAGATGGAAGCGTTCCTTGGAATACTGTTCAAAAGACATTGCGGAGCTATTCCATGTTTTGCTCCTTACTTTTTTGAGGGGGTGTGAGAAAAGAAGAACCACCAAGTGACCGGAAAACTCAGGAGGGTTGCAAGTGGAAGATAATGAAGTTTGTTCCCCTCCACCAATGAGTTGATTGCACAAGAAAAACATGCTCTGGAAGCACTTTTCTTTACTTAACTCTCAGCAGGACCATTAAAAAAAAAAGTTCTTCCCTAGGACAATTGAAATTCTGGACCTGGTTAAGTGAGCAAATATTTCAGATTTTGCCTAATTATCCAGCATTTTAAAAAACGCAAACCAAATTGTCTTACTTTATTTTGATCTCGCTAGCTAAGCATCCTCATCTTCAACCACTGGAAATAGTGTCCTTTTTTTTTTTTTTTACATTTTTATGCCGCCCCATTCGCCAAAGCCTCAGGGCGGCTTACAACAATAAATAAAAGTCGTTATAATATAAAATACAATAAATATAAACATTAAAAATCCAAAAAATACAATATAAAATAATACAATATAAAATAAGCCGCCCTGGCCAGATAAGATCAAATAATACTAACAGTTAAAATGCCGCTTAAATAAAAAGGTCTTCTCCTGGCGCCGAAAAACAAATAACGACGGCGCCAGGTGGACCTCTCTGGGGAGCGCATTCCATAACTTAGGCACCACCGCAGAGAAGGCCCTCCTCCGAGTACCCACCCTCCTAATTTCTTTCACGGAGGGTTCCCGGAGAAGGGCCTCTCCCGCTGATCTCAAGGGGTGGCCGGGCATATATGGATGTAAGCGCTCCTTCAGGTAACCAGGACCCAAGCAGTTTAGGGCTTTATAGGTCATCACCAACACCTTGAATTGGGCCCGGACTTCAATGGGAAACCAGTGAAGCTGACGGAGAACTGGAGTCATGTGACCATAACGTCCAGTCCCCGTCAGCAGCCTGGCAGCTCTATTTTGAACCAACTGAAGTGTCCAGACCGTCTTCAAGGGTAGCCCCACGTAAAGTGCGTTACAGAAGTCAAGGCGGGAAGTCACCAGCGCGTGTGTCACTGTCACCAGGCAGTTGTACTCCAGGTAGGGGCGCAGCTGATGAATCAGCCGAAGCTGGAGGAAAGCGCTCCTCGCCGCTGCTGTTACCTGAGCTTCCAGTGAAAGCTCCGGGTTGAGGAGCACTCCCTTTGGCTTCCAAGGAATGGGGATACCCACATAGTAATATTAACCATATGGGTTATGTGCTCTCCATTTCCCTCCAGCAATTAGTAGCTTTGGTGGTGGTGCTACCGCGATTGGTTTCCTTTGAAGGAAGGAGCTCTGGAGCTCTTGCTTCATTTACAAATATGACACCAGTACCAGCTTTGCTGAATCCTGATCCATTTCTGGGCCTAAGGTGATCAAATTGTGACCTATGAAGCCCTCCACAGCTTGAGACTTATGCATCTGAAGCCGCTTCTTCATGAACCTACGATGATCAAAAAGGTGCTCTCCACAATCTGAGATACAGATGATAGTACAAGCAGGAAGGGCCTTTCCAGCGTTGGCTTAACCAGTTGTGAAATGCTCTCCTGGGAGAAGCTCGGCTTGTGCTAACTTGATGACATGTCAAGTGCTAGGCAAATATTTTAATTTCTCTCCTTGCAGGCCTTTTTAAATAATTTATTAGTAATGTGTTGGAGTCAGAATCTTCTGTGGACACTGTGCTCACAGAAGGTGCTTCTACCAGGTTTGGGGGCTTCCTTACCCTGCCCTTGGCGTTTTGTATAGGATCTTCATGGGCTGGAGGGGCTGGTGTGTGTGTTCTTTGCAGCCCCTTTGCACACATCCAAATGTGTATCGGGCCCAATATCTTCTCTTCCACATATTAGCATGAAGGCTGTCCAGGAGCTATTGTATCATGTAAGATGGTTGTGGAAACTGTCTACCTTGCTTTGCTACAGTTGCTTTGGTTTTACTGGAGCTGTGATTTTAATCTCTGGAGAATTCTGGTCAGTGGAATCTAATCTGGGGTGTGCAGAAACTAGACTGGGATCCAGGTGATTTGTAGATAGATCAGCAAGGATTTCTTGCTTCCAATAGTTTAACGATATTGCAAATAACTAGTCCCCTAATTTTGAGAGATTACCAGGGGGCAACAGAAATAGATTTTTGTACAAAAGTATTTTGTGTAAGCTCCAATTTTGCTACTGGAAACTGGGCCAATTGTTCCCTAATTTGATCTTTGTCTGCCTTCCTCAGCCATGCTCTTGTGCACTTGAGTCCAGTTTTAATGGCTCTTGGGGTTTTAGTGAAAAGCATACTAGATCTTGTAAGCCAAATCTGCCTGGCCCTTGTCTGATCAATATAATAAATCAGCAAAATATGTAGAAGTAGAGCACAGGTGGAAAGAAGCTCCTACCAGGCACTCCTACAGAGCACCAGATCCTGCCCCCGACAGACAGCAACATGGGCCTGTCCCCCACGAAAAGGTGTACCCCATGGTTTCAGCTAACTCAAATTAGAAAGTTTCACAGCTGTCGGTTTCTGCTTGTTGCATGTACAAAGTCTCTCTCTCTCTCTCTCTCTCTCTCTCTCTCTCTCTCTCTCTCTCTCTCTCTCTCTCTCTCTCTCTCACACACACACACACACACACACACACACACACACACACACACACACAGTCTGTGCATGTTTAGTAAATGCTCTGAGCAGAAGGTAGATCTCAATCTACTGGTAGATCTATAAGTTACTTGCGGTAGATTGGCAAAGATTTTTGGCTCCTAATCGTCCAACAATAGTGACAAGAAATGACTTCCTCCCCACCCTAAATTGTACTGGTGAAATGAGGAAAGCTTGTGGGGCAACCAGGAGTGTGTCTCTGCACACGTGTGTGTGTAAGGACTGTGAGTTCCATTCAGTTTCGGCATTCAGAACAAATTTCTGGGCTCAGATTTTTTTTTAATCATTCCAAGTGTGCATCTTTTGGAGGAGGCTCAGGTTCTAGTAAAAACACAAACAAACAAGCCCAAATGAGAAGTCTGCCCAGCCCTGCAGGGACACCTGTTCCCAAGTAAGCAGGCATAGTAGGTTGCAAGCACAGGCTCCTAAATGCCCCTCTTGGAAAGAAAGGCAGGTAAACTGTTCAGTCAGCGGACCAGCTTCAGCTGTTACAGGGACATTGCCGCTGTTTCTTAATTTCAGACTCAAAGCTCGTGACAGCAAGGGGATAAAGTCATAATGATAGCCCTAATCACAGGAATCATTCAACAAATATTGCATTTTTATAACCATAAGGACTAGAAACGTGGGTGGTGATTTTTTTTTGTTTTGCTTTAGGTGTATTCTTCTTTATTTAATGCAACTTTCAAAGCTTAGTTCTGTTCCCAGTAATTTCGTCTATCCTTTTTCTAGGCTCCTGTCAAGTCTGAGGCATAACCCTGCAGGAATGAGAGTAAGGAGGTTCACTATACAATACTGGCCTTTGTGATTGATTTTTGGAAAAATAAAACCAAGTATCTAAAACACTTTGAGTCTCCCTCACCCCCCATGCTTTTTGGCTGGGTACAAAACCTCTAGGAGGTGGACTCCTCCTCCTCATGGACGAATGAAGTGTTCTGTGCCACTTGAAAACTTGCAACCTTGCCAAAGGCAGTTTTGAACAAGGTCTCCTTCCAAGCTGCTTGTCATGCGTCTTTGGAGGAAAAGGAGCAGCAATTCTCCTGATGAAGAGGGTGGGGAATACGTGGAGTGAGGATGCGATGGGATGGGATGGGATGGGGAAAAACTGAAGCTTGGGTGGCGGTGGGGAGAGAGAGAGAGAGACAGGATGAGCAGAGCCTCTGAGCTCCCTGCACACTGGCCCTTTAAGAGAGCCAAACCCTCCCCGCTCTGACAGTTCCAGGGCGATGGCTCTTAAAAAGCTCTGAGCGCTTCATCTCCAATTCATTGTGTGGGCACATCCGCTAGAGAGGCTGCAGGTGAGAGCTCAGGGTGGGGAAGGGGGCTTCTGGCTGGGACGCGGCGGCATGTGTGCAGCAGTGCATCATGGAAGGGGGACCTTGTTGGGAGGGTGGTGGGAGCTTTTATAAGGATTATTTGATCATGCCTGTAGCATTTTGTGCCTAGTGCATGAAACCATGTAGGTTTGCTTGCAGGACTTACTGTGCCCATTTTAAAGCCTGGGGAAACTGAAGCCTTTTCTCTGGAAGTGCATTCTGTGCTCGGGGGTTTTGTGGCTGTGTTGTGCTTCGTATAGGAATTACATTTCTTCCCAGGGCAAATAGGCAGGTGTCTTTTGCCAGGCTGCTTTGCCTAGTATGAGTGGATAGTATGCTGGATTAGGTCCGAGAGAGCTGCGTTCAGATCCCTCCCTCTCTTCACTCTTTTTTCGCCATGAAATTAACTTGGACAAGTGATCATCCTTCAGCCCAATCTAGCTCATAGAGTTCAAAGGATAAAAGACAACTTGAGGGAAAAAATGGCAGTGTTTTAGATGGATACCTATAACTTGCCTTCCCTTTCTCCAGCATGTGGCTTGACTCTGTTGCTCGAGTCATCTAAACTAATTTAACAGCCTGCATGCAGAAGTCTGCCTCCTTGGGTATGAGTTGGCATTGAACCGGTTACTGTTTCTCCGGCGTTAGAGCCGAACAAACGGCTGCACCAGTGCAGCATGCTGACCGTGGATGCACGCTGGCCTATCTCTGGGGCAGGTTGCCTAGCGCCCCGGGCGTGAGGAAAGCCTTTCAAAAGCCGAATGGTTGTGGGTTAACATCTTTGCTGGTGTGGGCTGTGGGGCTATGCATAGGGTTTAGCTCATGCCTGACCTGCGGCCCTTGCAGCTGCATGGAGGGGAAATGGTGGCGTGACTGCTAGCCAGCCTGAGGCGGAAGGCAGACCTCCTCGATCCTCATCTGCTGTACGGTCTGAAGCCTGACTGCTACCTTCTGCTTCGGTGCCTTGGTGGGTTGGAAGCAGCAAGCTGGGCCTGGGCTTGCTTAGTGGGGAAACCAGGGTTTTAATGCAGGGAGTGTCATGATGCCTGTCAGTAACTGTGTAAACCCTCTTTTGCAGGAGCCATGAGCCGTAAAGTTGTGAGGACCAGTAAGTTCCGCCATGTTTACGGACAGCCAGTCAAGGCCGACCAGTGTTACGATGACATCCGTGTGTCCCAGATGACATGGGATGGAAACTTTTGCTCGGTCAACCCCTCGTTCCTGGCCATTGTTGTGGAGGCCAGTGGCGGGGGAGCCTTCCTGGTCTTGCCGTTGTCCAAGGTACCTGCTCACCTTCATCTCCCCCAACATCTACCAGCCTCCCCCTTAGTCCTTCTCCAACCTCTCCTGTTTATCTCAGACTGCATTTCCTCTCACAATTCACCCCCAGTCAAACCTCTAGGCCCTCCTTTCCGTGTATTTCCTGGGACCTAGAAGTGTTCTGCAGGCTGTTGATGGGTGCAGGGGAGGGACCGTTGACTTGTGAAACTGCCAGAGAGACAGATCTTTCCTACGCCTCAACAGGTTCTTTTTTTTTTTTGCCTTAAATGGCCTGAAGTTTGAATCTGCTGCTGAGAAAGAGGAAGTGGGTTTGGGGTAAGCGGAGGGGGAAGGAAGACTGGTTGGTAATCCTCTTCAAGTTTTCGCCTTGCTATTTTGTACATCTGCCCCAGTTCCATGTGCCTTCTAACTGGTTCACTCATCCTGTTGCCCTAGAGAAACCAGCAAGCCTGGTTCTCACCTAATCCCATCGTAACCCAGCCCAGCCAGAAATGGAAGTGACCAGCTGTGGTTTCCATCCTTCTCTAGGCCTTGCAGCTTGTCTAATTGTCTCAGCAAACTCCACCAGCTCTGTTTCCTATTGCTGATGTCTGGCCTTCCTTCCTGCCCCCCCCCCCACTAATTTTGCATCTTCATTTCCCACCCACTCAGCTTGAAGTGCTTTTAGTTCCTTTGTCAGTTTGAGGCCTTAGTGGGTAAGTCCCCCCACCCCACACACACACACACTGGAATTATATTCCCTGAAGACTTGAAGAAGTCCTGGTTTGCCCACCACACACACACACACACACACACACACACACACACACACACACACACTGGAATTATATTCCCTGAAGACTTGAAGAAGTCCTGGTTTGGGTTTGACTTGCTTACTCTGGATATAGCCTATTGTCAGGGCTATTTTTCCTTTTTTGGCTACTAAATTTAGTCTGGGCCTGTTTCTGCGATTTCCTCGGCAAAGATCTTGTGTTTGCCCCTAGGGCATGTCTCATGACTTTAGCGTGATAAAGGAGCAAGGAGTGGATTCACAAAATGTTACAAAATGAGGGAGGTGGGAGGAGGGGATGTTGGGGAGAGAGGCCATCACTTAACCCTGGGAAAGAAAGCCCTTAACTTTGGTCTCAGCCGGGTAATGACCCAGAGCGGCTATTGAGACATGTGACAGCAGCCCAAGTCAGGGTGGCGGGCATCTTTGGGCACCTTCAAATGGCTATAAAGAAGCAGATCCCGGTGTATCCCAAATTAAGGAGTCTCACGCGTTTCTGAAATCTTCATAGTGAGTTCCTGATGGCTGTTGCCCCAGATATTTAAGGGCTTATTTTGTTTTTTAATCAGTTGGCTAAAAGAAAAATATGCCAGACCTGCCCGCTTTTGTGCCGCTAACGCAGCTTGATGTCAATACGTGAAGCTTCTCACAGCTTGGAGATAAATGTGACCAACTGTGAATATGATTCAGCTTGTTAAGAAGTGACGTATATATTGAATGGACAAAAATAGCAGGTGATGTGAACAAGATGCGCAGGCCCACCTGTTGTTAAAGGCAGAGGTGCAGGAGGGGGCTGAAAAATTGGCAATCTGAGGGGTAGGGGGGTGGCTGGGCTATCCTGAGAAGCTGGGAGGGTGTCTGTGTTCATGAATGTGCAAAGTGAGGAGGAAAAGTGGTGAGGTTGGGGGGCGGGTGCAGAGCAGAGACAAAACGGGTAGAGCTTGGGATAATAGGAAGCCTCACGGCTAAGGGGGCGGGATATAAATCTAATAAATAAATAAATGCAGGAGGGGTGCGGATACCCAAGTGTCCCAAAGCCATGGACACTTAAAGTTGGGCCTGCTGCTGCAATGCTGCATGTTTCCCCTTCCCTCCAGTTCTTAGAAAGGCATGTCGGTTCCCCTGTTTTACCTAATTCCCCTAATTTGGACCCCTACAGGCGGATTTCGGGCAGGGCTCAGCCCCCTGCTGAGGCTGCTGTCTCCTGGCATGTGGGGAAGATGCTGAGGGGGCGTCTGCCCTCCCCTGCCGGCCTCTTCCAGGCCAGGGGGGCAGAGCCAGGTGGCTGCACCCTCCACACCTCTCATCTGGTAGCATCCCATCTTTTGTCCTGGAATTGCGGGACGTGGAAATGCGTCTGCTAAGACTTACTGACAGACCGGCTTTCAGCTACGATAGTCGACATTTTGTCTGTGACCTGCCCTGCGCTGTTGTTTTCGGCACCGAAAGGGCATACGTTCCACACCTGGGTAGAGGGCTTGGAGGGAGGGGGCAAACGCCCGGTCAGTGGGGATGAGAGTAGCAGAGCAGGGGGTCCCGAGCTCATTTTGCCCTTGGGCCCCTCAAATCCTGGCTTTCTCGGCCTGGCTGGCTCGTGGGGGCTGTTTAACCCGAGAGCAGCTGAACTGTGTACAAGGGGCATCGGCCGGCCTTTTGCGGGATCCACCGGCGGCAGACCAGGCCCCTGTGGGTAGTTTGAGGGTGAGGCGGCCCTCAGTGGCTAGGAGGGCTACCTTGCATCTTTGGAACAACCTCCCTGCTGCACCCACCTGGCACCAAATTTGCCATCTATTAACACTCTAACCCTCTTTGTGAAGGCCTTTCAAGCTCTCTCTGGCCATCCAGGGGCCCGCGGGGTTGGTCCAGGAGCCGTTTTCCTTTCTTCTTGGCTTCAATGTATTTTATTGATTTTAATGCATTTTAATGCTGTTATAATTAACATTTAAATCTTCTAGACATTGTTTTATGTACTATATCATATTTACATCCTGTTTGCGATGGGCAGTATAGAAATGTGGCGGTGATGATGATGGCAATGATAAGATATTCGGAAGGGCAGCCGTGTGTGTGTGACTTCTACCCATGGCTCATTTGAGTTAACCCGCACTGAGCAAGCTGCAGCACACCAAGCAGCCCAGGGTCGGGCCTGTGTGCATAAGGCTTATACCATTTAGGAGCTGAGGCGGGCTCACATTTTTGTATGGTTTGAGGAAATGTGATTTTGACAGAAGAAAAAATGAATTGTGCAATGGGGGGTTTCCGACAGCAGAGGGCGATTTGCTTCAGGCATCAGGTGGCAATCCCCAGGGGTCCATTTTGTCCCCCTTGCTATTCAACATCTACATGAAACGGCTGGGAGAGGTCATTAGGAGGTGTGGGCTGCAGAATCATCAGTACGCTGATGATACCCAGCTCTACCTCTCATTCTCAACTAATCCAGGTGAGGCAGTGGCTGTGCTGAACCGGTGCCTGGCCGAGGTAATGGGCTGGATGAGGGCCAGTAAACTGAAGCTCAATCCAGACAAGACAGAGGTCCTGTTGGTAGGTGGGTCAGGCTTCGGGATGGGGGACCTGGACCTTGTCCTGAACGGGGTTGCACTCCCTCTTGGACAGGGTCCGCAGCTTGGGAGTGCTCCTCGACCCAGAGCTGGCATTAGAAGTTCAAGTAACAGCGGTGGCGAGGAGCGCCTTCCTTCAGCTTCGGCTGATCCATCAGCTGCGTCCCTACCTGGAGAACAACTGCCTGGCAACTGTGACACATGCATTGGTAACTTCCCGATTAGACTTCTGTAACACGCTCTACGTGGGGCTGCCCTTGAAGACGGTCCGGATACTTCAATTGGTGCAAAATAGAGCTGCCAGGCTGCTGACGGGGACTGGGCGTTGTTCTCATATAACCCCAGTTCTCTGTCAGCTTCACTGGCTCCCCACTGAAGTCTGGGCCCAATTCGAGGTGCTGGTTATCACCTATAAAGCCTTCAACAACTTGGGTCCTGGTTATCTAAAGGAGCACTTGTGTCCATATATGCCCTCCCACCCCCTGAGATCGGCGACAGAGGCCTTTCTCCGGGAGCCCTCTGTGAGAGATATTAGGAGGGTGAGTACCTGGAGGAGGGCCTTCTCTGCGGTGGCACCCCACCTATGGAATGCGCTCCCCAGAGAGGTCTGCCTGATGCCGTCGTTATCTGTTTTTTGGTGCCAGGCCAAGACCTTTTTATTTAAATGATATTTTAATTGTTGATCAGTTGTTTTATTTAGTGGTTTTAAATTATGGCCGAGAAACTCCAAATTTTTAATGTTATTCTATTCTTTATTTATTTTCTTTGTAAGCCACCCAGAGGCTTCTACGATGGGTGCGGCATAGAAATGTTATAAATAAATAAATAAATAAATAAATCCAGTGCCCACCCTTTGGATGTGTTGGACTACAGCCCCCATGATCCCTGCCTGCTGGCTGGAAAATACGGAGCCTTGTAGTCTGACAAATCTGGAAGGTATCAGTTTGAGGATGGATGATATGGTGTGTCTCTGATCTAGTTTTAAAGGCTGGAAACTGCTTGCAACCAGTCTTTTATATTGTTATTTATTTTATATTGTTAATTTTATATTGTTATTTTTGTATGTTATTGTATTTTATTTTATGCTGTGAGCTGCCCCGAGGCTTCGGCAAGGGGTGGCATAGAAATGTTTTAATTAATTAATTAATAAAAATAAAAATAAAATAAAATAAAATAAACCATTACTAGTCGTGTTACTAGAAAAGGCTGTGCAAAACCACAGGGAGGAATCCAGAGCGAAAATAACAAAATCGGTCCTTGTTCATTTGGGTTCGTGGAGAGTTTGTGCAACAGAAAAACTTGCCAATTCTACGCTTGGTGTAGTGAAGGAGACCGCTGTCTCTCATTCCTGACCTCTCCCCATCTTCTCACAGACTGGTCGGCTGGATAAGGCCCACCCGGTGGTCTCGGGGCACACAGCCCCCGTGCTGGATGTGGAGTGGTGCCCTCACAATGACCACGTTATCGCCAGTGGCTCCGAGGACTGCACCGTGATGGTGAGTGGCCGGGTGGGCGCGAGGGATGCGAGGCTGGAGCAGCCTCGGCAGCATGCGGCACCCTTCCTGCTGGGCCCCTCCTACAAGGCAGGGCCCCCCGCCTCGGTTGCTGTGACCCCCATGGCCCCCATCACAGCATGATCCCACTGCCCATCAGCACCGCCTAGGTAGGCCCTTCCAGGGGCGGGGCAGAGCCCCCCGAAACCTCTGGGAGCCCCCGTCTAGGCTCTCGTGCTGTGGGAGGAGAGGGGCTTGAGGGCTGCTTCAGCACGGAGGAGCATGGGGGGGCAGAGGCGGGAGAGAGCCTGTAGGATCAGGCGGAGGGTCCGTCTCAGTCTGCCTTCCCCAACCAGGGGCCCTCCAGATGTTCTGGAGCACAACTCCTAGCATTGCTGACCATTAACCAGACTAGATGGGGCTGCTGGGAGTTGAAGTCTTAAACATCTGGAAGGCATGAGGCTGGGAAAGGCTCTGCCGCTAGCCAGCTGTCTTCAGGGTGTTACCAGTCAGCCTCCCCTTTATTGCCAGCTGTTGGACTGGGGGTCCCATTTAGCTCTTACAGCTGATAGGCTCTTACTGGGCCTCTTCCCCCCAGGTTTTAAGCCAAGGTGTGCCTGTGTGGCACAAGATGGGGCAGGGGAGGACAAGGTGCCAGGCTGGGCAGGCGTTGAGCTACCCAGGCAAGCGGAAGAGGGGGTGCAGGCGGGCATGGAAGGGAGCGGGCAAAAGGACCTAGGCCAAAACTCAGGGTCAGGCGTGGGGAGAAAGAAAAGCGATGGGGTGGACCTGTGGGAACGGTGGGGCCACAGTGGGAGATGGAGAACTTACCTGGACGGGAAAGGGAGCAGCTGCATAGAGGAGCATTTATAGCAGCAGGTGAGCAGAGGCGCTGGCGTAACGTTGTGCTGCCCCAGGCAGACTGGCATGTGAAGGAGCGGCGTGTGCTTCAGGTCCCGTGCAGGTTACCTGGCCACGGATGTGACGGGGTCGCAAGGGCGCATCCCAGATTCCCCCCCAAAGGTCACTGGGCTGACTGGAGCTGGGCCAGGCCTGCAGGGCGGAGGGAAATGAGTCGGGTGCTCCGGGGGAGTCCGTGCGATGCTGCGGGAATGCCGTGGGGGTGTCTCTGGCTCCCACACCCCTGACCTCCTCTGCCCTTCTTCTTTGCCTCCAGGTCTGGTCAGTGCCTGAAGGCGGCCTGGTCCGGTCCTTGAACGACCCGCTGGTCACCCTCGAAGGCCATTCCAAGAGGGTGGGGATCATCTCTTGGCACCCGACGGCACAGAACCTCCTGCTGAGTGCAGGTGATGCGCTGCAGCCACCGTTGCCCTTGGGCCAGGCGGGGTGACGGGCAGCCGGGCCAGGGGGTCCCCCCCTTCCTCATCTCATCTCATCGCCCCTTCGCTTGTAGGCTGCGACAATGTCGTGAAAGTCTGGGATGTGGGGGTTGGGCAGGCGGCCCTCTCACTGGAGGAAATGCATCCGGACGCCATCTACAGTGCGGCTTGGAACCAGGACGGGTCCCTGCTCTGCACAGCCTGCCGAGATAAGCGTGTCCGGCTGTTTGACCCACGGGCCGGGGGCACCACCGCCAGTGTACGTATGAGTTCCGGCCTTGGAATGTGGGGGTTTCCTTCCTAACGATCATATCCGTTAGCGTCTCCAGCCTTTCGGGGCCTGCAGGTGCTTTGGGTGTATAGCAGAGGCGTTGTGGGCGCCATCACAAGATGGCTGCCATGAGGAGCGTTGTGGCTTTTTACAAAACACAGAGAACCCCTCCCCCGCACATGCCACATCCCCTTGTTCTGTGCAGCCCCAGTGTCGTTTCCTGCCTGGACTACCCCTTCCTGGGAATCCCTTTCATTCTCCCCAGACTTTTCTTGAAAAGCCTGGAGGACTTCACCATGAAGTTCCAGCCATCTTCAAGTCTGCTATTTATTTATTTTATTTATTTACTTAAGGCATTTTTACCCCGTCCTTTACGAGATCTCATTTTTAAGGATGCCCTTCGTGTCTCCGTCTCGCCAACAGGAGTTGCCACGCCCACACGAGGGGTCCCGTCCAGTCCGGGTCGTTACGGTGAATGATGGCAAGCTTTTCACGACAGGCTTCAGTCGCATGAGCGAGCGCCAGGTGGCTCTCTGGGACCCGGTGAGAAGAACCGGGATGTCCTCTTTGAACCCAGCCTGAGAGGCACTTGGTCAGCGTGATGGGGAAGGGGGGCCACGTGCGCCCTTCACAGAGGGCCGCCTTGCAGGGAGGGGAGGGCGCAGGCGTGAACCGGAAAGGCAAGACGGCAGGACCGTTCCTGCGCTTCAGCACCTGAGTGCCCGCCCCGCACATCAAAATGAAGAATTGTCCGTGGTCGCTGTCAGAGGAAATTGCCCCTGCTGTCACTCTGTCCAATTAGTGCCCATGACCAAGCCAGATTTTGAATACTGGCACGTCAACTATGTGTATTTCTGGAGTATTTCGAGCAGCCGCACCGTGTTGCTCCCGTTGATTCAGCAACCCTCACGAGAGCCCCGTGAGGCCGGCCAGTTCGTAGCAGGGCTGGCCCTCCCATGAGGGGGAATGGGGCAGCCCTCAGGCGGCCAGCGGCAGAGGGAGCACTGGGGGCTTGCGTGCCCCTGCTCCCAAGCCGGGGCCACGCCCTGTCCTGCCTGCAGCGCCCACTGCCCTTGGCTGCTGCGGGGGACGCGCTCCTGTTGCCAGTGTTGAAATCTGCTTCCTCTGCCAGTCCTGGTGTTTTCTTTACATGGGCAGAGGAAGTGGTACCAACTTTACCTTTTCCACTAGAAGCAACATAACTTGGGCAGGCCCTGATGAGGGGGACACAGAAGAAGGGGAGGCTTATGTGGCTTACTAAAGACCACCCAGCCATAGCAGAGACCAGGGCTGAATTGTCCCTTTACTTGTCCAGAGCTCAGTTTTGGGCCGCTGCCTGTGCCACAGCAGCCTGCAGTTGAGATTTTGGGTCCGAGCCCTTGCAGGCCCACTTTGCGCAGCAGTGGAGATGTTGTCGCAAATGAAATGCTGTCTCCCGCAACCAACAGAATTGCCTTAGTCTTGAGTTTCTAGTCCTCAAGCTTTTCTTCTGGGAGACCTTGGCTCCACCCACTTAGACTAAACTTATTTTCTTCCTGCACACAGAGAAATTCTCAGGAGCCGTTGACTCTCCAAGAGCTCGACACAAGCAGTGGAGTTCTTCTGCCTTACTATGATCCAGATACCAATGTCATTTACCTGACTGGCAAGGTGGGTTCTGCCTGGCTAGAAACAGAACTTTGGAGGAGCTCGTGAAGGTTCCCAGGAGGAATGTGTTCCAACAACAGATATTAAACTGAGGAAGCTGGAATGATATTCCAGAGGGGCAGCTGGAAACTCTTATTTCATTAACTAGATGGGGGTGGGGGGAATAAAAACTGACATTTGAAGAGGTTTGGAGAACATCTTAGCCCAGCATTCCCTTCCTTGGCACATCCTGGAGGTGTTGGACTGCATCCTCCATCATTCCCAGCCAGCACAGCCGTTGGCCATGCTGGGTGGGGATGATGAGGGTTGTTGGCCAGCACCTTCAGGGAGCACCAGGTTGGAGAAGGCTGCAGGGGGTCGCAAGTGGGACAACTTCAAAACCAGGAACCGACCCTCAATTTTTGCCTCCTGCTCTGCAGGGCGACAGCAGCATCCGCTACTTCGAGCTCACGGGAGAGGCGCCCTTCGTGCACTATTTGTCCATGTTTGGCTCCAAGGAGTCGCAGCGAGGCGGCGGGTGGATGCCAAAGCGAGGCCTGGATGTCAGCAAATGCGAGATCGCCAGGTATCGTCCATGTTTACGTGCGCCTTTTTCTCCCCTCCTCGCTTCGAGGCGTGCAGAGCAGCACACCTGCCCCCAGTCCTTGTTATATCCCCTCCACAATGACGTCAAGGTAGAGCTTGGCTCCCACAGCCCTCTTTGACTTGGTGCGGAAGGCTGGGTGAAGGGAGCGTAGCTGGCATAACCCAGCAAACTTCACGGCCAGTGCACAGCTCTTACAGGTCCTGGCCTGACCCTCCAGGAGCATTTCTGCACACTGGCTCTTTCTGTCTTCCCTCATCTGAAGACCTGTCTTTTGAACCACTTCTGTCTCTTCCAGGTTTTACAAGCTCCATGAGAGGAAGTGTGAGCCCATTGCTATGACCGTGCCTCGGAAGGTAGGGCGGCAGGATGGCCACCTGTGTTTGAACCAGGGTGGTGATAGGCGGGAGTCCAGGGAATTCTGGAAAATAAGTGCCTTCAGCGATTATTGTGAAGAAATTCCCAACAAACAGGGCTTTTTTGACCCTTGATGACCTGTCAGTGTCCTTGCTATATCCTCATCTCTCGACTTTTCAGGAAAATGCTTCTCAAAGGATGGCTTGAGAGCCATGGCGCCTTTTCCACAGAAAGGAGTATTTGCTATCCCCTCTAAATATCTGAAAGGCTCTCTTCCTTTCTGCCGCACTGCTCAGCCTCTGTTCTCATGCCTTCTGCAGTCAGACCTGTTCCAGGAAGACCTGTATCCTGATACAGCCGGCCCGGATGCTGCACTGACATCGGAGGAGTGGCTCTCGGGCAAGAACGCTGACCCCATCCTCATCTCACTCAAGGAGGGCTACACTCCCCAGAAGAGAGAGTTTAAGGTCAACCCGACCCTGCTTCAGGGGCCCAAAAGAAGCCAGCACCTTCATGAAGGATCATTACAGGGGGTAAGGGGGAAACCTGCGGCCATCTTGCTTCGGGACGCATTGTAGACTAACATGTCTGGAGAAAGGCCAACTGGGGTCAGGCAGAAAGATCCACAGAAGTTCTGGACTAGCTGCCAGCATCCCTGACCGTGGCTGAGTCTGGCGAGTGTTTCTGGGAGTTGCAGTCCAAAGCACCTGGGGATTTCCCTTCTGTCCCGTCCTTGACTTGAGCACGGCTTAGCAGCAGTGCAGGGTCAGTGGTTTGGGGGTGGAAAGAGGGGCAGAACTGTCAGAGGGGCATGAGGAGGAGAGCTCATTCTGGCTAGATAAGCGAGCAGCTGATATGAGGCAAGGTTGATTCCACGCTCTTTTGTAGGGTCCAGCTTTAGAACAGCTATCCGAGGACCTGAAGCGGCTGCAGGCCACTGTCTCGGAACAAGAGCGACGCCTCTCCGAGCTGGAGAAGATTATGAAGAAGTAACTCCCTTTCTCCCTGCTCATGCAGTCCTTCATAAGCGCTGGACTTGGTTTCACTGGTATTTTTAAAGTCCTTTTATCTCATGGGTGGATCCTCAGGGCATTATTAAGTTCCACCCATCCCAAACTCAGGGCAGAAACTCAACTTCCCAGTTACAGACACCCCCCGCCCTTGCCTCGCTAGGGCCCTCCTCCTGCCTCGGTGTTGCCAAGCTCTCCCTGCCCCCCAGAAAGGGCTAAGCCCCCAGGAGATCAGGAGAAGAAAGTAGCCCCCCCCCTCACAACCTGCATGCTCTTCCCCCCACCCCCTTTGCTTGCAGCTTCCCCTGGAAATTATTCCCTTCCGCAGGACTTTTTGGGAAATGCTTTTGGACCACCTCCTTTGCTCTGCTTTTGAGGGCAGGGGTTGCACCGTACATTTTAACGAGGGCTGCATTGTATAGCTGAAAGGTCAGGTAAACATTTTTATTAGCCAGTGTGCATTTTAGTTTGTCATGTTAAATTACATATATACGCAAAAGTTTCTAAAAGCTGCAGATGGCAAGAATGCAGAAGAGTTATTTCTCCTTTGCGCGTGATAGGAAAGGACATCTTAAATGCGTGCTGTGGCGCATGTGTGCATTGTTTAATAAAACTCTGCTTGTTTAGAACTATCGTCATGTGGAAGTTTACACAAATCTAAACCAGTTTTCATTCGCTCAACAAAGATCTCTGAAGGAGTGTGGCATTAAGTTTGATACTTTAACCAGCATGGGCTAGAAACACACCCAAGGACCTAGGTGTTTCATTTGCAATCTAATTATGCAGGTTTGTGCAAATTAATCGCCCGCTATTCTATTCCCCCTCGCTACCAGAGTAGCAACCCTAACCAGCATCCCACCTGGTTTTTAGAGCCACTAGATGGCAGCACCTCCTGACTTTTACACCAAGCTGCTCATCTCCTGTAAGTTGTTGCTGCAAGTCGCCCGACCCATTGCACCCATTGCAACCCCAAACATTCCTCCAGGCCTTCCTGCCCGCCACCATCCTCCGGACTGCTCCAGTGGCTCCAGCTACCCGCCTCATTCTCTGCCATCCCCTTCTTCTTTGCTGTCAACTGTGCCCAGCACTTCCTGTAAGTAGCCATGCTGAATCATGCCAATGGGGAACTAGTTGTCTTATGAGAAGCGCACAAGCAGAACAGTAGCGTATCTCCTCGCTCATGTTCCTGAGCAATTGGAAGGGAGGCTTATTGCTTTGGCAACTAGGTGACCACTGGTAGCATGATCCTCCATGGATGTGAACAGGACCCTTTTAAAGCCATCCATGCCGAGAGCCATTTGGCCACCTGCTGTGTGAGCAAACACTTCCTTTTCTCTCTCCTACCGCTCCCACCATTCCACTGCAATCTCCTTTGATTAGATCCATGCCAGTCATATTTCATTTACTAATTCTTCAGCAGCCATTTTTGATGCATACAGCCTATGCAGATAAAGCCTATGAATTTGCTGCTGGCAGTAATGCAGGAAAGATTAAGTATGACAGCGGCATTCTCGTGCTCTTAAAAAGTGATTGGAAGTGAGAGAGAAGGGGTCTCTCTCCATGCATTCCTACAAAGCAAAAGGCATTACGTTTCCAGACTATCAAAAATTGCAACTAGAATATTTTAGTCTGAAGGGGAAAGAACTACTTTTCTTTTTACGTATTTTCTCTTCCTCCAGAAGTGCCCTAAGACAAACTAAGTTGGAAGAGGACAGCCTTTCCCAACCAGGTGGCCTCCAGATGTGCTGGACAGGAATGCCCATCAGCCCCCAGTCAGCATGGTCGATGGCCATGCCGGCTGGGGGGAGAGAGGGGGTGTTGCAGTCCAACACACCTGGAGGGCACCCAGTTAGGGAAAGGAAGAGCTGGAAAAACGGGCTTCAGGGTATAATATCAAAAGGCAGAAAGTGACAGACGGCATTCACACAAACCATTTCATTTTTGTTTTAATTTTCTGCTCCATGCTCTTCTCTACTCTGGAGTGACAAGGATGGCTCCTGTATCTTCCTGTAGCTCAAGTTCATTCCATGGCACTTGCTCTCTTAGAGCCCTTGGTTTGGTCTCTGGAGTGCTGTTTCTCTGTCCTCTCACTTAGCTTCTTGTTCTTTGGCCCACTGCTCCGGTGTCAGTGTTCTCTGCTCAAAGGCATGAATGTGTTTCAGCTCCTCTGATAAGAGTTCATTGACCAGCCTGTGAGGAGAGCAGATAAAGCAAGCGTGGAAATTAGAGGAAATTGAAGAACATTCCCAGTCTCATCTGCTTGCTTCTAGGCTGCCCCTTAGACAGAAGCGTGTCTTTTTAAAGTTCCAACCAGACCATTTTTAGCTGCCAACAACGTTTAGAATGCATAAAAAAACAGAATGACATGCAAAAGGCCATTTGTGTTGCTGGGTGGAAAAGTTTTTGCTGCTGTATCCTTCAGAAAAGTTTCTGTTTCTAAAAACGAACTGCTTCCTAACTTAGAGCACAGTCCTAACCGACTCCAAGGACTACCTGACAGGTTTCAGAAAGTGTCGCCCCACCAATGGGGAGGAGCTCTGACAGCGGGAAGCGCTCACCCTGGAGGCCCCTCGGATTCCTGCAGAAAACTCTGGGAGCAACGGGGGAATTGCAGGTGCTCCCACAAACAGTGGGGCTGAAATGGGGCATTCTGGGAACATACCAGGGGAGGCTCTGAATCCAACGCCCCTGAGTGGGTCCATTAACTATGCCAACTTGCAATTAGCAGAGTTAATTTCAGCTCCTTTGGTTTCCATGGGGCAGGAATTATTAAAAAAGAGAAAAGAAAGAAACTACCACCAGCTTTAAAAAAGGCAGGAAAAAAATGTTTCCTTATATCAGCTGCCTTGGCCATAGCAAGTTGGCAATGCTTGGGAAGTGGTGAATTTTCCATTATGGAATCTCCCAGCCACAAATCTAGGCTTGTTCTGCCCATTAGTATCCATTCGCTATATTACATAATAAGTTGGTCAGTTTCAGATTTGTAAGTACTGTTTTTCGTATGATTTTACTATGAGATCTCTTTTACATTGTTCTTTCTTAGGTTCAGTGCCTTCATTTTTTCTTAACATAAAAATGATGTAAGGGAAATCTGAGCTTCTAACTTGCAAGAGCTCCAATAAAATAATTGCAAAGTAAAGCTTTGACTTGTCTGAATATATTTAGGACACACATTCAGCACCTGAAATTAACAACATGTACTTTTGGATAACAATAACAGTCCAATGAACATGCTAAGTGAAAGCCCTTAATCAAAACACCTAAACTTTTCTGAGTCAAAGTTTTCTAAGAAATCCATATCACCAGTATTGTATGGACTATATTTGCAGAAGAAAAACTCAGATTCTTGTGTGTATTATTATTCATAAGTTGCCTACTACTTTATTCAACTCTGTATGCAACACTTATCATACGAATTGAAAAGACAATGTATTTCGTAAATACAGTTCAGAGGAGAACTTGTGTGCACGGATAATGCTGACTATTATTTATTTCATTTCTATACCACCCCATAATTGAAGGGATATAATCACTGAGTGATTTACAACAATCTACTGGATTTACTGAAGATGTTAGTGGCTTAATTTTAAAGGCAACATTTAGCATCTGGGGAGCTGGTGGGGTGCAATTGGTGTACACAGTGGTTAGATAAGTCTTCTCCACCCTGGTGGGCTCCAAACATTTTGGACTTCTTCTCCTATCAGCTCCAGCCACCATGGATGATAGTCAGGGATGCTGGGAGCTGTAAACAACGTATCTAAATCGCACTAGGGTGGGGAAGGATGCATTAGGATACTGATGTGGAACCAGGCCCAAATCTCCTCTCCACCCAGAATCTCAGTGCACTACCTTGAACCAACCATTCTTTCTCAGCTTGCCCTAGATTACCGATTATAAGTGAACCACTTACACTGCTCCTTGAAAGGAAGACAGGACTGAAGATTGAATGAAGTAGTAGATGAGCAAGGATGAGAAGCAGAATTTACAGTAGTGCAAAGGAAGAGGCAGACAAGGAATCCCTGATTTTGGGAGTCTGAGACTGCAATCTTACACCAACTTCCCTGAGAGTAAGTCCCACTGAACTCGGGGCTTGCTTCTGGGCAGGCATGTACAGCACTGCACTGCTATGTTCTTTGGACTCCTTCAGATTCTAAATCTTTGGAAGACTGAACAAGATAGTTCCAGTCATTAAGGGGGGAGCCAGAATTAATCCTATCTCACCCACCCACTGCTAAGCTCCCTTTCCACTTACCGATGCCTCTGTAACAGTGCTTTCCCTCGGAAACGTGGGGAAACTACCAGGACCTTGAAGCTCGTGGCACAGCGTCCAGGCGTTGTGTCTTCCACCTCCTTATGTCATAAGCAGGATGAGAAGAAAACAAATGGTATGTTTTATTTAGAAGAGGATCCAATGCAGGCTGCTACCTGCCAGCAAAGTTGCTTAATGACAGAATACATGCCATGAAATCGTTTAATCTGGCAGGCAAAAGCAGAACCTGCACATGTCTCTCTCACAAACTCAAGGAACTGCAGAAAGAAAAGACAGTGTTAGTGAACATATGGAAAGGCAGGCTACAGCCAAGAGAGTGCAGAGCCCAAAAAGTTTAGGATGACTCAGGATGCAATCTTGTGCATGTTTATACAAAGAGCAGCTCCACAACTCTCTGTTCCCCAGTCAGTACAGCTGGAGGGATGCTGTGAGAATTGAAGGACTTTTCTTTGTCTAAACATGCAGGGAACTATGCCTTTAGAAAAGCAGGAAAGAAAATGAGCACTATGGAGCCTAAATAAGAGAACAGATTCAGAATGGCCAAAGCCTTGAAAGAAATGGATGATTAACTGTTACATCCTGACTCCACTGAATTCAATGGGGCTTACTTCCAAGTATGTATGGGCCTGCGAGCCCAAGAACCCATGAAAGAAATAAAAATGAACAAGTCAAATACATGATTGAGTTCCAATGTGTAGGGCAAATATTATCTTGGACATGGCAAAGAAACATCCATTCCACTACAGAACACTCTTCACAGTTCAATGCTACAAACCTACATGTACTAGGGAGCACATCACACTGAATCCAGTGGCAAATACTTGCAAATAACCACATATTTGGGCTGCCAGTGTTTCCAGAGGCTCCTGTCAGATAGGTGATGATCACTCCGATTTGACCTAGTTTAATAGGGCTTTGTTTCTTATCCCTTTACTAGTATTCAAATACTGAAATTCTAATACCTCAACTACACTTTAAACATCACTTGATGCACTACATACTGTCTACTCAGGAAGACAGTTATGATTGCTGTGCTGGGACAGAAAAACCTGTAAAAACCCCATTTCCTAATGAGAGCAATCACTTGCAGTTTCAGGCAATAGGCTGAGGCAGCAACCCTCTCTATACCTCTTCCAGGAAGTAAGCTATTCTTGTTTTCAAGTGAGCCTGTAATAGTTTGTGCATGTGAGGGGATTCTAGCAGCCACACAGAGAAGGAAGGGCAAGCTTTGCAGCAACAAAATTATATCCTTAGTTTGAATAAAATCATGCCACTTATTAAAACAAAGAATGTTGTTACAGTAGCAAAAAACACTAAAACGTTAAGCAGCAATAATAAATGGCAATTATACTGAATACAGGGAACTGAAAAACTAAGGATACAATCGTACACCTATATACACGGGAGAAAATCCTATAGAAGTCAATGAAGTTTGCTTCTGATTGCATTGTAAAAACCGGAAACGGCAGCCTAAGACACATCAGCTCAACCCCGAGTCAAAAGTATCCGCATTTTCAAAGAAAGGGTTTTAAGGCAAGAGCAGTTAATAGCGGCCCATATCAATCCTTTGTCGCTTTGAACGGATGGGAGGAAAGGTCACCGGAAAGCTGCCCCACGTACCACATGCTCGGCCTCCAGCCCCTGAAGCAACCGCTCCCGCAAGGCCTCTGCGCTGAGCACCCCAGACGACTCCATCCTAAGCAGAAAACCACGCAAACCGAGACGGCCGACTCCGCCACTTCCGCCTATGGGGCACGTCAGTTCCGTTCCTGGTTGCGGCTCCGTCTCCGTTTTCCAATCAGATCGACCACCGGTTTTGTCTACGTCACTTCCACGTGGTTTTTGTGACCACAGAGGAAAAAAAAGGAAGAGTCATATACAGCTTAGACATGACTCGGGATTTGAGCTATCCTATCCCATTTGAAAAAGAAAGGCTGTTTAAAACATAGGATGCATCCAGAATATGCGAGTCTACTCTACAACTACCACAGAGTTATTAAAATGACTAAATGGAGAAGTAAACACCGAAGACTAAATATTCTATGCAGGGCAAATCTTTTTGGCAGGTCAATTACACTTCTCCATTTTGGCCACAACTCTACGTTGCGCGTCCGCTTTCACGGAGTCATTCATTCTGAGCCGCTGCGGCTGGTGCCCCCGTGGGTGGGATCTGACTTGCTATCAGCCAATCGCCTGTGAACGTGGCCGGATTCAAAGTAACGGCTAGCGGCGGAGACAGCGTTGCTGAGCGACTGCCAATCGGGGTCCGCGTGCAAGAGGGAGGGGGCGTTTAGTGGTGCATGACGGGAAGTCAGAATGGGCTCGGTGTGAGGCGATGCTGGGAAATGGGGCGATCGAGGCGCCGGGAAGGAGGGGAAATGTCGGAGATGTGAAAAGGGTACGGAGCAAGTCTGGAAGAGCGAGTGGAGGAAGATAAGCGAGCCACCGGAGGAGGCATTGCTCAGGTCAAATGTAGCACCGGGTTCGCATCGAGTCTTCCCCGCTGTCCCGCCTCTCTTGGCAGCGGTCTTTCTTCGGGACGACAGGTAGAAGTTCAACATATGCAGCCCTTCCTAAGATGGAGATTGAATTCTGTTGACGGCAGGAAATGAACAGGTCGAATCCGTTGCTCTGCGCCAATGCGGTAACACTGAGTTAATGCTTGCATGTAGTTCTTAAGCAGTGCAAGATGAACACCAGCATCCAGAAACTAGCAGAGGTGGGCGACTTGTGGCCCTCCAGAGTTTTGATCAGCAGTTCCTTTCAGCCCTAGCCAGCAAAGCCAATGATGAAAGATGATGGGCGTTGTACACTAAAACACTGCCGCCCTGAACGACAGTAGCATTCACTTTACAGAGCAGGATGGAAAACAATAGTAGCGCTGCTGGCAGAGAGATGGATTTCTATTTTAACACTTGCTTTTTTGTTCCTGCAGATCTCTTGGACCTGCTAAGCCATCGACAGTAACCATGGTGGTGGAAGTGCGCGGCTTCTTTGGCGTTTATCTTCTCTACTGCACCAACCCACGCTATCAGGGCCGGGTCTATGTTGGCTTCACTGTCAATCCTGAACGACGCATAGACCAACACAACGCCGGGAAGCGCCATGGTGGGGCTTGGAAGACAAGTGGCCGTGGGCCTTGGTAATTATGGGGAGCACAGAAACGTGCCCTATTTTCAGTTGGGCCATGGGTTATCTAAATTATTATTGCCAAAACTGACTCACAGTGTTTGACAGTAATTAGATTTTAGGCAGTACCTTACTAAATGTAACAGGCATGTTCCGGGTGGTTCCATGTCGACCAGTGGCCCAACTGGAGGTCACGTGGGAAGGAGTCTTCAGTGGCTCCACTTCTGTGGACCACCTGGCCTTTGTTCTGCATCTCCTGAAAATACCCATATTTCAGGAAGATGTCCCTGACTAATCAACAATGCTTTTATTGATATTCTGTCTTAAACATGGTTTTATTATTTTATCTGTTTTACCTTCCTATTGTTCATTGCTCTAGAAACTATTCAAATGTGGAGTGGTATAAATAAATTAAAAATGGGAGATGCTAGGAATGGAACCTGAAATCCTGTATGAGGAGAACGTGCGTTCTGTCACCGATCCGTAGCCCTCTCAAAATTCCCTCTTTCTGGACTTTTATTCTCATATGCCCGTTTCTGAAGCCAACTGTGCTAAGGGTTCCAGTGCATGCTGGGAACCGGGCTTTTGCTGCATTGCAGGCTGGGAAAGTGATACTCCTTTCTTATTGCAGGGAAATGGTGCTGATTGTCCATGGCTTTCCTTCTGACGTGGCTGCCCTGAGGGTAAGGCACTTCCCATCTCTGCCTCTTTTCCTTAGTGGTTCTTGCCTCTGCTAATCCTCAGGCAAGCCCTCTGGATGTCCAGCCCTCCCTTTCTCTTGTTCGTTCCTGCAGTTTGAGTGGGCCTGGCAGCACCCACACTCCTCCCGCCGTCTCACCCACGTTACTCGCCGCACCTCCCGGGAGCGGCAGTTTGACTTCCACCTGCGGGTCTTAGCCCACATGCTCCGAGCTGCCCCTTGGTGCCGCCTGCCCCTCACCATCCGCTGGCTCAAGCAGGAATATTGCAGAGACTTCCCTGCAGGCCTGGAGCCTCCTCTGCACATGCCGGTGGCCTTTGGGCAGGTCCGAGCTGTTAAGGAGGCCAAAGGGGTGAAGCCAGCACTGTCAGAGAAACAGGTGGCAACATCACAACACTGCTGCATCTGTCTGAAAACATTCCAGGTAAGCCTGGGATGACAGGATCCTCCTTCGAGAGAGTAGCTGCAGCAGGGTGGCAGAACGAGGATCGGGATCTCCTGACAGATTCTGCTGCATTAAAGGCAGCAGCTGCTAAGGGCTCCCACCACCCTAAATTATGCTGCTGTGATAAAGCAAGCTTAGCTGGGAACCAGCTGTTGACTGTGAAGGTTCTAGTGAAAAAAGCAAAGTAGATGAAATCTCTCTTGGTGCGGGAAGGGTGGCCAGGCAGCTTGGCCACTGAGGCTTCTGGGGGAGTTTTATTCCAGTCAAGGCCAGGTGTCTGGCTTCTGTAACATTGTTGGGCAAGGAATGTGAATTAAGGATATGCATTTTGGCTATGAGTTATGGGGGAACATGGACTTAGTGGTCAAGGTAAGGTCAAAAGGGGAGTTGGGGATACTAGATCAAAACACCGTATCAGGTTCTTCTCTGGTTTGGGGACAGTTGAGGATTTTGTTGTATCAAGGGCTGCATTCTGGAATCTTCCTCTTCAGGATGGGGATGATGACACCCCCTTGCACTGCTTCCACCCTGGCTGTGCCATGGCTGCTCATATCATCTGCCTGTCCCAAGTGTTCTTGGAGAAGGAGCCACATCAGTTACTGCCTATAGAAGGGCAATGCCCAGGGTAAGCAGCTTCTCCCGCATGCAGTAGCATGGACAGAACTGGGATGCTAGCTGCGCTTTCTCGGTTTTGTGCACCCATCAAGATCACCATACTTGGAGGCCTCGTTTGCAGGACAGGACGGGCCGTTGTGGCTTGATTTACCCAGAGGGACTGTGGCATCGTGTGGGGCACTCGCGTGCTCCAGTTCGGCCTCATGGCTCTGAACGCCTTGCTCAATGTAGCTTGTTATGCCATGCCAGCAGGCAGCAGCAGTTGTCTGAACAGGGAACAAGTAACTCACGACTTCTTTCAGGGTTGTTTGAAGCATGTCTTACTCTAAGCAACCCCTCCTGCCTGGGCTTACCTAACACACACTTTGGCAAGCTGAGCGCCATGCCAAGATGGCACCTGTAGCATAGTGGAACCACCCCTGCAGGCACAGGGTATCACAGGGGCTGTCACAGCATCCAACAGACTTCATGATTCCTGCAGTCTTTCTCTTCCTCAGCTGCAAGAATATCGTGCTTTGGGGAGATCTGATCCGCCACCATAAAGGCTGCTATGGCAACCTGGAGCCTGTTCTTACCTCCTCCCAGGTAAGGATCTGTCAGCATCATCTCTAGGTTTGTCCTTTTTTGTGCTGGAAACAGTTTGTGGCATTGCTTTCAAGCTGGGGATGTGCGCCCTGTTGAAACATAACCCTTTTCCTGTTCAGCTTAAGCTGTTTCTCCTTCCATGTTTCTGGACCAGCTGTCTTCCCTCTCAGTCACCAAGGAGATAATCTCCTTCTTGTGCAACTTAAGCACTGCCCTCCTTTATTTGACCACACTGCTGCCTGTGTGTTACTGGTTCTACTGATAGCTTCCTATCATAACTGCCCTTCCTTTCTTTTATACTGCAGGAACATTGGGCTAATGAATTGCAACAGTGAAAGAGGAGCTTGTACTGCAAACATGTGATCAAGATTGACCTTTCCCTTCTGAGAAGGTGGAAGAGACTGCAGGAATCCCAGCACAGAGTGTGGCCCGGCTCCTCTTTTGGCCAGAGGGTCGAGTCCCTTCAGTCAAGGGTCCCTCCTTGATCTTTTCCAAGCTGGAACTGGTATTTTTAAATTCCCAGCTTCTGTATTTAAGTAACGAATGAATGAATGGATTTTCTAAGTGGAATGATTAAATCAGAGGATCACGAATCAGGCAGGATGTCTAAGAAATGAGAAGGGGTACAAGATGGGACTCCAGGATTCTGTGAAGGAGCAGAGAATCAAGATCACCTAAATTAGATGAAGCCCCTTTCTTTCCTCTAGCCAAGATACCTGAATTTCCTTACTCAGGAAATGGACGTTCTCGTGCTTCAGGACAACTGTTGTGATTAGTTATAGCCTGGTCAACTGGAGACAGAAGATCTGAGGAATGGCTCCATGGAATCTAAGAGGGTAGGCAAGGCCATCTGTTTTGAAATGCAACTCCCATACCATTGGCCGTGCTAACTGGGGCTTATGGGAGTTTTAGTTCAGAATACGGGGGATCTATGTTGCTTATATGGAACACAGAAAAGGCATGATCCCTGACCCCACCATACAGAAGGACAACAAACTGCTCTTAGAAATGAGTCTGATTTTTTTAAAAGAGCATGCTAAGAAAAGTTGAATTTCTCCCCTTAGATAAACTATGCACTTTAAGAAAAAATGTACACTTTTAGAATAGGCTGGAAAAGCAAAGGGTTACCCTGCTTAGGGAACAACAGTGACTGTTGATAGTTTTTATTGGGACAAATGACCTCATAAATGTTTGCTAATTTATATATTCTCCCATCAAAGCTGCTTAGAGGCAGCTTTTGGACATTTTGGAAAAGATGGCAATAAATTATTACAAACAGGTGCTGCATTAATTTTCTATTTTAAAAGAGTTACATTCAAATGAAAACGCTTAATGGTTTTCAGTAACACCTCACACCTCAAGCATTAGGCAAATGACGTGTGTGAGGACTGCCAAGGAATGGCCGTACAGCCTTGTAAAGACAGCCTTAGCCAGCGCAAACCCGAATGAGAGACTGGTCTATTTCCTGTTGCCTCCTCCCAAGTTGGGTTACTCAATTTTCAACTAGCTGCTGGACCTAAGCTTTTCGTAACAGCTGGATGTACAGAGACGGGCAGCCGATAACATGAACCCCACCCTGAAACCCCTTGGTTGCTGCACACTGAGCTGCTGCGAAAGGCACGGGATGCACCAGGCAAGTGGCTCTTCGCATCAGGTGGCAGTCCCATCGCCTGCAGAAGCACGAGAGTCTCTCTGAACCAAGGCCAGGCTGGACTATGCCTTATTTCCCTGGGAATGGCCACCTCGGTGTTCAGTGCAGACAGTCTACACAGTGCCCCCAAGGGCAGGTGTCATTTTTGCCAGCCATCCTCTGTCTCTGGGGCATAGTTTCCTCTTTAAATGCCTCACATTTGTCTCCTTGACGAGAAGAGTCCGCTTCAGGCACGGATACAGCAAAGCAGTGCAAGCACAATTCTGACTTGGCAAGGCAGGGTTGGTACAAAAACAGTGGCTGCATCAAAATGGGCAATTCTCCCAGTCCTTCAAGGAGCATCTGATAGTTTGGTCTCGGTGTCCTGCCAATGCTGAGATGAAAGGCTAACTGCTGCTTCAGCACGGGGTCTGTCAATCCCCAAACCCAAAGAATTCTGGACTTGGGTGTCACTGTCACCATTCAGGATCAAACAGGGTTGGATGAAGCCCCCTCTCTTAGATGCTCCTGTGGGCTCACTGCCTTCCGCCAAAGAACAGAAAAGAGCCGGAACTTCTTCAGCCTGACTGGAACGGACACCCTGAAAGCTGCTTTCCTCAGATGTATTTTTGATCACCGGATCCAAGACACACACAAGCAACAAAGACTGTTGAAGCTGCCCCTCTGCAACAGGCCTGTGCTCCGAGCCTTGCAATGCAAGCAATTGGTGATCCCCTTTGCCTCTGGGTAGAGGATTAAGTACTTCCACACTTCCAAATTTATCACACCGACCTGAAGCAGTTGTCATTTCATCAAGACCTTCCTTGGCTGCAACCAAAGCAGAGGAAACATGATCAGAGGAACAGAACAGGCAAGCCTTGTCGCTTTATCCATTTGGAACATCGTTTGAACCTGAAACTGAGTGTGGACCACCCCACGCCAGTCAAGCCAGGGCTTATCAACTTTAGAAGGCAAACCGTATGGCTCATTCCTCCATGTCTGGAAGCCTACCCAGCATGCAAGGAGGAGATCGCTGCAATCTTGTCCTTGATCTAGAGTATGTCTGCCTGAACTCAGTGGAGCTGACTTCTTACTGGACGGCACATGCTTGCACTGTTAGAAACATGCATTTAGAATGCATTTTAATCTGTGTGAGTTCGAAATGTTGCAGATTAATGCAGAAATGGGATGCGTGCATGTGAAAATGACATAGTTTGGAAACAGACAGATTCACCCATCTCTAGTTTCCTTCTTCCCCAGCCAAGATTTCATCAAATGTTATTTGCTCATTTATTCCACTCTACTCTGACTGACAACTTCCACAGGGATTCACCGAGGTCTTCCTTTCCTTCCCATCTCTTGCTACCTGATTCTTTATAACCCGCAACACCAAGGACTGAGTCTGGGCCTTTCTGCATGCAAATCACGCTCTGCTACTGTGCCGCAGCCCCTGCCCATAATCGTATTAGGGGAAGGCTAAACCAGCTGCTTACATACTGCCTTGGAATGCTGCCCATTTATGCATTATCTCTGGAAGTTGCCTGGAAAACAACCGAAGCCCACTTGGTCTGGTCTGGTCTGGTCTCACCATAATCCTTCTAGGCTACCTTCCTGCAGGCCACACTTCCCATCCATGCATGCACTTCCATCTCAAAACCTTGGCACAGGCTGGAATTCCAAGCCCAGAAGGGAGAGGCTCCTACCATGAATGGCGTCGCTGGTGGTTCACGACATGTGAGCGTCGCGTGAACCTCTTCCCACAGTAGGCGCACTGATGGGGCTTCTCTCCCGAGTGGATGAGCAGGTGCTTTGTGAGGGTTGTGTTCCGGTTGAAGCTGTTCCCACATTCTGGACACTGGTATGGCTTCTCGCCTGTGTGAATCCTTTCGTGCCTGATGAGGTCCCACTTCTTGCGGAACCGTTTCCCACACTCTTTACACAGGTGCCGCTTGGCTTCTGGGTCGGCCAGGATCCCTCCAAGCCCTCTGTCTTTGATCGCTCTCCCTGAGAGGCAGCTCCCCTTCGGCTGCCTCCCCAAGCCTCGTTCGCTTGCTTGCGATTTCCTAGGGTCGCCCTTTGCGAAAAAGGCCTCTCCTGGTCCTCCGTGAGATCTCCTGATTTGTTCTTCCATTGCAGGGTCTCCCTGGTGTGCATCCTTGTCTCCATCTCGGCTTACAAAGTTGCTTTCTGTTAGGCAAAAGAGGGAGAAAGCAAAGGCCCCACAGTTCAGCAGGGGAATACCTGCTTCATACATGGAAGTTCCCAGCCACCATCCCTGGCAATCCCAGTTTTATTTAAAATATTTCTAGACCACCTCTCAGGGCAGAATCCCTCCCAAGGCAGCTTGTAACAGTAAAATTCACGTAATAAGAACCAGGTACACTAATAAGGCAACAAAGATTTGTAAAACATGATTGCACTGCTATAATATAATTACAACTCTGGGGCAGAATAGTCCAATAAAACATTTTCAAAGGAAGACTGGGGTAAAATAGGGGCTGCTTAAAATTCTCCCAAGATGGGGTCTGATCAAACCCTGATGGGAACCCATTCGGGAAGTCTGGAGTCGTTACAGACAAGGCCTCTCTCTATTTGATCACCCTACTGCTCTGAAAGGTAGACAAGAAAGAAAGGCTCCTGTTAAAAGGATAAAGTAGATATTTTGTATGGCAGTTAAGCCTCAGGAGAGGCATTTAGAGTGGAGAGGGGGGCATAAAAGCCAGGCAACCAGCAACACACAGGTCTGGAGTGGTAATGCATTTAGCTGATTCCATGAGGCCTGTGGCGAGCCCGGCCTGCTAAGCGTTTTCATGTCAAGAGGTTGCTTCACAGTCAAGGAAGAAAGCAGCGCTATGAATCCACTCAAAATCCTCACCAGGAGCAATCAGGCTCCTGCACGTCAGGGACTGATCCTGCAGACCCACCTTTCTGGGACACTTCCTGGTTGTAGTTCTCTTGCAAGCCGGTATCCTCACTGTTAGCTTGTTTGGTCTCCCTGCGTGGATGTCTCTGTGTTGCCTCTGACAGAGCCTGATCTGCAGCAGGGGAGTTTACAATCACCATCTCAATTGGCACCGTTATCTGAAACAATAACACGCAAAGGGAAATTAGTGGACCTGAGATGGGGCAAATGGGGTAAGACGCTTTTAGTGCAGGGCTTTGGCAATTTGGACTGCACAGAAACTAATGCTGGGTGTAGAACTCACATCCAAAGGTTAGCTTTCATGTCCTTAAAAAGTCAAGTTTCTAGGCCTTGTGGGACACAGAGAAGCATAAATTGTATGGACAGGTTGAATTGTATGGAGGAGGATACAGCTAGCAGTGGCCGTTGGTCATGATGATGGGTGTATAGTCCCTCCATTATGCAAGGCACAATTCCACTCCCTACGTGCTACGTGAGTGCCACTGTGCCCCCATCTTGCTTGGGAATGTCTCACAGGCGCCTGTTTGGCCACCAAGGGAATGCTGGAGTAGAGAGGCCTTTGGCCTGATCCAGCAGGGTCTCCGGTGGCTAAGTTCTCCATACAGATGTTGAGAGCGACAAAATAGCTGGCATCTGTGATGTGGCACTAGCTAGAGAATGGGCAGAATATGCAAACTGCATGGAGCTTTCTTAAACAGAGCAGAGATATATGGAGGGATGCACGTCCCTTCACACATTTGTGAATGAACGTTGGTAGCCCTTGGGATCAAAGAAGTTATGCATCCCATAAAGACCTATTTTTAAAAAGGCATCTTTTAGGACAGTCCTGATAAAAAGAAGAGTCTGCAAACCTGCTGGTCTGGTATGTTTACTCCTTGCAGAGATCCTTGGCAGCCATACTGAAGCAAGGCTATTCTTTCTGCTTGAGACCCTTCCCTGAGCAGAACCCAGGTTCCAGCTTGCAAAAGCAAGATGGCTTTCCCCATCGCCAGAAAATACCAGGACCGGGAAAAGCTCTTACCTGCTGGGCCCATCTCTCAGTCTCCTGCTGCTCCTGCAAGAACTCCTCAGCCAGGGCCACAGCCCGGTCACAGGACTGGGGCCCACGTTCCCTAATCCAGTCTTGCATGTCTTGTGGCAGGATAACCAGGAACTGCTCCAAAATGAGCAGGTCCACAATCTGCTCCTTGGTCTGGCTCTCGGGCTTCAGCCAGCGATGACAGAGCTCCTGCAGCCGCCGGCACGTCCCACGTGGCCCCTCAGCAGCCTGGTAGCAGAAATGCCTAAAGCCCTGGCGGTGAGCCTCTGCCGTAATATAGTCATCCAGCCTCAGAATGGCCACCTTCACCTTCCCGTAGTCCCCCTTGTCCTTGGGATCCAGGCTGAAGTAGGCCTGCTGGGCTTGCCCGCTGAGAATGGGCACGAGCCGAGCCACCCACTCTTCTCGAGGCCACTGGGAAGCATCCGCCATGCGCTCGAAGGTGGCCAGGCAGGCCTCGGTGCTGGCCCCTTGTGTCAGAGGCGGCAGCTGCAGGTCGTCCCATCCCGGCGTGCTCACGGGGACTGGGACCACCTCCAGCACCCGCTGCCACTGGCAGTCCCAGCTCCTCAGCGGCGCCTCTCCGAGCTCCTGCTTCACCCTGGCGGCAGAGCCCTCTCTGGCAGACTCCACAATGGCCCCCAGCTGGGCCACGCAGAGGCCCTTCCCGCCTCCTTCTCTCGTGCTGTCCTCCACCTGGCACTGGGCCTCCATCTTCACCTGAACCTCTGAGGGAAGCCCCAGATCCATCATTTCTCCTGGAGCAGTGGCCATTTTGTTTGCGTGTTGATGGCCAGCCATGTTGCTGGAACTTCTCTCCGCTTCAGCTGCTCCTGCTGAAGAGAAACACTCCGTTTCCGGGCTCTGGCCTGTGGTTAGAGGAATCTGTGGTAAGGCAGCGTAGGCATGGTTCTGTCAGAAAAATAGAACCCTGGTAGTTTTCTCAGCTCAGTGGGTGTTGCCTAGGGTTTTGCATCTTAAGACAGCAACCTTTAATTCCTAGGGACACCTTACAAGGCTTCTGTCCTCTAGCTGTAACACAACAAGGAAGATGCTATCCTCCTTTTTCACCCCTGGCATGGAGACACAAGACTGGTTGTTAAGGATGCAGAAACCCCCAGAGAAAAAGGAGGAGGATGCAAGCCTGATAAGCCTATCTGCCCATCACCAAATCTTGTTACCTATTATCACATCTTCGTCTCTGGTGCAGATGTAGCCACTGACTTACTGATGGTGCATGATTTTTGGCATGCAGACATGGGGGGATCTTTAAATGGGGTAGCAACCAGAGTTGTTATGCAAGCAGTTCACTATAGGAATGTTTAAATCTGGCTTAAAGCTGGGTCTGTGCCTGCTGCAAAATGTGATGGAAACAGGAGGAAAGAACTGACCAAATTTCATCAGATCGTAGGTGGGATACATGTTACCTCACTGCAAACAGAGAGCTCATGAATCAGGGAAAGTGGCATTGGTGTTCTGTTTGTGGGAAAGTCTTAATTTAGGGCCTCATTTAAAAATATCCCCCTGCTCTGTGGTTTGCAGTTGATTCTACTGCCACATTTTGCTTCATGTATAGTATCCTAGTTATTTCAGGAGTGTAATGCATGGACTGGGTGCTTTATAAAAATCAAGTGGAGAGTTCCTTGCCCCAAAGGGGTTACAGTCTAAAAATAGGAGACACAGTGGAGGAAGGAAAAAGAAATAGGGCATGAGTAAACAGACTATGGTAGTAGGCAACATATAAATGAAAGCATGTATAAATAAATAAATAAATAAATTCAATGACACATTAACTCAATTACAGTAAAGCACTGGGTTTAGGGACTTGTACCAAATGCTTCACGAAAAAGGAAGATTTTGAGAAGGGAGTTTAATGAAGAGAGTAACAGCACAGCACTTATGCAATGCAAGTTGTGGCATTACAGGACAACCGAGGAGAAGGACTGGAAGCTTTTGGGAAGAAAATCTTTGGGACAGCCAAAAGCAATGGCACTGGGCAAGCAAAGGAGACATTATTATTAGTATTGCTCCTACATTCTAATGTTAGCTACCCCCCCCCTCCCGCCACAGGAGATTCCAGCTTAATAGGCACCATACAAAAAGGGAAAAGGAACACCAGCAAATAAAGTTACGGATTCTCCCTAAATTAACAGCATATTATAAGGAGCAGCTGGAATTGGCTCTGGGAGGGAAGGGGCGAAGCGAGCTGCAGGTCGTCCCAGCTGAGCCGATGGAGCGAGCGGGCCGGCCGTTTCGCTGCTCCCTCGGACACGGGCAGGTAGATGGGCCGGTGCTGGCAGGGGAGGAGTCAAGCAGGAAGGTACCCCCAGCCGAGCCAATGGAAAGGGCCATCTCACCTTTCGTTCTAACGCAGCCAGGCCTGAGAGCTACCCATGCAGTAGAATGCAGCGGAAGAATGGACCGTACCACTTCAGGCGGATGATGGGGTGAGTGAAGAATCATGTGTTTCAGCGCTTCTCCTAGGTAGAAAAATCTCTGAAAGTAGAAAGCTAGTTCAACAGGAAGCGAGCGCTGGGCTACACCCTTTTCTCCCCGACGTGTCTTTTTTGGTTTGTTTTTAACTTGCGAATGAGAAACGGGGGAAAAAATTAAAAATGGCATCCTCTAAGAATAGTACAACCCTTTCGACTGCATCAGGATTCTACCATCTCCTTCTGCTGCACGTATAGAGTCCACTCTGAATGCACGTTATAGTATCGAAAGAGCCCGTTTCTCTCAAACAGGTGCTCGTCCAGATGGGTTGGACTACAACTCCCAGCATCCTCCGCCAGAGGATGCTGGGGGTTGTAGTCCAACCCATCTGGACGAGCACCAGCTTAGGGTGGTGGCTTCCAAATCTAGGAAGAAAGCACGTGCAATTGGTAGTGCCAGCCGGAGACCAACTGCAAGTGGACCCCTCCTCCAAACAGAGTTGCCCACCCACGGTCGCAAAGAGGACCAGCCTAAAACTCCTGAGCGTAATGGACCACGTGGCTTTGGGAAGGGGGAACCCGGAGCTCTTCCAGCCCTTTCTCAGCTTTCCTTGCCATTTCCCACCAACCTTCTCCCATCCCGCCAAGTGCACCCAAAGCTCACTTACCCTGGGCAGCCGCTCCTGCTTTGATTTGCTGGGCTGGGGTAATCAAACCAAAGCCCACCTTCCACTGCTTTCCCGCTTCGGGCGGCGCGGGAAAGCGTGCGGCAGTAGCATTTTCCGTCGCTCCCTAACCTTGGCTATTTCGGAGCCTCTCTAGGATTATGGTTGGCGTTTTGATTTTTTAACCCCTTTGGAGCATTTCAGTCTATGCTGAAACCTGCCAAGAAACTAGTCCTTCGGTGCAGCAAAAATGGCACTAAGAAACCTATAACAAGACTAGAGCGGAAAGAAAATCAGGGTACACCAGTAGATTTCTGGGTGATTCTCAGTAACTCAGCAAGCAAGGAAGGAGAGGAGAGGGCAAGTTCTGGCTCTCAAGAGTGAGAACTTTCAAAAGCCAGAGGCTGAGGAACATAGTCATGGGGCACGATCCACCAGGGTTCAGAGGAGGGCAACAAAGATGATCCAGGGTCTGGAAACAAAGCCCTAATAGGAGAGACTGAGAGAAGTGGGCATATTTAGCTTCGAGACGAGAAGACTGAGGAGGGAATATGACAGCACTCTACAAGTACCTGCAAGGCACAAAGAGGAAGGTCAAGATCTGTTCTCACTCATTCCAGAGTGTAGGACATGGAACAATGAACTTCAGCAGCAGCAAACCAGATTCATGCAAGATGTCAGAAAACATTTCCTAGCTGTCAGAGCAATATTGCAGTTGCTTAGAGTGGTTGTGGGCTCTCCCACTCTAGAGGCATTCAAAACTGGACAGCCATCTGAATGGCATGGTGTACCTTGGCATCCCGCACCAGCAGGGGGTTGGATCCGACGGCCTTCTTGGCTCCTTCCAGTTCTACTATTCTATGATTCTGTGTGTTGAAGTAGCACTTTTAATGTGTGAAGGACCTTGCAATATTTATTTAGCATTTCATCCTTGTAGGTGAAATCTGTGGAGCTCCCAAAGGCACAGGACCCAACAAGGCTTTGAACACAGAGAGCAAGATGAACTTGACCCAAGATGAGCATTCCAGGATCCTAGTTGTAATAAATCCTTAAGCACCCCAGTGCCTCTACGGCCTCCTTCCTGATCTTTCTTCATGGCAGGCTTTCCTTGGTGTCTCTTGCAATCGGCTCTCCTCTGGGGGCAGTCTGGCCAGCCCACTTGGTTGACAGGTTTTTTTTTAAACCCATCTCAACCTGTCAACATCCCATGATATTTTGAAGTGTTTTTTTGTGGGGGAATTTTCCTCACCTTAATTTCCTTTATATTTATATTGTTTTGTGTATTCAGAATTGACCCAAGGGTTCAACTTCCCATGGGTGTGCGCAGCACCTTCTGGACTGTATTTGAGCTCATGAAGACTTGAATTTGTGTCTCTGAATACATACAGAGTTCCTTTCTCTGGAACTGTGGAGAATTCTTCCAGGCAAGTTACCAGCAAGGACATGAAATTTTAAGTCATAGTGCTTCTTTTTTTTTAAAGAGAACATTAGTCCTGTTCTATCTCCAGAGAAATACAGGTGTAGAGTCACAGCCAGTTTGGTGAAGCTTTAAAAGGTTTATCAGCTGGTGGTATGCCCTGTATATGACTGCTAAAGTACATCTGTGTCACTATCTAATATCAGTCATTCTTGCCTAACAGCATTTGCCTTGACTGGCAGCAGCAATTTGGCTCACTCCTTTCAGTGGCCATATAAATTGACAACATATTTGACATACTACTTGTGTGCTGTTTGGTGCCCGCAAGATGAATGGTGCTTCCAGATGAAGCTTTTAACATGAAATTCTTTTCTCTCATTCATGAAATTTTACAGGCGGACTAGAGAATGTTATCTTCCATGCTTAGCCTTACATATGTTTTCCACCTCTTCTAGCCTTTTTCCTGCTTCACTTCCTCTTTGTTCTAGCAACTCTGTTATGCCCATCTCTTTGTACAGGAATAATTATAAATCTTTTCTCACTGCAACTATTCCTGCCTTAAAACTTACAAAGGCATACCCTGCCCATTCCCTTACTAACAATGGTTACTCAGCCAAAAAGAAGCAAAAACAAACCAGATTCCAGTGTTGTGAGATAATTTGGCCTTGGGCTCTGAAATGAAACAGGGAAGTGACATGTAGAATTCTGTGAAGCCAACCATCTATTTATTGCAAATACATACTTCAAGCAACCAAAGACTGTACATGTGGTCATCACCAGATGGCCAATACAAAAATCAAATAGATTATGTAATTGGAAGTAAGTGATGGAGAAGCTGTATTCTTACTGCCAAAACAAGACCAGTGTTCAGAAACAAATGGTTTAAAAATTGTCTCAAGGAAGTTCTATTTCCACCCACCACGTTCTATTTCCACTAAAATCTTCATACAATATTGGAAGGAGCAGGTTCAAATCTGAATGCATCGTAATATTTAATGACATCCTATCCAGAACTCCAAGTCCAGTTATTGATATGTAATACTTCCAGAGACTCTTGGCTTTTTCCCTTTAAGAAAATTGGAATCAAACATTTTTGCCATTTAATAAGGTATTCTGTGGTAATTTAAATGGTAAAGTTTGGGAAAGAACACTATTTTAGGAGGAAAGGTCATTTTAACAGCAGCTGTTCTCCTTGGCCAAGCCAAGACTAGAGTATGACTGCAAGTCTTGCCTTATTTTATGCATAGCTGTATTATAAATCAATTTTTGAAGATTATTTAGATTTCTAGCAATAAAAATTTACTAGCCCACAAAATGTTTTATACTGGCCCACACATGCATGTGCAAATTGGTGCTTCCAGGCATATTTTCCAACTGGTGTATACACAGGCCCTCTGCTCTGGGGTGATTCCTGCACAGACTGGTGTTGGGAAAATTTAGATAAATCCTTATAAGAGAAGGTTGCTTATATGTGCCTTTATGATATAAAATCAAACCTGTGGTGTCCCTGCCTCTCTTTCAGAAAGAACCAGTCCCAAGCCAGACTTCTATGAGCTGTTCCTTTAAGACACTGGAACTCTCAGCTTGCCAGAGAGCCAAAGAAGGGGGGCACCTCAAGGAAAATGAACCCCTTTCTATGCTTGTGCTAACAGCAACAAAACTGGTAAGGGCATTTTCCTAGCAGTATTGCAATCATCCTAATTTATATATTCAAACCCACAGCCAAGACTGACAATCATCCATTACCTGATTTACATGACAATCTCCTGTAATCAGTGCTATTGCATTACGTCCCCTCTGCAGATGTCTCATCCTTTTGACTGTGTTCCCATTATTTTGTCATCTGCCCTGCTGCTGTGTACAGTGACACAGAACCTATAAAGCACTCTGCATATGTTCGAAAAGCTTGTAGTTTGCTGTGCGGACTGCTACCCGGGAGCATGTTGTTGAAAGTAACTGCAGGGGGCCTGGGTGATCTCTCCAATAAAACTGGGGGGGGGGGGGGCAAGGCATTCAGTCTGAGTGTTCATTCCCATCATTGGTTTTGAGGCTCTGTCACTGGCAACCTGATCCAGCTCAGTGAGGCAGGGGACGGCAGGCAGCAGAAGCTCTGGGCTCTGTTCGAGGGCAGCATGTCTGCAGTTTTTGAAGTGCACAAGATGTTGATGCGCAAAAAGCACTGGAAGACAAGGGGACAGTATCGAAATGTTTTCACAACAGGTCTGCCCATGCCCAGAACAAAAGACTTTTACAGTAGGGGGGTGGGGAGACAAGCAAGGTGAACCTGGGCTACCCCACCCACTGGGCTTGTTTGCAGAAAAAACACTCAAGACCTCCTGTGCAGATCCACCGGAATTATCTCCTGCAAGTAGCAAAAAGCAACAGCACAACCACCCATTTGTGGCAGAAGCTCCCATCAACACCAAAAAAAGTTCTGGCGTTTCCCTCCCAGATGGTTCCTGAAGGCATTTATTCCACTCCCACCCAGCATCTTTACTGGCTTCCTCTTTGCCGTCACACTGCAGTCATGCCCACCTCTTCACTCCGGAACAGCCATGGATCTACTCCACTGCCCGGATTGCCGCTTCTGTATTACCTACAGGGTATTATGGACACACAGAGCAGGTGGGCAGGCCAAGAGTGAGTCAGTTCTTGAAGAATGGACCCTCCTTTAAAAAAAAGACCTACCAAAAGAGAAAGGTTGGGGTTGCGTGGCGATCAGCGGGAACGGAAGCCCACCCAGGCGTTTAGCATGGAATCCTGAAGGAGCTTGGCCGGCTCGACCACGCAGTGGGGCAGCATCTGTGCACCTTCGCTTAGAAGTCAGTTCAACAGCGCCAGCAAAGTGGGCCCAGGACCAGAGCCTGACACCCTCGCCACGACCCTTCCCCGCGCCCAGGCCCATGCTCCCCGTTTTCTGCCCACCCTTCCTATACATCTCCTCCCACGTGGCCATGCAGCTCCGCGGCCTTGGCGGAGGCGCCCCCTGCCGGCGAGACTCAGGCCTGGCTCGGGTCCGGCTCGGGCACAGTCACCGGGAAGGCGTCCTCGTCCTCGGAGCGCTGGAAGCAGCCCTCGGCGGCGCCCAGCCCCGCCAGCCCCGCGGGGGGCTTGGGGGGGCCCCGGGCGCCCGGGTGCACGCGGCTGTGCTTCACGAGGTGGGAGATCTGGCTGAAGCGCTGCTCGCAGACGTGGCAGGCGTAGGGGCGCTCGCCCGTGTGCGTGCGCTCGTGCTGCACCAGGGTGGAGCGGTCGCTGAAGCGCTTGGGGCAGGTGGAGCAGGGGTAGGGGCGCTCGCCCGTGTGCACGCGCTGGTGGATGGTGAGGTTGGAGCTGTGGCTGAAGGCCTTGCCGCACATGCAGCAGCGGTAGGGCTTGCTGCCGCTGTGGATCTGGCTGTGGGTGCGCAGGTTGCAGCTCTGCGAGAAGGCCTTGCCGCAGTCCGGGCACTGGTAGGGCCGCTCGCCGCTGTGCGTGCGCAGGTGGATGTGCAGGTTGCTCCGGTGCCGGAAGCTCTTCTCGCACATGCTGCAGGCGTACAGCTTCTCGCGCGTGTGCACGTAGTGGTGGCGCCGCAGGTCGGCCCGCTGCTTGAACGTGCGCCCGCACTCCGGGCACGCCAGGTCGGAGACCACCGTGGCGCTGAACGGGGGGTGCCACGTGATGACTGGCAGGGCCGCCGCCGCAGCCGCCGCAGCCGCCGCCGCCGCCTCGTGGAGGTTGACCTGCAGCAGGGGCGGCAGCGGCGGCGGGGAAGCCAGCCGCTGCGTGTCCTGCTGGCACTGGCCCTTCTTCCTCTCGTGCAGGGGGGGCTCCTTCTTCAGCTTGGGGGGCGTTCCTGCAGTCTCGGGCTTATTCCTCAGCTTCGGGGGCTTCTCCACGGACACCAGCTGCTTCTTCAGTTTTGGGGGGCCGTCCTGCGGCGGCAGCCTCCTCGCCCTCTTCTGGGGCTTGGTGCTCACAATGGGGATGTCCGAGTCCTGCCCTTGGCCTGCTTCTCCCAGCAATGATGGCTGGGACCACTTGCTCCTGGAGGTGGCCTCCCCCCGTGTTGGTGGAGGGGTCATTTTCTTCCTTTTAGGGCCTTTGGCCTTTGGGGCTGACCCTTGCCTTTTTGTGGGGCCAGTTCTTGGCGGGGCCATCCCCAAGTGCCCTGAGCAGTCCCGAGTTGCTTCTGTTGCTCGGGCCAGTTCTTGGTCTGCCTTTGTGGCTCTTTTTGGAAGAGGCCTCTTTGCCACAGCATGGTCCTTAAAGCTTAAAAGCAGCGAGTTTCCTGTGGCAAAAAGAAGGAAAACGGATTTGAGTTTGTCTTGCGAGGAAGCAGAAAAGGATATGCTGTTGCTTACTTGAGAAAGGGAGAAGAAGATTCGAGCTAACTTGAATCTTGGCGGAAGGAAAGCCCCATCCATTTTGCTATATTTCTTGACTGGGAGCCTGTTGGGACAAGGATCTGTCCTTGCCTTCCTTGGAAATCTGCATGAGCACAGATAAATAATTCAACTGGGAGAGGCACCTCCGCGATACTGAAAGCAACAGGACGAGATTCTGCACTAGTCCTTTTATAGCCATCTTGATTCAGCCATGAGAAGAAGGCGAAAGGGAGGAGAATGGATCACATCACATTTTCAGGAGCACAAAGATGACAAGGTCTAATTCACAGCCAAAAACCTGCATGTGGCATTCTGAGTGTCTTTGCACAACACCCTAAGCCAGACTTCTCGGCCTGGCTTAGAAGCCACCCTAAGAACAACACACCCAAATGATGTGTAGGTGCATTGGGGGTAGGCCACTCCCTTCCCCTCCCTTTGCCCTCTCTCAGGGATCCCATGGGGGCACTGCCATTCCCTCACTCCCCACTGCCACCTGTCAGGGCGGAGCAGGGGTCACCGATGGCCCCTGCCTCAGCTCACAAGCCAGGGCGAGGCCTCTCGGCACAGCTGCCTATCTTGGTGGAGGTGGCTTGGCAACAACACCAGACGGGGGATGCCAAGCCACACTCTGCTCATCCTCCCCTAAGCATCTCATGGGCACTTAGGGTGGCTGTCATCTGACAGAGACCTCTGTAAGCCATCCAGAGACTTTTAGTAATGGGATGGCACAGAGAAAAACTTTAAATAAAATAAAATAGTGGCAAGACTGTTTTAGCTGCTCTTGCCAAGCAGCTCGGTAAGGGCTTTAAATGTTGTCTGGGTTCAGGCGGCATGTCAAGCTCAGAGGTACCTTAGAAACCTGAGAAGAAGCAGGTGCATTTATAAGCTAACACCCTAAGCCATCTGGGCTGATAAGCAAACATGCTGCCAAGAATTTCTGCCCATTTTCTTAGGCACAGGATCCTAGTTTTTGTGGCTGAAAATTTCACTCCTGCCTCCATGTTCCAGAACCTGATTTGTATCCACTTTTTGATCACATTCCAACCTAAGTGGGAGTATTTATTATTCATATAATTTTACCAGTGTCGGGTACCATTTCCATACTAATTTATAAAAATGTTCCTTAATTCTGATTGACATGCTTTTTAGTATTTAGTGAGGGCTTATTCTAAAAGACAAGATCTAAATTACTTAATATAAATATATACCATTCATAGCCCTTGACCTTCCATCTCAGTTCTCACAACATATAATTCACTAGCCCATTACAGCATCAGCCAACTTTACACCTATATATAATTACTCAAGCCAGATAACTTTATTTTCAATTACAGTTTTCTGGTTGCTGAATTTGCAGTTCTAGTAGCAATGTCATGGCTACTATTACAAGATTCCTAAATGTTCATTTAGCACCAGCAGCCCTACTTCTGTCTCACCAGGGTGGGTACCAGGGACTGGGCTTTCTTGGCCCCACACTTTGGAAATTCCCTCCTCAAAGAGAGATGGATGGCTTCATCACAACCAGCTTTTTAAAAAACGGTAACATGAAAACATGCTTATTCTAGTCTGTAGTGGAGGCCTAATAATGCTGCTACTGCTATCTGTGTCTGTTTAATTTGTATGCTTATATTTTTGGAATATTATAAGCTGTCTTGTGAAGGCAGTCCATCCTGAAAGGCAGGTTAAAAATCTTATATGAATTAGTAATAATTTTGGACAGCTCAACCTCTCATGATTGTTTTAGAAAATGGGAGCTGTAGGCCTTTTTCAGTCTAAATATGCACAGGATTGCACTTTAAGAGCAGTGAAGAATGTTTTTAACTGTTGTAGAATAAATAGGGCTCATGACCAAAACAGGTGAATCATAGCTAAGCTCCTTCCTCACCTCTGAATTGACTCTTTGGAAAATCTGCTCTCATGGCATCACTCTGAAAACACAGTTCTTCCCCTTGCTGTATCTGGGCAATTAGCTCGGGTAGCTCCAAAGGAACTCCTGCCACATAAAACAGAGAAGAAAGAATGGGCAAAGCAGAAAAGCAAAGAAAGGTCATTATCTTTGGCATGTCTCTATAACACTTCTAAAACCAGTTTTAGATCCTGTTTTAACTGCCCTGGTTCATGACCAAGGAAACTCAGGAAAGCAAATTTTATAAAGGTGCTTCTAGGCAACCTGTTGTCTACCAAATGTTTTGGACTACTATTTCCATCAGCTCCAGCAAGCATGACCAATGGTCAGGGTTTATGAGATTCATATCCAAAATATTTGGAGGGTATCAGGTTGCCTTTCCCAGACAGACCTTTAATGAAACATTTCCAGTAACTTCACAATTCAGGGGAAAGTTCTGAAAGTCACCGTCACTATTTATCAGAAAGGCAGGATAAAAGTTAAATAAATATGCGGAGACACTAATTAGTAACTGTTCTGGCAGAAGGGGACTGATTCAGAGTGGGTCTGCAGCAGGGGGCAAAGAGCTAAAGTCCATGCAAGGTTCCCAAGTTAGTTGGGATCTAAATAGACCTGCTATTTCCTTCTTTAAAAAAATATTCATGCAATGGTTGTATGAATAGACCTTTAGCCCTTCAAAGGGTTTAGATTTATTGTGTGCCTGCCAAATCTCCCAAGATACAACTTCAGAGGCAGTCACCCCTCCACAGAAGGTGAATCATGGAGATCCCAGGCTTGGAAGGGAAGTGCGGCCCTCCATAGGGCAAGATGCTTTATTCTGTGGCATAAATCCTCAGCCTGATTATCTGTACAATCCAGGTCAGAAAGTGCATCATGCAGAAAGCAGTGGACTCTGGTGTGCCATGTTGAGGAGCGAATGAATGTACAGAGCTCTGTGCCAGACCATGGGTCCATCTGGCTCAGTAATGCTGACACTGACTGGACACCAGGAAGAATTTATTACAGCCTCACCTGGAGGTGGAATCTGGGGCCTTCTGCAAGCCAGGGGGCGCTTCAGCACTGCCCTTCCTTGTGGAACAGGCAAGCTCCTTCACCCCCAAAACAAAACAAAACAAAACCAACCCAACATGGGAGAGGGGGGAACTTCCCTCTCTGACTGCACTTGTTCAGTACTAGTTCACAGGGAACTCGGAGAGAGTCAGCCTTGAGCCCTGTACTGTGTCACTGTGGAAACCAGACTTGAGGCCTAACGAAGCAGGCAGATCCTCACCCAGTGTGGACACATTCTGGAAATTCTCCAGCGTGACATCGCGATACAAACTTTGTTGCGCCTTGGTGAGGAGGGCCCATTCTTCATGGGAGAACTTCACGCAGACATCTTTGAATGACACCGGAGGCTTGTCAGGGCAGGAAGGAGGAAACGGCATGTTTAGAAATGGAACACAACAACATCAACAGAAACCCAAATCCTGGCAATCCCCAAAGCCACTAAGGGAAAATGCCATTTTTCTCAGGTTGGATGTAGCCTTTGGATAAACTCAACTGCCTCTCACAGCTCAGTTATGGCACCAAAACAGCAGCCCCGACAGAAGATATGGCAAAGCCTCCATTTTCCCCATCCCAGTTAAAGCTATGCTACTTACCCATAAATTATATCAGTGACAGTTATGATGCCTGCTTCACACATTACAAAAACCGTGTGGGAAGGGCTGATGGGTGCAGTAGAAATATAATAAATAAATGTATAAATATGTCCCACATGCAGGCCACAGGGCATGCTTCCCCAGCCTCCAGGTGCCCTCCAGATACTGGGCTCCAACTACCAGCATGCTTGTTAGCCAGGCTGTACTTCCCACACATCTGGAGAGTGCCAGGCTAGGGAAGGCTGCCATGTGGGGGGGGGGTGACTATGTGTGTATATACCATTTTGTGGACATACAGCCATCCTGTGTATCTGTAAAGCACGGTGTGTACATATACTCACATCACATGTGTCGCGGTACATAAGAAAAGGGGAAGCCCCTATTTCCTATTAACATAGGATGGTCCTTTGTAGTGAGCCAGATCATTGGTCAATCTAGCCCAGTGTTATCAACACTGACTAAGAACAGTTCTTCAAAATTTTGAGCAGGATTTTCCCCCGAGTCTCAGCTCTACATGGAGCTGCTGTATATTGAACCTGGAACCTTTTTCATGCAAAACGTGTGCTCTTGCATGGCGCTCTGGTCACAGGTTATGTGATCTACAAGATGGATCCTAACTGCAAGAACCGTGAAGCGACTACCATAACACAAGTGGAAACTTCAGCAAACAGACTGATAATACAGCGGTCCTTGGCCTGTGCACAGAAGACCCCCGGAAATAGCTGGCTTCGGAAGCAGCAAACGCAGGCCCAATGCAATGCATACAACAATGTATGTGTGAATGGTCTGCTTCTTTCTGAAAATGATCAAGCCATATTAGATGGCTGAGATAAGGAAATTCTGTCACCTGAACGTCCCCTCCCTGCTCTTCAACTCTTCTTTAGATAAATGGCTCTCCTCAATCTGCCCTCGATGGGCTGGGCGGCAGCTCCCGACACTCCCCCCCTGCACGGCCCATGTGCATACTTAGCTTAGGCACCCCACATAAGGTGAACACCAGGCTTAGCCAAAGAGCGAATGTAAACAGGAACAACATCCTAAGCGAAGCAGTCCTTCCTCTGCATCTGCAGCCTCTCACCTCATTTCCCACCTGGAAACCCTCCGCCAGATCCACTGCCTGGGCACAGGTCTTGGGGCTACATTCCCTGACCCAGCTTTGCATATCCTGTGGCAGGATGGCCAGGAACTGTTCCAGGATCAGCAGCTCTAAGATCTGCTCCTTGGTGTGCTTCTCCGGCTGCAGCCAGCGCTGCCCAAGTGCCCGGAGCTTCCGGCAGGCCTCTCGGGGGCCCTTGGCCTCCTGGTATCGGAACTGCCTGAAGCACTGGCGTTGCGTCTCTGTGGTGATGCCATAGAGACGCAGGATGCGCTCCTTGGCCACATCATAGGCGTGGGCTGAGTTGTGCTCCAAGACGCTGCAGGCTAGGAGAGCCTTGCCATTCAGGTGCAGCTTCAGCCGGGCCAGCCACTCCTCCCTGGGCCAGCGGTGGGCCTTAGCTGTCCACTCAAAGGCCTCCAGGTAAGCTTCAATGTCATCCTCTCGATGGAGCTGGAGGACCCACATGCTTTTCAGTGGAAGAGGCCTGCTTGGCATGACCTCAGCAGGGGCATCGATGAGTCTGCCAAGCTCCTCCGATACACCAGCTGGCTCAGAATTCGCTGCCTGTAATACTTGTTGCCAGGCATCCTCCCAGCACTCGGGCACGTAGGGCTGTGCCTGCTGTGGCACCATGTGGTGGAGCAGCTCTTCAATGGTCCCACACTGCACCATGTTGGGCAGCCTGTCGGCCTCCTTGGGCATTGGCTCCATCTGGATCCACTGGGTGAGGGCCAATCCAGTCTTTGCTGTGCTGGTCATTTTCATACCCTTCCCAGCTCTGTGCCTTGCAGCTATTGGAACCCCCTTCTGCAGAAGCTGCTGGTTGCTAGCGGTTCTCCTGAGGAACTTGGCAGGGACCACAAACGCTGGGAGTGAAGCTGGCTGCAAAATGCTCTCCACGAGAACAGAGGGATGAGAGGCATCCAACACAGTTCCACCTTAAAGAAGGGGTGCTTTCAAACACATCCTTCTGAACAAAGAGGCAGTGGAAAGAAGCAAAAGTTTAATCTACATGGAAGTCAGGGTTGCACAAGCACCTACTGCAAAACCATCACCAGTTTCTGGAGGTCCCTGGGTGGTCCATGGAGAAGCAGCTGAACAAGCAGGCTGCAATCGCAAGGAGGAGCAATTTCTGGAGTCTCATCACTGGGGACCGCCTAACTCCAGGGGCATTTTTACAAGTGAGGCCAAAAACACTGCTCACATCTGAGGGAGTTCTTGATGGGCATTGTTTATGTGGCCAATCAAATAAGTTTAATGGGCTGGCAACCTGGCTGGTTCCTTATCACAGGAGGGGGCTTTCTGGTTGTGGTTTATTTTTAAGTTGCCGAAACCTAAGCATGCCTTCCCCACACCCAGTGTAAACTACATAATCAGATATGCAAGGAGGAGGCAGAACAGAGCCCAGCAACCATGAATCAGCAGAGTCCTAATCTGGGAACAAAGCATGGCACTTCAGGAAAGGTTGTATAATACAGAAAATTGCAGGAGAAAAACAAACTGCCTGACATAAATGTATAAGTATGTCCCACATGCAGGCCATAGGGCATGCTTGCAACAGGCCAGCTGAGGTGCCTCTTACCACCTTGGCTAATTACTCTTTCTTGGGGTTCTTTAATTCTGACTTCTGAATAGATGTCAACACCAGTTTTTAAGCACTTCCAAAGTGTTTCACTGGTGTTTGGGTTTGAGGGTCTCTCTAACTTTTGCTCAAACATTCCTCTTTGGGGATAACCAACGAAGCATTCCCACAGCATTCCCACAGCAAAGGCTGCAAGGATCAAATCGCTGCAAGGGGTGCCCAGAAGCCCGTGATGATTTTCCTGGGCTGGCAGGGGAGAGGATTCTAAGGAAGAAACTTACAAGGGACATCTGCTTCCTGTTAGTGCTTCAGTGATGCAACCAAGAGGCCCTCCGCCAGGACGTTCCCCAGCTCCTGTATTAGTAACAGGCCCTGTTAACATAAGGAAAAATGCTTGGCTTACAATTGATTCTAGGAGCGGTATTTTGAGTTTCCTCCATTAAAGTCCCTTCCTTCTGCAAGAAACTTACTATGGCTTCTTTCCATGAATGTGCCCAGAAAGGGGGGAAAGGGCAGAAGATGGGGCTGGGAGTAGGATGGGATCTCCTCCCTTGAGTCTCTCATTTGGTGTCCTCTGAATGTGGGGAAGGTTGCCATATTGGTTGAGGATTATGGGAGTTCTTATGGTGCTGAGGGCTGTTACAAGCTATTATTGGTGTAGGAAAGTTGCTTCTCCCAGGACGGAACTTCCTAGGTAGAGGTCCACTGAGATCTATTTATTACATGTGAATGTACACCTAGTGAGCATTTTGTTTTCATAATAACCTGTGAGGTAGATTAGCCAGAGAGAGGCTTGCCAAAGGCCATTCAAAGGAGCTTCACAGCTCAGCAAGAACCAGATGCAAGGTTGCTTACTTTCGAACACAATGCCCTAGCAACTACACTTCACCTTATTTTGCCAAATGGCCTTTGAACCTTTTCACTAATGTGCAAACCCCAAAGTGGATATGAAACCATTCCCTTTCCTGCAGCCCCAAATGCCAGATCGGAATATAACCCACAGTCTCGAGATATGCTCATCGTCCAGAGATGCAAAAGCGAACCTCATGCCCTGTGGTCTATCTCAGTCGCTTTTCTTATATCCATCCTTTGGGGCAAACGCCATCCCTTGCGGATGCCAATGCACATGTTCAGACCACTAAGACAGATCCTGAAGAGCCTTGCGGCGCCTTCGGCCTGCACGTCCACTGCACACCAGCCACTGTGCAACCAGCCCCGCGGCGGTTTCCTTAACGCTGGCAGCCTCCGCCCCCAACGCTGTGCACAGCTGATCAGATGTCCGCCTTGAGAAAGGGCCGTTCTGCCTCGCACCGCAGGTCAGTGGCGCATATGCGTGCTGAATAAATAAGCACCTTCTACCTAAGGTTCCCCTCCACTCTCTCATCGGTTTCCCCACCCTGTCGCTTTCCTGGATCCACGCCAATGCCTCCCCTTGCACAACCCTGTGCTAAATTCACTCCCAGGCACCTACATATTCCTGCGCTCACCTGCACCTTGCCTTATCCTGCAGCTACGCTCGGCAGGACATTCTCATGCCTCCTGCAACATTCCTGCTTTGTGGGGCCATTTCCCTCCCCGCACCCGCGGTCCTGATCTCCCGCGCCCGCCCCACTTGGAGGGCTTCTTTACTCCGAGCATGCGCTGTGATCCCTCACTCACGGAAGTTGGCGGGGCCCCTTCGTGGCGTCGTTGTCCTCCAGGGCCCGAGTTTTCCAAGCTTTTTCCGCGGGTTTGTATAGAGCGAAGAATTTCTGGTATTCAATTTTAAATCGCGACAAACTGGAACAAAAACCTCGTGGAAAGACCAAAATCCGTTCTAATGGAGCTACCCCACAGCGCCACCTTGTGGTTGATTAATAGAATATATAGAAAGGCCTAAAAATACAAGCCCCTGGAAACAGCTCCGTGTCAAGGACGCATTTTTCCTCTGCAAGGAAAACGGAAGCAGCAGCTTTGAACAGCAGCGGATTAAACCCCTCATGCAGGGAAATCAGATTATCCTGCCCCCCTTTCCTGTGGGCGCCCGGTCTTTTCGGCATCTGCCGCTCCGATCACTCTCTCTTTCCCTTTTCCCACAGTCCTACTTGCTTGAACGGGCAGATCCTGTTCTGCAACTATCCAATCATAGACATTTGCAGGAGGTTTGTTTAAAGCCCGCCAGAATAGAGGATACGATAGGTTGGGGAGCCTGTCATTCTGAGAGACGCAGGCAACGTGTTCTGGCACCACCTCTCCCTCCCTTCCTCTCTTTGCGCTTCCCTGCGTGTGCCTTGCTCAGTTCAGTCCGCGGGCTCTGCACTGGCAGCGCAAGCGGCAGGTCAAGTGGAAAAAGACACACATTTCGATCACACACTGCTGGGCGCATCTCTCAGGTGACTCGTCACTGACTCGCTCACCCCGGAATGAGAATAAGCATTAAAAAAAATATCCAGTGCTTTCCAACCCATTGTTTGTGATGTACTGGATTAAGATGTCCAGCTGCTACAACCACTCCCCCCCCCCCGTCTCCCCGTCTTCTTTTTTTAATGCAATGTAGGTGCTGGCTGGAGAATTTGGCAGCTGTTTGCAAAGATGTGCGTAGCGTGCAACTTGGTCTTCCGGTTCCCAGGGCACTTGTTGATTTCTCGTTGCCACATAACGCTTTAACTACTTGGTTGGGCTATTTCTTCTTGCGTAAAAGCATGAAAAAAAGCAGTTTAGAGGCACTGGGATTGCTTCATAATAGCTCAAGGAAGCTAGCTCAGCGCATCGTAGTTCTCAAAAACAAAAGCTATCTGAAGAGCCCCAGTAACAAAGCACACACGTGAGTTAAGCAGCCGTGAGAGAAAAAGGTAAATGCTACTTATGTATCTATTCAGGTGACATCAGAAGATTAAGCTAAACTCATACATTATCTGCTGAAGCCAGAGCAAGGACACAGCGAAAGGAGTTGAATGCCGGAAGGGTAAACTCTTACAAATTTACAGTTGTGACCTAAATACCAGGGGGTAAATTCAGGAGGAATTTACAGTTCCTGCAGCCGCGCTCTAAAAGAGATTCCCGAGTGAATGAAACTTCAACCACATATTAAAAATAAATCCACATTCAAAAGGGCCAAGGAAGGCAATATGTAGCTCAACAATGAAAGTTATCACAAAGGTCTTTGAACTTCTGTAGAGATGAGAATGCGAGATAAGTATGAGCCTTTGACACTTTCCCTTGTCTGAGCCTTCAAGCCTGTGCATTCACCTCTAAGGAATTATCCTTGTAACAATGGAAGGCTACCCTGACTGAAGGCTGGCATTCACAAGAGTGTGGATCCCATCCCTTATCATGCTAATGGAGACCCTGCTCAGCAATGCCAAAATGCTCTAATGTGCAGGCAGTAAATTGGTACCCTTGATTTAAAACAAAATTCCAAAAGTTGCCCATAATTTAGTGAAAGTTGGTTGTGATTCACCAGACCAGTCTGCAGATTTAATACACAGCGGGGGCATGATGAAGAGTCTAAGGTTTGCATGTGCCTTTTCCTAATGTACAATTCTGCTTTAAATGTTGTACCATATTTGTATTTTGCATTGCAATTCTTTATAAATTGCTGCAAATCATCCAGAGAACTTCAGCTATTGGGTGGTATTGAAATGAGATAAATAAAATAACTGAGATAAATAAAATATATACTGACAAGAGCCACTAGGCCTAGGTAGCAGAAAAGTCTGCTATAAGCAGCAGCAGCACCACCACCACCATGTAGTCTGGGTTGAAGCTGAACCCAGCTTCAGCCTGGGTTCATTGCAGGCTTGGGATTTTAGATCTTATGGGGCACCTCATCAATCTAAGGTCAGAATAGACTCATCCCAAGCTTGAGAGTTCAGGTTATCATTTAGTGTTCAGAGGTGGCACACAGGTTGAAGCATTTCCTCTGAAGGAACATTGGGTTAGGTGCCCTGGTTGGGCAGGGACCCTCACTGATAAGTTGTAATTCCTTGTGAATTAGTTATCGTAGCCACACCTTTGCTGATTCAGTTAAAGGCCAGGTTGAGACTCTTGGCTAAGAACAAGGTTTTATTGCCAAAACTCTTTGTTGGACTTGCTGCCTCTTGAGGCATTCTACGCATGAACTCTCCACCCAGTTTGTGCGCTTGACTCTTGAACTTGTACTGCTGTGACCCTGCCTTGAAAAGTACTGGGATACTTTTCCTAGAAGGTGAGTTCTTCTTCACGGCATGGATCATGGACCGTCATGATCAATAGCTCAGAGCTTCCATATGGCTTCTTGGATTTTCCTGTGTCTGGGCCTATGCAGCATGGGAATTCCACAGTGGCAGTTTTGCTCAAGCAAATCTCTCTCTGTGTGAGATTATTTTATTTATTTATTTATTAAAACATTTCTATGCCGCCCCTTGCCGAAGCCTTGGGGCGGCTCACAGCACAGAATAAAATACAATAAAATACAAAAATAACAATATAACATAAATAACAATATAAAAGAAGTTGCCCTGGCCAAGAATTATTCTGGACTTACCCTTGAATCTGTTTTGACATGTGCATTTGATAGGCCTTGGCCCCTGTAGTGCAGAGGTTTTCATGAAGAAGTTAAATCTTTGCCTGCATGGCTTTGTTTAGGTCTTTTTCTAGAATGCAAACTCCACTGTGAAAATGATGGACCTACTTGGTATGCTGGCCAACTTAAACTGCTGCTGCATGACCAGAACATAAACTCAGGGTCCCAGGAAGAGGTTGCCAAAATCTTCATAGTCATGACTGGCTTTTGGGTTTTATTGCCAACCACTTAGGAGAGAAGGAGGGCTATGTTGGAATAAGCCACATACACTTGAAAAAACCATGTCTGAAATAAAAACAGTTTACCTAGAAATTGTGCTTTGTTCACAAAGCAAGTCTCCACCTGCACTCTGGGCCCACAGAATTTGGCCACTCTGTAGGCTCTGAAGGCCTGGTTAGCTGTATTAATAAACCATGGCTTGTTAACTGCAAACAACCCATGGAAAGAAGTTGTTGGGTTGCAAACCGTGGGTTGCTATCTTGGCTAGGGTCAGACAAGACAATAACCCACATTTCACCAGCAGCCTATGATTCAATAACAACAACTCCTACTTAACCTTAGTGGGTTCTTGTGATGTCTGAACTGCATCATTGTATATTACTTCACTAACTTAAAAATATGGTACTCTTGCACCACAGCAGTTGGGAGCTCTCCTGCTGTTCTGCTCTAAGAAGCCCTGAAGGTCTCACTGATGGCACCACTGTGAAGCATCTTAAAGAAATTTGGGGACCTCTACTTTTATGGGCTAGAGGCTGTTCCATCAAATATATCAAACATCGTCCTAAACAGATAGGCATACACCAGCCTCCCCAGTGTGACATTTATTTATTTTATTTATTTATTAAAATATTTTTATGCCGCCCCATTCGCCGAAGCCTCGGGGCGGCTTACAACATTTAATTAAAATAATTATAATCATTGAATTAAAAAATATAAACATTAGATTAAAATACGAAAATACAATATAAAATAAGCCGCCCTGGCCAGATAAAATCCAATAATATTAACTGTTAAAATGCCGCTTAAATAAAAAGGTCACCCCAACATGTTGGGCTACAACTTCCATTTCACACAGTCAGCATGCTGGTTGGGGATGATGAATATTGTAGTCTAACATATTCAGAAGGCACCAGGTTGAGGAAGCTGGTCTATCCAAAGGGCAGGTGGGGTGTTAGAGACACTGGGTTCATACAGCACAATTACCCACATACAAGGACTGGGTAGCTTGGGTGTGAGTTGTTGCTGAAATGTTGCTTATCATGCTGTCCAGGCCCAAAGAGACTTGTAAACCGGAAAGCTTGACATCAGGCAGTGCAGCTCCCTAAGAAACCCATGCGTGTACACCATAAAGTCAAGTAGGTAGCTCCTCTCAGTCTGCTGATAAATTGCAATGTGAAAAAATAATACTGTTGTTATTATTATTATTATTATTATTATTATTATTATTATTATTATTATAACATTTCTATGTTATAATTATGACTACTTGATTTTGTTAGGGTAACAGAGCAGTCGGTTGATGTTTTCATCAACAGAGGCCCATGGCAGAGGATGGCTTGCTGATAGCTAGAAATCTCTCCCTGGCGAATAATTTGGATGGGAGAACCCCTGGAGCTTGAGAAAGGTCCTTCATCAAGGGAGAGGGAACAGGTGTGTGTTGGCTGAAGGCAAGGTACTTGCTATGCTCTGGGGACGTGATGTGGGTCCCGCATCTGCTGCCTTGTTGGAAGAGCACTTGTTTACTTTCACTGATGCTCGGCTTGTAAATAAAGCACATATTACAAAGGCACTCTAAGATTCTAGTGTTTTGACACCCAAGAGAAGCTACACTCTGCCCTCCACTTGGACAATGGGATGCACCTAAGACTGCAGGCCTTTTTCTGGGTAATATGTGAACTTTGTACACAGCAAATGTGCCTAGGAAAAACACGTACACACTTAAATATACATGGTGTTGTATATATGAAGGAAATCTGAGGTGATAAAAGGATTGTATAAAGCTTTGTATGAGAGAGATTCAGGGCAAGGGACAGTGGGGAAGGTAAAATTATGAATTATGTTTGCATTATTTTGACGAGGAAGTCTTATACCAGCAATGAACTGTATCATTTTGATGAATCATACCAAGCCACCTTTTTACAGTGGTTATAGAACTAAACTGGGACTCAGGAGACCTGAGTTTTAGTCCCTGCTCCACTAAGAAGTTAATGGGGTGTCTTTGGGCCAGTCCGTAATTCTCAGCCTAACCTACCTCACAGGACTGTTGTGAGGATAATGTAAGATGCTGTGGGTATAACATAAATTGAATAAATTAATTATTTCAATTCATCAATCTTCGCAAGATCCTCTTACCAGGTTAGTTGACAAAGCTAGAACTGCGGTATGTTTTCAGATTTAGAAGTGTATAGTGCTATCTAGTGGAGAGAAATGATGGTTTGGCTTTTTCATAAATGCAGTGCCTGTCTGGTCGCTGTGCATTTTAATTTCTAGTAGCCACTGCATATAGAAACATAGAGAGTCAGAAGAGGTCTCCTGGGCCATCTAGTCTGACCCCCAGCTGCTCCATGAACAAATATGGATGGGCCAATCCTGGATCTAGTTGGCAGTTTAATTCTGTAGAAGTATACCCAGTTCTGAGTTTTACAGACCATCCTGCAGATGAAGCGGCGTGACTGCAAAGAGCATCCCTAAAGGACAAATCAATAATAATTCCCTCCCCTCCTCTTCTTAGTTAGCTTGTATTTCTTAAGTCAAAATCTGTGCAAAAGAAAGAAAAAAAAAAGGCCTATGACTTCCAGCATGCCTCACTCATACCCAAACCCTTAGTGTGGATTATTGTATTGTCTGAACCCGGTTATTGTCTATACTTTTTGCATTTAATTTCTCTCCCCTCCACCATTTACAGCAAGAGTAAGAGTGCAGAAGAGCTGTGCTGGATCAGAGGAAAGGCCTGCCCAGTCCTGCATCGTGTTCCCACGGTGGCCGACTGGATGCCTTTTGGGAAGCCCAGGCGTGGAAAGCTTGTAGCCAAGGGGTCTCATAGCAAAGTGGCACCGCACCAGGTTCAGGACTTCCTATCTAAAGCATTATTATTGTATTACATTCATAGCCTGCCTTTTTCCCTCTTGCAAGGAAATCAGTGCAGCTTATAGGGTTCTCTTCCTCTCACTTTTATCCTCTCAAGAACCCTGTAAGGCACATGCAGGGCTTAGGCGCCCCTAATATGCAAAGTGGAATTATGTATGTAAAGTATGAAATGAATGCGCCAGTTGAAAAAGCAAGGCGTTCCAGTCCGTGTAAGCCCAGTATATGTTTCGTGTTTGAAATAAAGCAAAAAGCCACTTCAGAACATGGGAACGTCTGTTTAGCATATCCGACCTGCTCTTTCGTGCAATTGTATCTACTCTCCCCGTTTGAAATGTTCTGCTTGTCCAGCCCGCAGCTGTCAGGATGCGTTGAACTACAACTCCCGTCAGCCCTGGAGAATCGCCATGCGGCAGGGAATGATGGGTGTGGTGTTCGAACACATCGCGCGAGAACCGAGGGACGGTACAGCTTTTCCTGGAGGCAAGTCCCATTGAACCTAACAGGGCGGGGGAGGGGTCCGTCTGAATAAACATGGATAAGATAGGACGGCCCTGTTAGGATCGTGGCCAATTCCTCCGTCGCCTTCCTTGTAGAAGTGGCCCTGGAGATGAAAGGGTTAATGCCGTGCCCCGCCTCCAAGGGGCGGGGCTATCAGAGGACGGACCCGGGGGACTCTGGGGCGTCGCAGCCGCTTTCCGTGGGGTTAGTTGGGCCTCTCGGCCGCTTGGGGGTTTGGCGCGGGTTGGGAGCATCACGTGGTGGAGGCCGGAGCGGTGCATGGGCAAGGTCACAGTGCGCCAGGTGCGGCGCCCTCTGTTGGACTGCAACCCCCATCAGCCCCAGCCCCGGTGATCGGTGGCCATGGATGAGGGGAGCTGTAGTTCAGCAACAGCTGGAGGTGGCAGGTTCTCCGTTCCTCGAGTCTTTTAGGTCATTTGGACTGCGGGTCCAGCTCCCCGAGCCAGCCATGATGGCTGGGAGGGGGCTGTAGGCTGGAGAACACCCGACTGGGCCTCACACACTTTGAGCACCGTCGGGAGGTTATGGGCTGGATCTCCTTACCTTTATATTCAGCCTTTTCTTACGATTGGAAAGAATCCTCTAATCCACATCTGTGCTTTGTGAACACAGAATTAGGGCGGGCGAGAGTATTTCAGATTGCTTTAACTAGAAGAAGGTAGATGGGGATGTGAGTCTGTTTGTGTTTTCGTGATCTTGTTTCAATTGGTTCTGTTTTTTTGTTGTAACAGTTTAATTTTTGAATTGTCCTGGAGAGGTCTTGATGGGAGTTGTTGCCAAAACAACTGGATGGCTACAAGTTGCCCACCCCTGCTTATGAGCCTTGTGAGATTATTTAAGACACTTTCCTATGCACCTTTAGGCAGAAAAAATGCCTACAGCTCCCAGCATGCCTCAGGGAGCTATTGCACCCTTAATCGCCCATTTTGCAGCAACAATTCTGAAACATTCTAGTATGATATGTTGATGGATGTTGTGTTTTCATGTTTTGCAAATGGGATCAATGTTCTCTCACCCCTCAAGTGCGAAATGACAATTTTGAAAATTATTCAGGTTTGTAAACTGGATTGTGGTGCTGGAGAAGACTCCTGCGAGTCCCTTACATTACAAGATCAAACCAGTCAGTCTTAGAGTAGATGAACCCTGACTGCTCTTTAGAAGGCCAGATCCTGAAGATGAAACTCAAATACTTTGGCCACCTAATGAGAAGGGAGGACTCCCTGGAGAAGAGCCTAATGCTGGGAACAATAGATGGCAAAAGAAGAAGGGGACGGCAGAGGATGAGGTGGTTAGATGGAGTCACTGAAGCAGTTGGTGTGAGCTTGAGTGGACTCCGGGGGATGGTGGAGGACAGGAAGGCCTGGAGGAGTGTTGTCCATGGGGCTGCGATCGGTCGGACGCGACTTTGTGACTAGCAACAACAACAACCAACTGACCACATCTCTCCTTTTTCTTTCATATTTTCTTTCGAAGGCAGTGTTGAAGTGGCATTGCCCCGTTCCATCCGAGCTATGTCTGTTGGCTGTGCTCTCGCCCGAGCACACTTCCTCTTTCGCCAGCACCTCCTGACCCTCCTGGACCACCCGCATTGCACCATCCACGCTTCCTGCGCTGCATTTGCTGGGCACAACAAATGGTCCAAGGTAAAACATGTGAAGGGTCCTAAAGATGCTACCCGGGCCATTCTTTTCCAAAAGCTCACCATGCTGCTCCGACTGGCTGTGAAAGGTACGGCCGCAACCTTTCTCTTATTATTTTTAAAATTTCTATATCACCCACTAGCCAAAGAACATGTAAAAATATAATGCATGTAAAATGCAGCATTAGCAACATGATAAAAAGTTTACTATACAAGAATTTAGAACCAAATTTGAAACACACATAAAAATTACACTAGATGAAACTCAAGTGCTTTGGCCACTTAATGAGAAGGAAGGACTCCCTGGAGAAGAGCCTAATGCTGGGAACAATTGATGGCAAAAGAAGAAGGGGACGGCAGAGGATGAGGTGGTTAGATGGAGTCACTGAACCAGTTGGTGTGAGCTTGAGTGGACTCCGGGGGATGGTGGAGGACAGGAAGGCCTGGAGGAATGTTGTCCATGGGGTCACAATGGGTCGGACATGACTTCGCAACTAACAACAACAAAACAAAGTAAACCTTAAGACCTTAATCCTTAAGCAGCTAACAAGCCCCAGTAAAGTAATTACATGCCCTGCAGCAGAGGGCTGTGTTAACATGGTGCCAAAAAGATAGTAAGGTTGGTGCCGGGCAGGCCCCAGTGGGGAGCTCATTCCATAACAGAGGGCCACCACTAGAAGGCATCTACCAAGCCTTCCTTGGAGATGGCAATCAGAGGCATGCCCCAAATGTTGACTTCCCTGCCTGGGAAGATGGTGATCAGGACAGGTGTTCCATCAAGTATCATGGTCCCAAGCTGTATAGGTTAAAACTAGCATCTTGACTTGGGCTCTGAAGTATGTAGGCATCCAATGCAAGCAGACCATAATTGGAGAGGAGACCTGAGGCTTCTCCCATCTGTTCTTACCATGTTGCTGTAAACCACTCCCAAGCTGTAGCAAGCCCATCTCCAGGTCTGCTGGAGGGAAGGAGGGAGGGCAGAGCCATGACTGTTCTACCTCTGGCTTTAGTAGATGAGCTCAGGACTGAAATACCTGCTAGACGTTCCCTGGTTTGCAGTGTGATCGACATCCAGCAGTCTCCTCTGGGGGCCTCCTCCAAGTGAGGTTCACATGACAGCAACAAGGGAAGGACCTTCTCAGTGCCCCCCCCCCCACCATGTGGAATGGATTCCTCAGCAAAGGGCCATCTGTTAGCTTTGCAGTGCTAGGTCAAGTCTCTACTCCTGGTCACTTGACAGCATATGACAGGGTTCTTTCATTGTCACGTGGTAGTTCTACTGCTAATTTCTTGTGCTTTTAAAATTCTCAAATGTTTATTTATTACATCTATGAGCTTCTCCCTTAGCCCTTCAGGGCTGCCTGGGCGGTATACAATCCAGAAAACATACAGGGCCATACAATGTAAGTGTAACCGGCACTGTGGACCTTCCCCCCCTTAAATACTATGCAAACACTGCATTTTTCCCCTTTTTGCTTCTTATTTTATGATGTGGTCTGGGGTTTTTTGGTATTACACAATCAAAATAAAAATAAAATAGAATTCTGCTCAGCCACTCATATGCACAGACAGTCACTTGAAGAACAGTAGCCATAGGTAAGTCCAACCTTACCTATTCTGGATGTGAACAACAATGCATTACTGTATGCAGGGACAAATGGGATCATCACATCCCAAAATACAGCTGCAGCATCACCACTGGACTATTGGTGGAATTGCCCCGTGGTTTCACGGTGCCCTGGATGAACCTGGATAAATAATTTCCTCAGGGCACATACTTATAAGGATATTGCATAAAGTCTGCCTTTGGGGTCTTTAATACACAATACTATAATAATAATAATATATCATTATATAACTAATATAAATTAATAAATGTTAAAATGTTTCTTATTTAATCATGCTGTGAACTTTGATTTTCAGGTAATATAGCAATGTAATTATTGACTGAACAAATTTAAATTGAAGTAAAGCACTGCTCCCTCTCATTTTAAATGGCCAGGGTGAAGGAGAAGGCCTGCTCTAGCTTCCTTCACCCTAATCCTAACCCTTCACCGGATTGTGGAGGGGGGAGGGGAGGGGAGGGGAAGACATGGCTCAGCACATCAGGAGAGATTGGCTGGAAGAAGCCAAAGATGTGTTATTCCTGTACTATAGACCAGTTTGCATTAACAATTTGCCATTTCTTCTTGTAGAAGGAGGCCCTGACCCTCACCTGAACTCTAATTTAGCCAACGTTATTGAGCAGTGTCGGAGCAGGAATATGCCCAGGTCTTCCATTGAAGCAGCGATCAATCGTAAGGTAGGTGTTTCTGAGATTTTGGGGGCACGGGGAGTACCGAGGCGAGAAAATGCCAGTGATTGGAAAGGGATGGCTTATTTTTCTTTTATTTATTCATCACATTTCTATACCACCCATAGCTAAAGCTCTCTGGGCAGATTATAAAAGGCATCAAAGCAAAAAAATACAATAGATAAAAACAACTCAAGTTAATTTAAAATAGCATGATAACTCTGGGAGACAAGACATGTGTGGGAGATTCAGGAGGTGTTGCTTGCTTTACGTTGTGGCCTCAAGCCAACCGTAACTTAAACCAATTGTGGCCAGCCTGTGAAGGACGCAGGGCTGGGCCGTTTCTGTGGCAGAATTCTGAATTTCTCCTGAGGTCTGCTTGGCTCCACTCCTGCTGTGTGTGAACAGGCCATACAAACTGAACCAATGGATTATTTCTGCTTTTATCCTGCTACAATTGTATTTATGGTATTGCTTCAAATTTATATCACTTTGGGGTGCTTCAGGATCAAAAGGCAGTTTTAAATAGTATAAGTAAATAAATAAATGACATATGTACCCCTTTTCAGTTGAATTGTATCAAAGTTGTAGTTGTTTATAGCATATCATGTTCTTTGTTTGCCTAAGTATGTGCTTTACAATTATTCTTTTTCCTCCTCTCCTCTCCTCTCCTCTCCTCTCCTCTCCTCTCCTCTCCTCTCCTCTTTTGGCAGGACAAAGCCAAATCCTTCTACCATCTCTATGAAGCACGAGGCCCTGGAGGCTCCTCCCTACTTATTGAAATATTGACGGACAACAAAAACAGAACCTTGCAAGAAATCCAACATCTTCTGAAGAAACATGGGTTAGTTTGAGATGAAGAGGGCCAAGTGGTTTCCCTGGGGTGGTGTGTAGTGATTGACAGAATATTCCTGGGTTAGAGGAGAGGAGCTCGACCAAGCTTCCCAACTTGGAGCCCCCAGATATGCTGGCCTGTGACTGCTCGAATTCCCAGGAAGCATTGGTCCTACTGCCTGAGCATTATGAGAGCTGAAGACAGCACCTCTGGGGAGGAGGGCATCAGGCTGGTGAAATCCAGTCTGAATGGTCTGCTTTCTTGTTGTAGGAGTAACTGTGGGGGTTTTTGGCTTCCCTTTGGATCACGTGGGTTAGAAGCCCTATCAGTCATTTACTTAATTTTCCTGTTTGGTTCCCCGCAGAGGCCTCCTTGCCAATGGAGCTCGGCACAATTTTGAGAAGAAGGGGGTTGTTGCAGTGAGTGGGGAGGACAAGACTGGAAACCTTGTCGTCATGGACGAGGCCATCAGGCTGGCTATTGAAGCGGGAGCTGAAGATGTCCAGGAAGAAGAAGATGAGGATGAGAAGGCGATGCTGAAGGTGAGTTGCAGAGTTCTGTACTGGAGAGGGCCAGGGGTCTTTTCATGCATCCATCCATGTTGGTTGCCAGAGTGGGTCTGTCCAGCAGCCCCAACCTTAAAATAGGAGCTTTGCACCTCGGGTTTACTCTGTCCACACAGCGTTCCCCAACTAGCTACACCCTTCCCCTGCCCCATCACCTTTCCTCTAAATGCTGACCAATTAGTTTCCATGCTTTTGTTCAGTATTTTCTTGCTCTAGAAAGCCTAAATGTATCTCCTAAGGCTTAGTTCCTGGTAGTCAAAGAGCTAAGCTAAAATAGCCTAGTATTTTGGTGTGCTCTCTTTGCTTCTGCTTCATTTTTGTCTTTGGCTGTGCCACAACCGGAGCGTGGCCCCCAAGGGCTTCTTTCTGCAATTTGACCCTTGGAATGAAAGAGGTTCAGCATCTCTGCCTGAAAATATCGATCCCCTTTCTAAGACTGTAGGAGGTTTTCTTCCTAAGTCACTCCCTTTTAACCTACCTGGGCTCAAATGGATACATTTTGCCAGGTTGCTGCCAAAAAGCAGAACTGATTCCATTTCTGTACTGCCAAGCAAGGGAACCTCTCTTTCTTGTAAAGCAAGTGTATTTTGTTGCTCTAGCCGTAATGGAGGGAAGGAGGTTAATGGAGGGAAGGAGGTACACCAGGCACAGGTGCCCCTTCAGCTTCTGTGATTTCTTTTGGCATACAACCACTGAATTCATCCATATGTAATTTGCACAGTACAGCACTTGGTACTTCATGGGCAGATGGCACCTGTGAAATCTTGGAGGGCTGCTTCTGGCTTAGATTCTGTACCCATACTCTTAACTGGCTAGATCAGCCTTCTCAAACCAGTTTCTCACCTGTCCATGCTGGGGCTGATGAGGGTTGTTGTCCAACACAACTAGAAGGCACTGGGTTGGGAGGGCAATACCAGATCATTCTTCTCTCCCACAGAACACCCACAGCTTTTTGGCAGGTGTCCCAGAATTCTTCACATTTCCACCAACATGTGATCCCCCCTGCCTCAGAGTGTCCAGTTCATTCTCCCAGGTTTCCCCAACACTGGGAACCATATTTATTTATTATTTATTTAGTAAGCTTCTATGCCACCCCATTCACCGAAGCCTCAGGGCGGCTCAAACAATAAATAAATACATATTAAACATATAAAAACAATATAATTGGAGACGTCCTGGCCGAAGATATAAAATCAATAAATAAAGCTAACAATTAAAATGACATTTAAATAAAAAGGACTTGGCCTGGGGCCGAAAAACAAATAATGACGGTGCTAGGCGGACCTCTCCTGGGAGCGCATTCCATAGATTGAGTGCCACCACAGAGAAAGCCCTCCTCCGGGTACTTACCCTCCTAATAGCCTTCACGGAGGGTTCCCGGAGAAGGGCCTCTACCGCTGATCTCAAGGAGCGGGAGGGCACGTATGGATGTAAGCGTTCCTTTAGGTAGCCATGACGCAAGCCGTTATATATTCGAGGCTTTGGCGAATGGGGCGGCATAAAAATGTCTTAATAAATAAATAAATATTCATATTTTCAAGCTGAGTGTATGAAGGATTAACAGCTGAATTTTCTTCCCTTCTCTTCTTGCTCAGTTTATTTGTGCCGTGCCCACTTTGCATGAGGTCCGTGAAAAACTGGAGTCTGTAGGCCTTTGTTGCCAATCCGCTGGCCTCGAGTTCATCCCTACCATCAGCGCTCAGCTATCAGATCAGGAGATGGAGCAGGCAGCGAAGCTGTTGAAAGCACTACAGGAATGTGTGGATGTTGTTCGAGTGTCTGACAATATTGCCTAGGCAAATCGGCCTACCTCTGGAGGACATTGCACTCCTTGAATGGGTGCTGCCAAAGACGTGCCAGCTGAGTTCCGATACGCTTTTTGCTTGACCTTGCAAGGATGTGGAAGCTGGGGTGCCCTTTCTAACAGCAGAGGTTGGCCACTGTGGCTAAAGGTCACCAATGTTTCCACTTGAGCATTGTGAGAACGGTACCCATGCCGTACCACCTTATCAATGAACCAGTGTTGTTGCAGAAATAACACTTAATTGAGGATATTCCTGAGCCAATAGAGATATCAGTTATTAAATGTTTCATTATCCCATATATTTGACTTGATAACAAAATTGGCCAGTAGAGTATCGGCCTGTAGATGTAACTTTAGTAAAAGCAGAGCATTCAACTTTTCTGCTTCCCCCAGGGGTTGCCATTCTCCATAGAATCCACAGGATATTTCCAGTAAGCCATAAAAGACTGAAATTGGTGAAATAGACTTATGCCTGTATGTGCTTTGGTTCATGCTGAAAGTGTTTCTTAGTAGAAGCCATGATAGCCGTCCTGGTCTGAAACTGGTTTGTGGTTTGTATAGATGGGCTTCAGACTGACTGGATTTACATTACTTTTTTACTAGAATCCTGATATCGGCTAATGTGAAAACAGTACACTTGGAGCTAAAGCATTGTGAGCTCAGTGTTTTGAGAATCGGAACAGAATGGAGTTCATAGTCCTGTATAAAAATCCACTCCTTATTTCTCCCCTTCCACCATCTACTTTTCAGCTTGCATAATGGGAGAATGATTATCTTGCCGTTGTTAAAAGAAGTGGGGAGTGGAAACTTTTGCTAAATCTACTGAGAATCTTATGAAGATCTATCAGTAGATCTAGATCTACCTTCTTCCCCCTCTCAGGTAGACGCACTGCAAGATACTCTTATTACTTGCTCCTTAAAAAAGTAAGCCATTTCAACCAACTGGGAGATTGGGGGTGTGGAAAGAACCTCCACAAAAGGATTTTCTCAACAGAGCAGTGCAAGGAGTTGCTTATGCATTATTTACCTGTTTGTTCATGCCTCCTTCCACCTCCCACACAAGTCTCCTGCAATCTGGACAAATTTCAAAGCCTTTATTACAAATCAGTTTCAGTAACAAGCCTTATGCACAATCCCTTTTAACATATCCAAGAAAATGAAGGACAAGGGAGAACGGATGGTGACAGAGACCAGGCACCTCCAAGTCTGTGTGAATCGGTTGCTCGCGTCCTCCAAGAGTTGCACACATCTGTATGATTCCTCTCGTATTGTGGCCTAGATCTGCTCCTGCTTGGCCTCAGAACAGCAGAAATCACCAGCTTATCCAACAGCTTCCCTAAGTGTGGACATGGGCATGCCCAGTAATGTTGGCCAATGCATCGCTAGTGTTTCATACATCTAGGGTGAAATCCAAAGCCCTCTGATTCAGAGGCACTTCGGCCTCTGAACTAGAGGCTCACATGCACCCAGTGCACAGAAGATGGAGGTACAGTGGTCTTTACCTCCACTGCACTTTGTACCATATATTTTGTCTCAACAGCCAGTTTTGGCCATCTAGATGAAGCACTGGGGAGCAGAAAGGCAGGGAGGCAAAGATGCCATTAGAGATCGGTATAAACTCAGCTCCAGCTGCCTCCTCTCCCCACCTCCTGGCACAATCCCTTTCTTGCTCCCTGAGATCTGTTTGCATCCTTCAAGAGGCAGCCAGTGCAGTCACAGGACCCTTGAGTGCTGACGAATCCTACGGCCCCATAGCCAATATTAGGCGGCCAAAGACTGCACACTTATCCTCTGAGTATGTTGACTGCTTAAAAATTCATAGTTTTATTACAAGAAAAAGTTATTCACATTTGCAGAGATGTTATTGTGCACGTGTCTTCATGTGATCAGATACATTTAGCATTGACTTTGAGAATGTAATGAAATATCTGTCCAAATGTACAGATAGCCATATCCTATAGGCCACATTAAACACAGAATTTTTATTATGCAATGAGAAAAAACTTCCACAGAATTTAAAATGACAGATACCCATTTGTCAAATACAAATTTCAAGTAGGAATACCATTTTCAAGTACTCTTAAAAAAGGAGTCTTTGCAAAAGTAAAAATATAGCCTCTTCGTCCTAAACTGAAATTATCACGCAAAGACAATTTGAGAAATGATCTAAAACAGCTTCCTCCAACTTGGTGTCCTTCAGTTGGGATGGGCCACAACATGGCTGGCTGGGGGAACCTACGAATTGTCCAGCTCATCTGGACGGCACCAGGCTGGGGAAGACTAACCTAATGTTAGCCTTTCAAACCAGGTAAGTGACAAGCAATTTACAACATCAATGCAATTTTAATAACACGAAACTTCAGGTGGCCATACACATGTAGCCATGCCAGCTTGTGACCGGCAATACTCAATCGGTGTCACTTTCTGGGCTCTGGGGAATGGGGGACCCCCCTGAGGCACCACATGGCAGGAAAAGTTCTGCATATCCATTGCCACTAGGTGGGGAAGGGGTTGTGGTGGGGAAGTCCAGGCCCACAGGTCCGGCCAAGCCTTGGTTCTGGAAAGCCTCGTAGTCTGTTCCAGGGTTTCCTGAGGGCAACCCCTCAGGAGGGGGCCCATCTGCCGGACGGCACACCTCGAAGCGGAACCAGCGATACCCAGCACACTTGCGCGCACCGGAGCAGCTCTGGATGAGGTGCTGGATTGCTGGGTGTGAAAGCCCAAAAAATTCAGCCCCCGCAGGCTCCAGCTGTGCTCCCCCAACTGCCTCCAGGAGCTGAGTGTGGCAGGCATCGGGAGTGGAGCCCGCCATGACACAGCCTGGCTCGTCTTCAGGGGCAATCTCAAAGAGTGGCCCAGCACCACCATCCTTGATCTGGCAGGTGTAGAGACAGCGGTGAACCGGTCTGCGAATGCTGGCAAAGATCCGGGTGCTGCAGTATCCAACTGGATAGATGGCAGTCTCTGTGTGGAAACCGGGACGGTCAGGGACAATTTCGCCCAGACTGTAAACAGTCAGTGGCCCCAGTGTGATAGGAAACACTGGCCGGCCAGAAGGATCCAAGGGCAGAGGTGGAACTAAGCGGCGGGCACCCAGTTCTGGGGCTGCCCTGCGCTTCGATGCCCGGCCATTCTCTTTGCCTTTGCGTTCCCGGCGCGGCTTGCGGACAGTGGGCTCATCTGGGGAGGGCAGTGACACGGCAGCCACGGTTTGTGCCGGAGGCTCATCTTCCACCAAGGCCTGTGCCTGCAGCAGGCGAGCAAGCAGGAACCGCCGCTCTTCACGCACACGCAGGTATTTGGCCTCGAGCCTGGCGATCTCATCACATAACGCCGCATTCTCATAAACCAGCACTTTAGCTGCCCGGCACAGACGCCGAAACTTCAAGCGGTAACGTTCACCCTGGTGCTTTCGTGGTGTTTTCTTCATTGCAAAGATGGGAGCAGAGGTGGCAGAAGCAGAAGAAAGCTGGGGAGGAGAAAAAGTCCAAAAGGCAGTTCCAGTATTTATATTTATTCATATAGAAAGCTATCTCAACCATTTCAAAATGCAAACATTCGATACATTACCAACTCAAGCACACACAATCAGTAACACACATTGATATACTGTCTTCCCCAGTGTTTATTCTTAGTATTGTTTTCTTTTCCTAACACCAGACACTAAAATGTATGTTGTAAGCCGCCCCGAGGCCTTGGCAAGGGGCGGCATAGAAATATTTTAATAAATAAAAAAATAAAAAATAAAAAAATGTTCACACCCTCACGATTTCCAGAAAGAAGACTCAAGGATGTAGTCATTTTCTCCAGAGGGGTCCTAATTTGCACATGAGCTGGATAAAGTGAAAAAGTCACCAAAATAGTGAAAGGGTGGGAGAAATGTCCCTGTTTATTATTGATTGGTTGATTTGACTGTATTCCTATATCACTGTTCTGGAGACAGTTTATAAGAAATCCTAAAGAAAAGGGACCTTTTTAGCATGGGGGAAAAAGTATGATAATGAAAGGTCATAAGGAGAATAGTTATTTCTTCTTTCACAAAGCTGTCATCCAGTGGTGAGAAATTCAGGATAAAGATTTCCTCACACAATACGTAGTTAACCCTATGAAACCCACTACCACAGGATGTACTGTGCAAACCACTTAGTTCTAAAAGGGGACAGATGATGTATGGCTGTTAGCTAAACTTCTCCAGCTGGTGCCCTCCAAATGTTTCGGATCAGGGTTCTGGAAACTGTTGTCCAAAACATGGGGAAGGCACCGGGGCCTTAGATGGTTTTCAGAGTGCTACTAAATGGAAGATACAGATGTATGACTGGTCTTTCGTCACAGAGGGTAAAAAAGAGGGAGGAGATCCGTGGCGACCAGCCTTGCTGCCTATGCGCTATCTCCTTTTCCAGTTGCTGAGGAGCAGGACAGGAGGAGGCCTTGCACTCAACCTGCTTGAGCGACCCTGAGGGCAGCTAGTTTGCCATCATGTGCACCGAGCGCCAGGCAAGACGGACCTTGGGTCTAATCCAGCAAGGCTTATTCTTATATTCTGAACTGCTGCCCTCCCCCATTCAGAAGCAGTATATCAGGGTCTGGAAAGCGTTCGGGCTGCAAGAAGGCTATCGCGTTCATGTCGTGGGCTTCCCAAAAGCACCTGTCTGGCCACCGTGGGGAAGAAGATGGACCCTGGCCAAGGGGAGCGCCCAGTCTGACCCAAAGAAACTCCTCCTGTGTCCTAGCCAAGCGCCGCCCACTCCCGCCTGGGCCCCATTCACGCAGGAAGATTTAGAGCAAGCCAAACGCAACGATCTGCAAACAATCCCATCTCCTTCCCGCTCCCCATTCACAGCGCCTGCCCAAGAGACACCTTCTTACCTCCTTTCCCTTTCCCAGAAGCCCCGGCAGGAACCGGAAGGAGCTGACTATCCCAGGTCCCACCGGCGCGTCCTGCCCCCTTAACGCTTTCCTACCCGGACAAAAATGACGCCAGGGGTTCAGAAATAAGGCGGGTGGGGGCAGGCGGGGCGGAGGAGTCGCCGGCAGGGCTTCTGTGCCCTTCACGGATGCAGGGCAGGAATTCAGAAAATGAAGCTTTTCTCCCGCCGCTCGCTTGTCCGTCGAGGCTAGAGAGGAGGCACCTGGCTGCGTAGATGTTAGCCGAGCAGTGCACAAGGACACGGTCAGAAGAAAAGTGGTGGCCCTTGGGGGGAAAAAACCGCAACCTAAAATTCGTGGTTGGGGGCTCTTTTCATTCGGACCTATCAAAATCCCCTCAAAATGTGGAAGCCCTCGAGCTCTCCAGCACTATTTATTTATTTATGCACATATTTATATGCTACCCATAACTGCCCAAAGGCTTTCCTAACGGCTTACAACCACTTCCTTTTATCAGGCTACGTGTGCAGAAACAATCAGAGTGGGTGCTTGAAGATCAAATGTATGGTGGGAAGCAAAGTGGAGTCCCCTGAACATATAGGTTGAATGGAACTGACAGAAGTGAACTGCAGATCTGCAAGGCTAATATCTTTGGTATTAAAATGCCTGACTTTATTTCTCAGTATTGGTGCAATATCATTAAATTCTTTAACAGCAAGGAGAGGTTGATAATATTTATAGTTATAGGTTGCTTTAAAGGCAAATGTCCTCACAAAGCAGCTTCCATGAAATATGTGACATATAGCATAAAGCAGCATTAATGCATAATACCAGACCACTCTTAAAACAGTGCTGTCTTATAACCATAAAAAGATAGTAGCAAAGAAAGTAATATGAGATTAGTATAGTACAACAGGGGTGGGTGCTTTTTTTTAGTAACTTCTAAAATGTGGGTACTGGTGAAACTTTCATCTACTGGAAGACTTCCAGTTTACCTTCCCTCATTTTTTTCTTTGCACTTGGAAAGCCTTTCAAACTTTTGGCTACAATAATTGGAACCAGAAACTTGCACTTTCAAACAAACACACTCCAGCAGAAGTCCACTGACAAGAGCGCCCCTGGGTTGCCTTTTTCTCCATCGCAACCTGTTTGTGAACCTGCCTCTCACTCTGGTCCAGATAAGAGTGTTGATGAGAAGGAGGAAAGGTAGATTTCACTGCTTAGTTGCTCACTGGTTCTAACCTGCCAAGCAAGCACCAGAGACAATTAGAGAGAGGACAAAGAGCAATATCACCTGTTGACAATGGTGATGAGAAGGCAGACGTATTGAGGCAGAGCTCTCATTGAAAATCTCTTGACCAAGGCCCATCAAAGACCTGCAGCTGGCAGTGCACGCAGCCCTCCTGGTCACCCTCCAACACTCTTTGTACAGGCAGCCAAAAGGGACACACCAGGGCAATAATTAATTTGATTTATACTCTGCCTTTTCACACACACACAAATGCTGCTCAAGGTGGCTAGCAATAAGAAAACCAAGATTAAAATAAATGTAGTTAACACAATCAAACACACAAATACATTAAAACTAATTTAAGATACTATGAAAAAGAAATAAAAATAGTACCCTATCCAATTGTTTCAGCCACAAGCCAACTTACACACCGAAGGCCTGCCTGAATAAAGAAATCTTTGCATTCGCAGGATGCCACTGGGTGGTGCAAACAGTGCATGCCACTTCTTTCGTGCAAATATTTTGTTCCTGAGGTTAAGCAGGCTAGTATGGAATATTAGAGTTGGACACACATGCAATATTCCAGCACAGTGTTCCCCATCTCCACTTCCTCCAATTGTGTTGGATTCCAACCCCTAGCCAGCAATGCTGCCAAGGGGATGCTTGGAGTTGTAGTCCAACGCATCTGAAGGGTACCAGTTTGGAAGAAGCTGTACTAGAACTCAAGGCCTTGCGTAATATCACACTTTCATGAATGAGTTGTTGACAGAGCTAGGAATAAAAGGCTGTCTAAATCCTCTCCCGGTCTTGATGCCAAGTGTGTTCCTATTATATCCTATGTATTTAGTATCCCTGATGTTGTTTGATATTTGACATCCAGCAGTATTTGAGATTCAGTTGGTACTTAACACTTGTCTTTCAGTATTTTCATTGTTTGGATGCTAAATAACTGCATTTTGGGAGTGGAGGATTCAGGGAAGGTGCTGCTGATGTCTTTTGCATAGCTGGGACTAACTTCCATCAGTAGGGGTTGCAAAAGAGGTCTTCAGCTATTGGAAAGTATAAAAATGAAATAAAGAATAACTGATTTCTTCCACCAGTATTTTGCTTAAATTCACACCAAGGATACATGTGTATTATTTTCTTAGGAGAAAGAGAAAGAAGGTATAGAATTCAAGGAGGTCTGTAAAAGCCACCAATTCTCACCTGACGACAGGGGCTATGCTGGGTATATAATAGATTTGGGGCTCAGGCCCAAAGGGGGAAAAATCAGAAGCATATATTACATATGCCATAAAGTCCTGTGTGTGTGTGTGTGTGTGTGTGTGTGTGTGTGTGTGTGTGTGAAGGACCATGTATCCAGAGGGTATCCCAATCTGTCAAACGGGATGTATGGCCGGGGGAAAGAAAGGATTAGGATTATGAGGCAAGATAGCGAAACAGTATTTCTATCCTCCAGAGGGAACCTAATCCAGAATGACAGCGTGTGGGTCTACAGGAGCATCATCCAAAGCCACTTAACGCGAGGCACGTGTGTATGTGCAAGAGTGCTAGCATGAACCCAGGAGCCCTACCCCCGCAACACGTCCCTTCCCCCTTGGGTTACTGTCAGGGGTTCGTGTGGATGGTCCGCGCCCACCGCTCTTGCCTCTGCTCCGGGGGTGGGGGGCGTGGGGCGGCTCTCGGGCAAGAGCTCCGATCTCCGCCGGCGACTCGCCTGCCTGGTGCGCACCGACGAGGGGGGAGAGGAGTGGAAAGGAGCAGCAAAGGCCAGGCGGGCAGGAGGCGGAGCTGGGCCTGGCGGTGTATTGTCTGCCGGGCTTAACCCCTGGCGTGCTGCGGACGGTGTGGGGGGATCGGCGCTGGGGGGCTATGGAGACGGTAAGGGGTGGGGAGGCTTGGTCCGAGCTAGGAAGGAGGGGAGAAAGTTAGGGCGCGAGGGGAGAGCTGGCTGGCTGGCTACGCTCCCAAGCCTTGTTCCAAGCTCAAGGGATCTGGGGGAGGACAGGCCGAGCGCCCCCGGGGGGCGGGAAGACGGGGGGTGAGGGATATCCCTGCAAGGCAGCTGGGAAGAAGGAAAAGAGGAGATATCCGGGCCCAGCGGCCGGGAGGGCGCGCCCTCGCGGGAGAAAGAGGAGACGGCTCGCCCCCGGCTGCGCGCCTGTGCGCCCTGGCGAGGTGGCGTTTGCGGAGGCGGCTGCGGTCTTGCGCTCGGAGAAGTAAACTGTCCCGGCATGTGCAGACAAGAGCTCGGAGAGAAAGGAGCGGGCTCAGGTTTCCTGAAAGGGATGACACGCGGCGCTGAAGTGTAAACAGGAATGGGGGCGTAGGGTCGTGCGTAATGATGGTGGTGGTGAGGTTTCGCCGAGCATGACCCTCCCTCGGGCCGGAAAGGCTGCTCCGTGTAGGCCCAGTGCGAGTCCGCCTGGGGCGCCTGTTCCCGGGGCATGCGCGTGGCATCGCAGAGGCAACATCCCCTTCCGTGTCTGGGTGACAAAATCTCTCCCAAGACATTGGGTGTTGTGCCTTCCTGCTAAGCTAGGCGAAATTGCCTGGGGGGGGGCACTGCAGTCCCCCCCCCCCCGCAGTTTCTAAGGTCCAAGGTAGCCCTCCTCACTTTGCTCAATGCTAGGACTGGCCCTACTTGTGTTTCTGGCAAAAAAACAAAGTAGATCTTGCAAATTGAATTCTGCCATCCAGAACTGGCAATCTACAATTATGCATACTTAGACACCAAAGCACCCAGCAATGGCTGACAGGGGAATTGTATGACTTTCTTCTCTGTGAAAGCATGCACAGGATTGTGCCCCTTAGGAGCTTGGTCCTTGGTCCTTAGGGAGCAGCTCCAGACTGCTTACTTGAGTAGGTACGTGATTTTCTAATTTGGGCTTCAGCTGCTTCTGTGAAATGTACAACCCAGGAGAGGATGGATCAGAGACTTAGAGGGGAAATGGAGCAGAAAGCAAAGCTGGAAGGGGAGGGCAAAGGAGGCAGGACAAAACTCCTTAACTGTCAACATATTTGGGGTTCAAGCACTTACTTCCAGTAACTAAACCTTAGGAGAGGCGTTTCAATCCTATAGAACAGTGGGATATGTTCAAGTGCTGGAAGATCACTGTGACTAGCAGTCAAGGGAAAGGGTAGTGTCCCTCTGAGGCAACCTTAGCACTTAGACTGGGACCTCAGGAGGGCTGGATTTGGCTCCCTGGCCTAAGGATTCCTACCCCAGTTTTAGATGTTCAAGCAATGCAGGCAATGGAGGAGAGGGCCATTTTGAAACTCTTATTATGTTACATTTATATTCTGCCTTTCTTCCTCTTGCAAGGTGGCTTCCAAAGTTCACCACCTCTTTGATTTATCCTCACAGCAACCTTGTGAGAGGCAGTGACTGGCCCAAAGTCTTCTGGTGAGCTTTGCACCCATGTTCTTGTCAGTGTGGGCCTTTCATTTGAACCGCAGGCATGGAAAATGCAAGTTTAGAGTCCTCTCTGAAAAGTTCCATATAATTTCTGGGCCATCTAACACTGCACGTTTTTGTTTGTTTCTTGGGAGCAAGTAACATGTTTGTGCCTTATCATCACTCTTCTATGAATGGCTTGTCATTTAGGTTTTAAGGTGCTGAATCTTACTTCTCCTGGATGGAGCAAGGGAAGAAGGTGCAACTGCAGGACCTGGGAGAGAGCCAAGAACCGACAGAGCTTAAACCAGGTGAGGAAGGATTTGTGGCTTATGAGGAAGAGGCAGTGTGGCATAGTGGTCTCTGTGTTGGGGAGAATTGTGTCTGCAGCCCCATTCAGGCATGAAGGTTGGTGGCTAAACCTGGGCCAGTCACTACCACTCAAGTCCGGGCTATCCCACACAGTTACTGTGCGGATGAAAAACGGGAGACTGCAGCCTTCTGCTCTTTAAGGAAAAGCCTTGCGCCTTCTTCTTCATTAAAGGAAAAAATAGGACATGTTCCAGGGCTATGTATGTGCCCTGGTCAGCTTTCTTGGTGTACTGGCTGTGTGTGTCAGAGAGAGAGACAGAGGGAGGTAATGAGAGGGAGGGAGGAAGAATTTATTCAGGAAACGCAATAGCAGAGTAAGTTAGAAGAAACCAGATTTAGACTAGACACCAGGAAGAATTTCTTCACTGTCAGAGTAGTATGACAATGGATTCTATTACCTGGAGAAGTTGTGGGCTTTCCCACACTGGAGACATTCAAGAAGTGTCTGGACATTCATCAGGCTTCACCTATGTTAATTATACCTTCCCAAACAACACTATAAAGTGGTTTCCAAATTTGAAGTTGCCATAAAGCAAAGGTTACCTGGTTGGAACTTCTGGCCTTTGTATTTGTCTGTCTCCTTAGTGGGGATCCCCAGTGTTTGAGCATAGACACATCTTAGTGTATGGTCTTTACTTAAAAAATTCTGTTTTCCAAGAAAAGTCAGATTATGTCTGAAGGTCACTGAAGAAGGAAATGAACATGCACTTGCTTGTTCTTCATTCCAAGCACGGCCTGTTCTTTGCCTAGTTTTAGAGAGGATCCAGGAGGTCAATGGCCCATCGTAGGCTTGCTTCTAACACCACATAGCCCTCTCTATACACGCGGATGAGTTGCGGCTAAGGAGTCATGGCTCGTGATGTCATTGCCTGGCACCGCTACTCCTTTCCGAGCAGGCACATGGCCCCTATGTGCGCTGTTACCCGATGCTCAGATGCTGGGGCGAAGCTGGCATGACCTGGCTCGTGTGCCGACAGAGAGGGCTCTGCATGCCCGCTGTGGCAAGTGTGCCATAGGTTCACCACCACTACCCTAACCCTACCCTAGTGCACACCTCTAACCCTAGTTTAGGGGTAGAATACTATTGAAAGGGGCGATTTTGAAAAAGCCATCCTTGAGTTGCTTTTCCTGCACTGCTCAGCATTTCTGCCCATTCTAAACACATTCCAACCATCAAAATCATGCCAGGACACCTCATTTTTCTAACCCTAACCCTACCCTGGTGCACACCCCTAACCCTAACATAGGGCTAAATTTCCATTGAAAAGAGGGTGATTTTGAAAAAGCCTTCCTTGAGTAGCTTTTTCTGCACAGCTCAGCATTTCTGCCCATTCTGAACACATTCCAACCATCAAAATCATGCCAGGACACCTCATTTTTCTAAACCTAACCCTACCCTGGTGCACACCCCTAACCCTAACATAGGGCTAAAGTTCCAGTGAAAAGAGGACGATTTTGAAAAAGCCTTCCTTGAGTAGCTTTTTCTGCACAGCTCAGCATTTCTGCCCATTCTAAACACATTCTAACCATCGGAATCGTGCCAGGACACCTCGTTTTTCTAACCCTAACCCTACCCTGGTGCACACCCCTAACCCTAATACAGGGCTAAAGTTCCATGGAAAAGAGGGCAATTTTGAATAAGCCTTCCTTGAGTGGCTTTTTCTGCACAGTTCATCATTTCTGCCCATTCTAAACACATTCCAACCACCAAAACCATGCCGGGACACTTCATTTTCCTAACCCTAACCCTACCCTGGTGCACACCCCTAACCCTAATACAGGGCTAAAGTTCCAATGAAAAGAGGGCGATTTTGAATAACCCTCCTTGAGTAGCTTGTTCTGCACAGCTCATCATTTCTTCCCCTTCTAAACACAATAAAACTTGAAAACTGAGGTTTTAGTTTAGAAAAAACATCTCACAGCCAGCCCAAGCAAATATATATATATCCTTAGCAGCACACTGACCGGCCATGCGAAAGCTCAGACGAGTCATGGCTAATGAGTCATGGCTTGTTTTATCATCTCCTGGCACCACTACTCCTTTCCGAGCATGCACCTGACCCCTGTGTGTGCTGTTATCTGATGCTCGGCTGCTGGGGCGACTTGGCTCGTGTGCCGGCAGAGAGGGCTCTGTGTGTCCGCTGTGGCACACATGCCTTAGGTTCGCCACCACTGCTCTAAGCTATTTTTTGTTTATTTTAAAATTTCATTTTTATACCACCCAATAACTGAGACTATCTGGGCGGTTAAGAAAAGCTACAGTTGCTTCCTAAGAGATTGCAGTTTTCTCAGTAAATGTCTGTGGCTGGTTGGAGAATTAAAACTTCCTCTCCTGGGTCCAGACCTAATATTCTTGTCGGTGTAACACACTGAGCCCTAAATATTTTGCAGGGGGATTTTGCAGGGGGATTTTGGAAGTATAATAAGCAGATCATCTGAATGCATGATGTGCCTTCATCCTCCCAGGCTTGGATGCAGCAAGAGAGGAAGCTCTAGAGCAGAAAACGGTGGAAGAAGTTGAGGCGGAAGAAGCTGTGCCTGGCTCTGCGAGCTCTGTTTGTCCCCAGGTGGCGTTAGAGAAGAAGGATGCCAGGAGGGGCGTCTGCCTCAGCAGCACCCCGTCCATTCTGCTGTCCTGAGTGTGGCAAAGCGTTTGCCCAGAGCTCCAACCTGGTGAAGCATCAGCGCATCCATACTGGGGAGCGCCCGTTCCGGTGCCCGGAATGCGGCCGTGGCTTTAGCTGGAGCTCGTCGCTGGCCGAGCACCTCAAGGCCCACGGAGGCTGCCGCCCTCATGCGTGTGGGGAGTGCGGGAAGCGTTTCGCCCGCGGCTCGACGCTGGCTGAGCATCAGCGGGTGCACACAGGCGAGAAGCCCTTCCGGTGCCACCAGTGCGGGGCCCGATTCTCACAGAGCTCCACCCTCGCGCACCACTTGCGCACACACTCTGGCGAGCGCCCCCACGCCTGCCCCGACTGTGGGAAGTGCTTTGGGCGTAAGTCCACCCTCGTCACGCACTGGCGGATTCACACAGGCGAGAAGCCCTACCTCTGCAGGGAATGCGGGCGCTGCTTTGGTGTCAGCTCTGACCTGGCCAAGCATGTGCGCAAGCACTGCGCAAGCGGCAGCAGCTGGGGAGAGACCCAGTCCCCTGCCGCCCTTCCGGAGGCCGAGCAGGACACCCGGCCCACGGAAGACGCTCCCCTCTCCAAGGCAGCTGGCCAGCCGCAGGATCTCCCTGACGGGGAGCAAGAGAAAGCCCATGCGTGCCTGGAGTGTGGGGAGAGCTTCAGGGAACCTTCGGTGCTCACCGCACATCAAAGCATGCACCTGAGTGCAGTTGCTAACTGCTGCCACCCATGTGGCAAAGTCTTCTCTGGCCAGTCAGAACTAGAGGCCCATGCGGCAAGTCATGACACGGAGGAGAAGCCGCTCAAATGCTCCAGCTGCTCCGCGTGCTTTCCTGAGAGCTCTGGCCTGAAGGCGCATCAGGGGGTGCCCTGTGGGGATGCGTCCCGTGGGGGCTGCCAGTGCGAAGAGAACTGCCCCAGCGGCTCCGGCTTGGAGCAGTGCCAGAGGGCTCACAGTGCGGAGGAGGAGGAGGAGGAGCTCTTTAAATGTCTGGAGTGTGGGGTCTGCCTTGCGGAAGCTGCTGCCCTGGCTGCGCACCAGAGGATGCACTGCCGCGGGAAATCCTGTGGCTGCCCTCAGGGCGGGAAAACATTTCTTGACCGCAACGAGCTGGCAGTGCACCAGGTGAGTCCTGGCAAAGGAGAGGAGGAGAAGCCGCACGTGTGCCCCGTCTGTGCCGCTTGCTTCCCCGAGAGCGTGGACCTCGTGGCGCATAAGATGAGCCACACGGCAGAGGAAGCCTCGCATGGCTGCAGCCCGTGTGGGGGAACATTCCCGAGCAACTCGGAGCTGCTGAGGCACCGACTGAGCCCCCCCCACGGAGGCTGCTGCGGACAAACCATACTCGTGCGCAGCCTGTGGCAAGACCTTCGCCCTCTTTGCCACGCTGGCAGCGCATGAGCGCACCCACATGTCTGACGAGGCCGCCTACCGCTGCCCGACGTGTGGTGAGCGCTTTCCCAACAGCGGCAAGCTGGAGAGGCACCAGCAGCGCCACCTGGGTGAGGAGAGGCCGTTCCGGTGCCCGGCTTGCAGCAAGGGCTTCGTGCTGCTCTCAGGGCTGCGGCAGCACCAGCGCGACCCCCCGTCCCGCTGCCCCCAGTGCGGCGAGGCCTTCATGTGGCGCTGCCGGCTCACCGAGCACCGGCGCAACTGCCACCCGGCAGAGCGCCCCTTTAAGTGCCCCGAGTGTGGCAAGGGCTTTGCCCAGAGTTCGAAGCTGCTGCGGCACCAGGTGACTCACACCGGGGAGAAGCCGTTCAAGTGCCCTGAGTGCGGCAAGATCTTCAGCCAGAGCTCCAACCTGGCTGAGCATCGGCGCACGCACGCGCCCAGCAAGGCGCATCGCTGCACCACCTGCGGCAAGGCCTTTGCCCTGGGCTCTTACTTGGCTAAGCATCAGGCCACCCACACGGGCGCCCGCCCTTTCCGCTGCACCGAGTGCGGCAAGGGCTTCCGGCAAAGCTCCAACCTCATCCAGCACCAGCGCACTCACACAGGCGAGAGGCCCTACGTCTGTGCATCTTGTGGCAAATCCTTCACTCAGAACTCACACTTGGTCAAGCACCGGCGGGTTCACACGGCCGAAAGACCCTACCGCTGCCCCGTCTGTGGCAAGAGCTTCCGGCAGCGCGGCAACCTCGCCGAGCACCAGCACCAGCACGCTGGCACCCGGCCGTACGTCTGCGGTGCTTGCGGGAAGTCGTTCCGCTGGAGCTCAGCTTTTTCCAAGCACCAGCGTACTCACCTGGCCCACTGACCTCTGCTCCTGCAAGGAAGGCAGTGGTGGGGAAGCTGGAAGTTTTGCATTCTGCCTTCTCCAGAGACCGGCAGGCTGCATGTCCTGCTGCCGATTTCCTGCAGCCAAATAGGATCTCCTCCTCCTGGAGCACAGCTCCATTTCTTACAGCGGGACACTTAGGAGTGGGTGCGTCAGGCTGCAGACGTCATGGGCTTGTAGCGCCCTCTCCCTTTTTTAGATGGTCACGTTTATTCGGCTGCTCAATTAAAACGTGGCAAGCCAGTCCTGGTATGTTTGCCAGCTCCTAATGGCACCAATTGATTTCTGAGCATCTAGTGATCCCATGCCTAGTGCACGCCCAACCTGAGGTCAGAGAGGGAATTCCTCTTGTGCAACTCCTTGTTCTCCAGGCACCAGGAGACTCAACTCGTGTGCCCTGGTGCATCCGCTGCCAGCCTCCAAGGCAACCCTGCCTGCATCCTTCTGCAGGAGAGATCTTCATCAAAACGAAATGTGTTCTGAAACTCTGATGGTGCTAATGGAATCACACTTCCAAAATCCTCAACTCCACGACCTCCAATTCGTACCAGGTGGCCTTTTGCTAAGTCTCCACACTGCCCAGTTGCTGCCTGAGGCATGTGTCCAGCAACAAACCTTGCAGATCTTGTCCCATTTTCTGAGCAGCTCTAATCTTTGGTGGCACAATTCTATTCCTACCCTCTGACCTCCAAGCCCCTGACTTTAAATGTAAGTGGGCCCCAGGGATCTGGCTTCAATTCCTGTTTGAGTGGCCAAGTATCTGATACCTTATGTGGGACCTGTGTGAAATGTGTCTGTCTCAAAACTGAAGTCGTAACCAGCAAGTCCCCGCATTCATCCTTCAGTCACTGTTGCTTCCTAGATTAAAGGGGGGAGATGGCACAGGCATCGAAGTTGTCCGTCGTTCTCCAAATCTGAACCACTGGCTTCAAGTAGTTAAGCTTGTCAAGTGCACCCATATCCCCTTGTTCTTTAATAGTATGATACTTGCGGGATACGGGGTACGGATATGCAGACTTTTCTTTTGTTAATACTGGAGGAAAATAGCATAAGATTTACTTATGATTTTTCCTTCTGCCCTTCTGAAATCCAAGGCAGGCTGTATTGGAAGTACCCCTATTTTGTCCTCACAACAGTCCTCAGAGACATTTGGAGCTGGGTTTTCCTTCCCAGTGAGTACTGTGGGAGTTGGACCTGGGCCTCCTGGAGCCAAGTGGGAGTGCTTCCACCCGCTTTCTGAAGCTGGTTGGAGAAAGACAGGCAAAGTCTGTCCACTGACATGTCACCTTCCCACTACAGTATTTTTAACCCCATGTCACCTGCTTTGCTTTCCTCTTGCCCCGGTAGCTGCATTCACCCCCCCCCCCCTTGTGATGCCCTGCTTGGTATCTCCCATCCTCCCTTCCTCTGTTCTGCTATGCAGTAGACCACAACCCGGCAAACCCCAGCCAGGATGGCCAAAACCAAGGAATTCTGGGAGTTGTAGTCTAAAATATCTGCAGAACACCACATTCCTCTACTCTGGCCAATAATGCAGTCATAGGAGTTACTCTTTTCTCTTCTTCCATGCCGTGTTGTGCTGCCATTTTCCCCACTCTAACCAGGAATGAGGAGGAGGCCCATGTCTGTAGCCCGTTAAAGGGAGTGAAAGAACCTATTCATTTAGTCGGAACTGATAAGACAACTAAGTGCCAAATGCTGCTGATTTTTCCAGATGTTCTGTTTTTCTCAGACTGACTGGAACCATTGTTTTCTTCACATCTCAAATAGAAGGTTGTGTAGGAAGAGAGTTTGATGGATGGTATATTTTCTTCATTAGGTCAAAAAGATGTCCAGGGGATCTCATCTGGGTCAGCATCTTGTGGGTAGAGGTGGATAATGAAATTAGTTCTTTCTTGGAGAATCATTTACAAAACATTTTTTCAATTGAAAGGAACATCTATTGGGTGCCCCCCCACACACAATAAATCATAGACTTTAGTCAGAAGTTGTGCATCCCACAAATGGAATTCTGCTTTAATGATCTGAAAATGAAGCAAGCTTTCAGATAGTTAACAATATTCAGGAGAGATGGTTTCTGAGAAAATAAAATTTGACTAAAATGCTAACATCCAGCATAGAAATCTGTCAAGCATGGAATTGGGGGGCACTGGTGGCCTTGCAGTGCATTTTGTGTATGTTTACTGAGAAGCAGTTTCCGCTGTGCTGCGTGGGACTAACTCCCCACTGAAATTAGGCCTGTGTCTTGCATACCAGTAAGGCTCATTCCATCGAATGGAATCTGCTTCCAGGAACATACGGCCAGGCCGGCAGTCTTATGACATTGCCTGCTATTTCCGTTTGTACAGATCATTATGGGTATCACGCAGAGCCTGCAATTGTATGCATCAGTAAGCCATGATTTTGCTCATGCGTTGTTGACTCTCCCCACTAGCACAGCAGTGAAATGAACCAGGAATAAAAAGTTCACCCTGGCTTGTGGCTGCCACATGAGCCAGGAACAAATGCTGTCTTGAGATCCGCCTTTCAAAGGCTGCGGGGAGCCAAGAACCAGGGTTCAGAGGAGGTGGTAAGTCTTCTGTCCTGATTGGTTTAGCTGATGGACTTGTGGTAGGAGCCCAGCTGCATGAGCAGAGCCCTGGCCGGCTGACACATGCAAATTCATGTGTCGGAAAGACCCGCACACACCTCCACTCGCTGTTGCATTGGGCCGTGGTCGGCTTTCCCTGGGAGGGCTTCCTTCCCTCTCCATGGATGCTAAAGGGGCAGTCTTGACTCGAACTGGGATGATGCTTACACAAAATCAAACTGCTGGCCTGTTTAGGTTGGCTGATGCTGTCTACCTCAGTCTTCCCCAACTGGTCACCCTCAGAACTCTTTGGACTACAACTCCCATCTCTGGCCATGCTGGCTGGGGCTTATGGGAGTTGTAGTCCCAGGCATCCGAAGGACACCAGCTTGAGGCAGCCTGGTTTACCTGTCTTAAGTTGTGATAGCTCCATTAGTATCCCTTCCCAGCCCCGTTTCCTGAACTCTTGAAGAACAGAGACAGCAGGGTTTGCACCAGGACCCGAAGCCTGTGCACAGCTTTGGATCTTCCCTCATTTTATCCTTCAGTTTGTGGATGAAAACTACTTGCTGTGTTCAGTCTTCCACTGTTATGAAAATCCTAGGCTGAACTGTGTGCATGCTGGTGATTAAAAAAAACAAAACTGTTCCAAGGTGATGAAAATTCTGCATCAAGAAAAGGTGAATTCCGCAACTTGAATAAATTATGCAAATGTGTGTGGTTTCTCTGATTTTGTTTAACGTAAGCTCTGGTGCTGTTTCCTTCTTGGGACCAGGGCAGGAACACTGAAGCTGCAAGCCCCGAGTGCTGGAAATTGTAGTTGTCAACTATTAGGCTTCTGGGGACAGTGGATGGGAGTGACTTGCGCTGACAGGAAACAACTGTTCAACATTTGAGGGGCAGGGATCTGTTACTGAAATTACTGAGATTATTTTAGCATGTGCTCTGTAGCTGGGCTATGGTCTCTCCTGGTCCCTTTCCCCCTTCCTTGAAGATTCCCCATTGACAAATGACTTCTGTAAAATATGCAGTCTGTACTGTCACCCATATTTGGGAATTGGCGTTTCAGACCCTTGAAGCTTGAGCAAAAATTGAGGTAATACAGGGCAAACCCATGAATACATTTAGTTATAAACAAAACCATTTAAACAAAACCTTGAGAAGGGGTTTCTGAACATTGGAACAACTTGCATATTTGGGAAACGCTTCTGCCTGCCCTGTGATCTAAACGATGTAAAGCAGTGATGGCGAACCTTTTAGAGACCGAGTGCCCAAACTGCAACCCAAAACCCGCTGATTTATCGCAAAGTGCCAACACTGCAATAAAGCCCAAATACTGAGGTTTTAGTTTAGCAAAAACCACCCACAGCCAATACAAGCAAATATATATATATTCTTGGCAATGCACTGACCGGCCATGCGAAAGCTTGGACGAGTCGTGGCGAATGAGTCGTGGCATGTGACATCCTCACTTGGCGCCGCTACTCCTTTCTGTGCATGCGCATGGCCCCTGTGTGTGCTGTTATCCAATGCTCGGCTGCTGGGGCGATGCTGGGCGACTTGGCTCGTGTGCCAACAGAGAGGGTGTTGTGTGCCCGCTGCGGCATGCGTGCCATAGGTTTGCCACCACTGATCTAAAGTGTGGCCACAAGATTGCATTTGGCACCTGGCTATAGACGAAGCTACCCGACGGTGTTCTGAATGTGATCTGGCCCTTTTCACACTGTCACAAGGGCTGTGGCATTTCTCTCAGAGCTCTCACCATCTAGCATGGGCCCAAGAGCTCTGGTGCAGCAACTGTTCACATATCATGGCGAGGTAGGAAATCAGGACGCTTGCGGCAACGGAAGCCACCCTGGTGGGAGAGGGAGCTTTCCTCCCAAAGCACAGGCCACTCCAAAAGGAGCTGCGTGTCCTTCAAGCCAAGTCACGTCCTACAACAGGGCTGAGAGAGCCAAGGTGAAAATTGCTATTTTTTTCAAAGAGCCATGTGAGTGCTTATGTGCCAGAGCAGGTACGCTCTCTGCTTAAAGGTCAGACATATTAGGGACAGTGTGGGTATATGACAATATTGCGGGCCATCTGGCAAGTAATCTGGCAATTAATGGTGAAATGATTCTGGGGAACAGCCCCAGTAGACAAAGGCTGTGTGTATGTGGCTATAAAGCACATCTCCCTCCAGAGGGCAGTGGTGGCTTGTTACCAGCAAAATCAAAGCTGTCAAAAAAGATTTCAAGCTGGCACCTAGGAACAAGGAATCACCTAAGTGCTGATTCCTCCATTTCTGAAAATATAAAATCCAACTGTGACCCGGACTTGTCATTTATATAACCCCTCTTGCTGCCTATATTTTTCCTGCAATTTAGTGTGTTTGACATGCTTCATGGACATATTGCCATCCTGAACAACAACGCTGAAAGGTAGGACAATGCCATCTGCTGCAGACATGGCAGGAAAGGTCGATGCACCTAGATTGACAGCTGTGCGTGTGAAGGAGATTTAGGGGGTTTAGAAGACCACCAGCTGAATGTGAGTCAGCTGTGGGTTGACACAGCTGGAGCGAGCAAGTTACACAGTTCTAGGTGACCTCAAAAAGTGCAGAGTTGAGATGGTGAAAGCTAAAGGTATTCCTCTCTTCCGCTTTGGTCAGACCTGGCCTGGAGTTCTGCGTCTACTTCTGGAGGGCTGCAGTCAAGACACTGGAGTGTGTTCAGGGGGGAGGATGTGAAGCCTGGACACCAAGGCCCATGAGCCACTGGCTGTGCTGATTGAGAAAGATGGGAATTGCAGCCCAACACATGTATAGTGCATCAGGCTGCCCAAGAGCATAGGATCTGAACTGATGATGAGTGAAACGAAAAACAGGAAGAAATTCCTGATTCAAAACCTGTTCAGAAGTGGAACTGATTTCCCCAGAAAGTAACGGAATCCAAGTACTGCCAGAATGGTTACCTATCAGAGATGCTGTAGCAGTGAATTTTCTGCTTTAGCAAAGGGTTGGACTAGATTATATTTGCGATCCAATGAAACCCTATGATTCTGTGAATGAGCCAGGCTAACTTTTTCTCTCTCTGTCTAAAAACTTGGATACTGGGCTTGGAAAACAGAAAAATGCCCAGAAGTTAAGTCTATAGAATCCTTCACATCATGGTCCCTTTAAAATAAAATACCCTGCTACATTCCCCAGTAATAATTCTTGTACACACATTAACTTTGTCTCTTTTCCCCATAGAAGAAGTCGATAGCTCCAGTGGTTCAAGAAAGACCTTTCACTTGGAAGTGACTGTGGAGGGGGAAAAATGTTGTGGTTTCTAGGTAGAAGCAAACATGAACTCCACGTACTTTTATTTTTGCTGACGGGAAATTACAGTCGGAACACCCATCCATTCCTTTGCAGCATGGAAAATTCCAGGGAAATGAAATAGATAAATCAGGCTGGGGCAGGGGGAGAGCTAGTTCCAAAAGGATATCCAGTGAACCTCAACAGCAAAGAAGATCAAACAGGCTGGCAGTACCTTAAAGTCTACTTACTTTATTGGAGCATGAGTTTTTATCAGAAATGTCTTCATCAGAGTATGCAAAGGCCTAGAAATTTAAATCAAAACCAGATAGCTGGGTTGGTCCACAACTACAATATTCATGGGGACAAAGCGATATTTTACTGCCTCCTGGAAAAACAGCCCTTGCAAATGAAAGAGCTAAGGGAAAATCTTTGGAAATGTTATGCTTAGAAAAGAAAATCTTGCACAATATTTGTAAATACATACATTTTGTTTAATGGATTACAAATGCACAGCCTGTCTACTTGGAAGTATAGCGTTGTGTTTAATGGGGTCGACTTCCAGGTAAGTGGATGTAGAACTGCAGCCTAGAATGTTATTCTTAGAAACTGGAGCTCGCTACCATGGGAAGGTGATGGCCACCCATTTGGATGACGGTAAAAGGATTGGACAGATTCGAGGAGGAGGAGGAGGAGGAGGCTGTTAATGGCTACTAGCCTTGCTGGTTATGGGCTGCCTCCTTTCCCACTTGATGAGGCGCTTGGGCAGACAAAGGTCTTGCACCCAGCCTGCTTGAGGGATCCTGTGTACAGCTGGCTTGCCATCATGAATGGACATTGGGTCTGATCCAGCAGGGCTTCTCTTACGCTGTTATAAACTCCAAGAAAGTTTCAATATTTTAAGGCCTTAAGGACCAACACAAGAGATACTGCATCACAAAGCACATTCATTTGATTGTCTGTGTGGGTACCCTAGGAACTTTGTCTCTTGGTGCAGGAGAGTTAAGGATCAGCAAACAGCAAGTGCAAAGTACTCAGGTAGAAACCAATTACATGGGCATAAAAGCAATACCTTGTTGCTTAATTGCCATTCCTTTCATCCAGCATGGAGGGAAAAAAATCAATACTGTATCTGGAGTCTTCTTGATCCCAATCTGAATTCCAATATATTTAGGAGGTGTACAATATCCCACAATCCATTTTTTTTCATCATGGAGATGTGTGTTTAACATATGAAAACACCAGATCCAGAAAACAGGACACCATAAGATGGAATGTCTGCTTTGAATACACATTACCCCCTCCTCATTTCAGCACAAAGAGTAACCAACAACATTTATCAATTTTCTAACATCAAATATTTTTATTTTCAATTAGAAGCAATAAAAGCAATATTTTGAACAAAAGAGGAAAACCTCCAGCACCAGCTGGCATGAAGTGGCAATTTTATGGACACTAGTATTGTCATTTTGCTACCCCATAGATAAAACTGGCTTTGGTGAGCTTAACAGAATCTTTCCCACATCAATTTAAAATCAGCATAATAATACTTTCCTCCATCAGCTTACAATCAGTATAACAATGGATTTAAGTTTCTGGTTCTCAGTTTTTGGGTGAAGAGGGATCTGCTCCTCTTCTTGGCACTCAAAACTGTCCAGGATGACTTATAGTAGCCTCGAAAGGGCATGGGATATCTTTTGTCCCAATATATTTGTACTGTGTGGAGTGTTGAAACACCCCAGTGGCAAAAATCAGTATTTTTATATCCCAGGTATGCTTTGGTTTGCAGAAAGAACATTGTAATGTACAGGAAACATGATGGACCTTCTCCACTTTTGGTTTTGCCTTCCCCTCAAGGACATCTTGGAACTGCAGTCCAATATTATGGAACAGGGGTCACAGGAATAGCAATGCAGCATTTATTTTCAAAGCCTGGCATAGGTATGACCCATCCATGAAGACTAAAATGAGGCAGAACAGCAAGAAATATTTCCCAGTATTTGAGGATTTCTTATTAGTTCCTTAGCAAAGCATCCACCTGAGAATATAAAACCATGATTCTTTTTATAGGCAAAGCATGCATTAGACTCCCGGATGTGGATGGAGGCACTGAAGGGGAACAGGACTTGTACCCCTAGCTGCACTGGTGAGGTCTTGGGGAAGGACAGAACCAATTTCTCAGAAAAGGAGGAGTGGTGCTAAATACTGAAAAGATCCAGGGCTCAGGCCCCCAAAAACCAAAAAAGCAAGAATTTGCATATGTTCATTTGCATATTATTTATTTACTCATTTATTTTTGTACTCATGTGCTGCCAACTATCCCAACAGGAATCTCTGAGAAGGCTCTGTGCGAGAGTCTTTAAAGGCTCCTGTATCCTGAGACGGATAAGAGAAAGTGGGGGCATTTGTGTCAGGGAAGAAGGAAAAAACCTTGGGCAAAACAGTCCGTGGTGGGTAGCAGGAGGTGAAGCCCATGTGGGCGGAAAGCCAGCTAATCCAGGGGGCTCAGATGCAAGAGGGGTGATCAGGGCCCCTGGGCCTTTCTTTCAGCGAGTACCCCTGGACCGCAGCGGGTGAGGCAGGCGGTCCCCCAGAGATCTGGAGCTCCCAAGGAAAACTTTGGAGCGGGCTGCACCCCAGCACTGCTTCTGCCAACAAGCATATCTGCCTTCACCTCTTGATTTCTGCCAGTCATGTAGTAAACAGAGGTCCGTAAAAATGGGGCAGCCTCTCCACCGGGAGTCCCGCTCCTCTTGTCCCAGGAGCGAAGCATGTGGCAGCCGGAGCACGTCAGCCCTGGAAGCATGAAGAGGTTTCTTTTTGTCAAGTCATTCTCTCTCCACATGGATTAACCAGGCTGGGGACCTAGGAGAGGGACAACAAGGCAACAAGGCAGAAGCACGGGGGGAATGTTCCTCTGTCCCTTAAATAAAATGCTGCTGCGTTCGACCCAACGCCAACATTACCGTGAAGTCATAGGAAGCTGCTGGGTTAAGTCATATAAAAGAGATGTTCTGGAGCTCCAGTTCATGCCCCAGAAATTCTGTATGTGCCTAGACTGGCTTAGAGTAAATGCAACGCCTTCGAACTCTTTCTACAAGGGAGGCGGTGAGCACAGCCTTTGCTCAGATGAACACAATTCTGCATTCAGCTCCCCCAATCTCTCACGAACAGATCTAAATTCAGAGTTCGTGCAACCTCCCCCTCAGCTCCTGCAAATACCTGCAGACGGATACTGTGAAATTTCAGGAACTTAGGAGTTGAAAAGAGATATATAGGTTGCATGTCATTATCACCTTAAAATGAAATTAGGAGACTTAAGTTTTATCTTTTCATTCTAAGTATTATTATAATTATAATTACCATCATTAGCATTAACATGTTGCGCATTGTAAAGTGAGGGTGGGATTCCTGGAATGTAGTCAAATGTTGAATTTATGTGAAATTTCATTTCTTTTGGACTTAAGCTTGCTTACTTTGGTTCTACAATATAAAATAGTCATAGACGAGAAGAAATATTTAAATGCAAATTTCTGCATGGTTACATAAGTTTGCTTTCCCAGCTCCACGCTCATTTCATTGCCAATGAAAGACAGGGATTGCTATTGTTCCACAAAAAGCTAAGACTGTAGCAACACAGACATAATTTAATCCTTTGAAGCATTTTCCCTCCATTGTTTTGTCGCAGTCAAACAGATGAAACACAACCCTTTTCAAGGCTTGGTCTAATATAATTTCTATAATTTCTATTATTTTCTTTTCATTCTTATTGTTACGGGCTTGAATCCACATTTAGCTATGCTCGCAGTACACACACAGAATCAGCGGCACTTCAGAGCACAATTTCATGCAGGTTTAGACAGAAAAAAATCCTTCAATGTCCAACATTCCCCAATCAACCATACAGGTCAGGAAATGTTCAGGATTGTAGTTTTCCTGTAATGTTTCCTGTTTTCCTGTCTAACCATGCACAAGATTGCACTTTAAGTTAGCTATAACTATTTTGTATTGATCTGCTTGTTTATTTAGGTATTTATATACTCTCCTATTCAAGGCAGAAAGTCTTCATCCGGCAGCATGGAATATGGAGAAGTTGCAGTACGTGTTAGCAAGACAGTTAAAAACAAAAATGACATTTCTGTCTTTTTCCACACACAGCAGCTGTGAAAAAAAAGCAAAAAGCAAAAGAAAGCCTGCGGGGGGGTGTGATCCCCCCCCCCCGCATACACTGGATCCAAAATTGCTTTAGGGTGATTTTAACTCTGACAGGAGAGAAATGGAATTCTCACCATAGAACTTCACCAGGGAAAAGTAGCTGAAAAGAGGTGATTTGGACTGTGATGACGGGGGAGGGGGGAGGGCTCAGCGCGGCCCCTACAATGCGCCTTTGCTGAACTTGATCTCTCCCCTGGCCTACTTTATAAGAAGTGAAAATTCTGGGAATGAAAAGTCACTAATAACCTTACAATTGAAAATCGAGAAAGAACAGAAGGGCAGCTATGCTGGATCAGAGCAGCTAGTCCGGATTCTGCTCATGCCATGGCCAACCAGCAGCCCATGAGAAGCCCACATGGAGGGCACAAGGGCAAGAGGATTCTCCAGCCCATGTCCCCCAGCAATGGGTGTACATAAACATTGCCTCTGACACAGGAGGCAGCACTTAGCCTTGGGGATCGGCAGGCATTGATCGCCTTCTCCTCTATGGATTTCCCGAGTCCCCTTGTGAAACCATCCAAGTTGGTGGCTCAACCGTTTCTCAAAAGTACATCCTTTCACCTGTCGTGAATTCCCACCATTCAGCCTCATGGGATGACCCTTTTGCGTTCTGGTATTCTAAGAGTGGGAGAAAATGCCTCCCTAGCCGCTTCCTTCACACCGTGGACAATCACGCGTATCTCCATCGTGTCCATAAACCTGAGCAACTCTAAGCCCGAGCGGCCAAAGCTTTGCACTCTGCAGGGGGACTTGGCATGGCCTACGGCACCCCAGATCCCTTACCTGCATCTGCTCAGATGTCCTCCGCACCTTCGCGCCTTCGGAGGCATCTCAGGGACGCACATGCCGCCCCCCTCTGGCGAGCCTGCAGGTACTCGCGGTAGTTGCGCGTGAGCAGGGTGTAGAGGAAGGGGTTGATGCAGCTGTTGCCGTAGGTCAAGCAGGTCACCAGGTGGTTGATGGAGATCTCCGTGTGGACTGGCAGGCGGGCTGCGGATGGGCAGTAAAGGGGCAGCAGCTGCCAGATCCAGAAGGGCAAGTAGCAGGCCCAGAAGGCCAGGACGATGACGAGGATGAGGAGGAAAACCCGGCTCTTGGGGGAGTGGCCCAAGCCGCTGCGGGTCTGCGACAGCCAGTAGGTCCTGGCCAGGCGCCAGTAGAGGGCCCCGATGACCAGTCCGGGCGCCACGATGCTGGTGCTGAAGAGGATGCTCAGGTACAGCCTGTACTGCTCCTCGCTCCAGGTTGGGGAGCAGAGGTGCCGAACGACCTCTCCCGCCTCCCCCAGCACGCGCTCCTCCTGGTGGATCATCACCATCATGGGCAGGGCCAGGGCAAAGGAGAGGAGCCAAATGGCCGCGGCCAGGGGCCGGCGGCACCGTCGTGCCCGGCGGGCGGCCTGGAAGGGGCGCGCCACCGCGGTGTAGCGCTCGCAGCTCATCAGCGTGAGCAGGAAGATGCTGGCGTGCATCGTGAGCAGGTCCAGACTCAGGAGGATCCGGCAGCCCGCCTCGCCGAAGGACCAGTCCTTGACCAGGCCGTTGTGGACGATGAAGGGGGCCGTGGACAGGTACAGCAGGTCCGCCAGCGCCAGGTTGACCAGGTGCGTGCGCAGCGAGGAGGCCGCGGGAGAGGCCCGCACGACCGCCAGCGCGTAGAGGTTGCCGGCCACCCCGGTGGCACACATCAGACTCAGCACCCCTCCCAGGGCCGCAGCGGCCTCGCCTCCCTCGGACAAAGAGCCGTTGCCTGGTGGCTCCAGCAAGGAAGAGTTGGCTGGCAGGGGTTCCATGGGCAAGCCATCAAGGGCGGGGTGGCCAGAGGAATGCTCTAATGCCCTTTCCGGCCCTCAAGAGAAAGGGCGATGCAGAGCGTTGCTCTTGACCTAGCACCCTGTATTGCATCTAGCAAATTTTCAGAGTTGCTCCTCTGTCTGTCCTACTCCCTTTCCTCCGGTGGGTCCGTTCCTGCACCAGAAAGAAAAATGTTGATCTGAGGCTGCAAGATATATTCAGGGGGGTGAAGAGCTTCGGCCCCTCTGGTCTCCCTTGTGCTCAGCACACACAGTTGTTGCTCGGCTTCGGGACACGCAGGCCGTTTTGTTCCGTTCCTGGTTCCCTGCTCAGCGCATCTGAAGCCAGTGGTGGGGCGAGATCTCCCGTGCACGAGGAGGAGCCGCTTGTGTCTTCCTGGGGCTGGAAGGTTTCTTCTCCGCATTCCTCGCATCCTGCTAGTGTCGGTATGTTGGGGTCGAACCTTGGCCCGCCCCCTCAGGGAGCACAGCTCTCTCAGCTCCTGTCTGTCTTGGAGGAACCTGTTTATCTCATCCCTGGCGTCGGATTCTGACAGCGTGTCAGGGGCTACAGGGCGGGAGATGGGGCAGGGTCCGGGGGTCCGATTGGTCCGAAGCCTGGAACAGGCGGAATCGCTGCGCTGCTTCGTCCCTCCTCCCCCACCCCAAACAGTCCAACACTCAGGGTCCAACTCCCTGCTGGCAGAACCATGCAGCTTTCCATGGAATGATGCCAGCCAGGAGAGAGAGAAAATAACCAAGAGATAGAAAGACAGAAGGGGGACTGTATGGATCAATGGACAAAACAAACGCATAAATGCAAAGACGTGCCGAGAAATACGTGAGAGGAAAAGGATCAAGAAGATCGGGGCAACCTGTTTCATCCTTCATCAGGAAAAGCAGTGGCAACAGATGGCCCTTCCATAGTTTTATACACTTCTAATTCATAATGATGCTCATTAAGAAATAACTAAAAAACTTGACTGTATTTGACTCACGTGCCTGCTCTAGTGGGGCAAAGAGGTGGCAATTCAAGAATGACCTCCTTTGACACAGAGTTCAAGTCTGTTTTTGGAGGCCAGGGGACTCAGCATCTGCTTGTGTGTCGTAACAATGAAGATGAGAGGGCATCTGGGCATGTGCAGAGTGTATTTCCCTCTGCTGCAAAGGAAATACACTTCGTGGGCTCCCAGTCACCATTTGGCTCCATGGAACCCAGAAAGCTACTGCAAGGTCTTTCTGGCTCCTGGCAGACAGGCGGTGTCCCCTCTTTGCTTCATAGGCTTGCTTTTCAAACACTATTATCATACTATTATCACTGGATGGGCAGAGCAAACTGATTCACTTCACGAATGAAGTCCCTTTCCTTTAAAAATCACCTGGTCTCCAAAGCACCGAGAAGTGAAGCTCTATTCAGGGTTTAAATATGAACTCGGTTGGCTTCTAATGTTCATTCACCATTTAAAGCAAGCCTTATGACTCCAGACATCAGGCTCAGCGGAGAAGCCTTCTCTGCCATTCTCGGCCACCCACTTTCTTTGCTGTAGCAGTGATGGTGGGAAAGTGGAAAGAAATTTGCCATTCGCATCCCCTTTCAAAGCTCTCCTTCCTCCTCTTTGTCTGCTGTAAAGAAACACTCCTGGGGAAGCTGTCCTGAAGAGAACCGTGGTTTGTTGTTAGGCTGTGAACTCTGGGTTGTTCACCATGGTTTATCTCATGGGAGTTCACAATAAACCATGCTTCAACAGCAACCCATACTCAACCCCTCCTTAACTTCTGAGTGTGAGTTATATTGTCTAAATCTAGTTATATGCATGAAAAATACATGCTTAACTTGGGTGCATTCAAACCCCATCTTTGTTTAGGTGTGTATCTGTGTTGCATTTATATATTATTTTTGTTGCTCATTTGTGCTCGAGTGTTGACTACATGCATCTCTTACAGTTATTGTGTGTTTGTGCCTGTGAATTTGCTATTCCAGAGTAGGGGATTTTGTAACAAGGGCAAGATGCCCTGCTCTCGCTCTGGGTTTCATTTATGCTTCACATTATATTTGTGTCATTTCTGACTGGCACCATCTGCTTCAGTCACACTTACGCTGCAGCCTCTGTCCATCTCCCATCTGCCTGCGGACACCACCTTGCTCCCCTTGCCTGCCTCTGCATCTCTTCCCGCAACTTAGACTGGTCACTGACTTGGCTTGAAAAGAGGTTATTCCTGGCTTGAGTTGTGTGGATTGTACTAACATGCAGAGGGGGGAGCCCTCGCCAGCAATCCAGAGCCTTGGCCAAAGCAAACTCAGTTGGCGCTGCTGGGTTTGTCTAACCCTGTGACCTCGCAGCGCAGGGTTCTCTGGGATGGAACAGGAAATCTTACAAAGTCAAGGACGGAGCCGGTCTGAACCCTTGAAAGAAAGCATGGGCCTCAAAACAGGCCTTGCTTTGTTACAAGCTGGCAACCTTCGAAGCGATGAAGCAGCGCTAAAGAACCACATGCCTGAGCATGTACAGAGAGTTTCCCCCCACTCACAAGCGCCTTCTTAATGCTGCAGAGCCTCTAGCCCAGTCAGGTTGCCATAGGAACAAGCCCTCTGCAGGGCAAGAGTCCAGCCAAGGCCTTGCCCTCAAACACGGCGGAGGCTTCTCTTCGCCGCAGCTGGCCTGTATAGTGAATTTCCCCCACACAAAAAACCTTTCCTCCTGTGGTGGTGATGGAAGTAGTAACAGCAACTCTGGGGACACATCTTTTAACTCAAGCTCTTCCACACAGCACTGGATGGACAGAACCGTGTTCCTCTGGAGCACGTGTCCCGTTTCTGAACCCCACGCTCCATCTTGGAGCGTTGAAGCCCCTGGCTCCTGAACGCTGCTCTGTGATTCATCCACCTCAGCAGCTTTTTATGCCTGAAGCATTTCCCTCTTGGCAGAAAACCATCGAAGGCTTTTCGATTCCTAGCACCAGGTGGGTGCCTCGGTCCACGCGGTCATCTATTCCTTTCAACATAAGAGGAGCCTTGTGGATAGGGCCAAAGTGCTTCCTGGTTTAGGTCCCCCCGTGCCATATTTGCCAACCAGATGCTTCTGGGTAGCCAACAGGCCGGGTGGTGGAGACAAAACAATTCCTCCATTGTAGCTCTTTGCAGTCGGTATTTAGTGTACATGCAACCTTTGTGACTAACAGCCGTTGGCAGATCTTCCTCCATGAATTTGCCAGATCTCTCCCTTTCATTGCAAACTCGTCCCGTCAGCGCCGGTAGAGCTGCGGCTCCAAAGGGGCCGGTGGTGGAAGAAAAGCCGAGAGGGAGACCGCAGCACCGTTAGGGGACCCCTAAGTCTGCAGAAATTAAAGAAAAAAGAACTGGGGGGAACTCAGGGGCCAACCTACACTACCAAACCAGCACAGGGGGAAATGAGCATGCTGAATGTCTGCTGAGCAGTGAGGGGCAACAGAGAACAGAGGTGGGGTGGTGGAGAGGAAATGGAGTGTCCTGGAGGGGCTCTTGTCCGGCTGGCCGGCATGCTAAACAGGATCTCAGCACTTCAGCGTTTCACATCGTTTTTTAAAACCCACTAAGCCGGGGGCCACCTTGTGACAGACTATTTAAACACCGTATGACGTATCCCGCTTGTCCAGCCTGAATCTGCTGCCACTCAATTTCACTGGATGGCCTTGAGATCTAGTACCATGACAGGCTTCCTCAACATGCTGCCATCCAGATGGATTGGATTGCAACCCCCTTCATCCCCAGACAACATAATCATCGGCTGGGGAAAGCAATTCTATACCATGCTCACTTTCTTAACTGGGTTTCTTCCCCTCCCCTTCCCACGTCAGCATCTTTTTCATAAAATAAAACTCAATGTGTTGAGATTCAGAGTTTTTTTTTTCTGAGCGTGCATGTGCAGGAAAACACACCTTGCCTCAGTCATCTCAGCTTAGCTCAGGGTGTAACTGTCAGGAAAGCTTTGTTCTCTCTGTGCAGCAACTTATATCAAGATTCCTTTGTGCAAAAGTGTGACTTCAGTGTGCTTTGGAAGGTGGAAAACTTGGCCCTTCTTTCAGTACTGCAAGGATGGAGGCCGGCCAAAGACATCGTGTTGCTGCTTGAAGCAAAGAAGGGGAAAAGTCGCATGCACATTTTCCAAGTTGGGCTGGTGCTTCAGTCTGTGATGGGGCACTATCTGCACTGCACCTGAGCTCCGGGGCTGCAAGCTGTGTCCTCAAACTAGGAGAAGATAACCGTGGGCCTCAAGGAAAAATGGAGGAGAGGGCGCGCTTACCACCTTCTAGCGTTCAGTGCCTGAAGTGGCTGCCTCACTCTGCCCAACGGTAGGGCTGGCCCCGGGGACACAGGAAGATGCTTCGGGCCTGTGGGTGGTGTGTCCAACGACAGCAACGATCCACTCGTGCTGGAGTCAGATGGCAGCTTAAATGACAGTGTCCGCCGGCTACAGCTTGCGTGTTCAGAATGGCCGCTGGCACATGCTACAATTCACCATGGCTTAAATAGGCCATGGTGGTGCCAGTGATCATGTGAATGGGGCACTGGCGTCGGCACGCTGGAGCTGCAGGCAGGCTTTTTTCCGGTCCGGCCTGGCAATGCCTGGAATCATGCTGGGCACCTTTCATGCCCAGAGCAAGCTCCTGCCACAGACACACTAGCTTCCCCCTGCTCAGGACACCAGTCTCACCCAGAGGATAGATAATATTCTGCTCTAACTGAAATCGCTCTGTCTCTCCCTGCTTCATCTACCCCGATTCCCAGTTTGCACCTTCCCTGCTTTTGCAAGGTGTTTCTTGACGTTAAGTTTGCAGCAGGTAGGACTGACAGGGTGTGGATGGGCTGGAGGAAACATAGAGGTGAGTTCTTTGGAGATAATCCGGATTTCTTTCCTTTTACCTTTCCTCTCGCTCCCTCCTTCCCCCATCCTCACCACCTGGGAACCAGACCCAGTCTGCGGATGGGCGAATGAGAACTGTGATTCCTGGGGAACAGCTCA